CTAATCCCCTACTCCGTGGAGTCCTGGAACTTTACTCACTGACAGAAACACAAAACCACCAATGGTAACACTACCATTTTACTATGGTCTTCTGTAAGAAGGCGCTTACTTCCCCAGACTGGCGCTCCAATCGAGCGGGAAATCCGCTATGCCATACCTCTCTTAGCGTACCGTAAAATGGTAAGGTAAGGTGGGTAAGGTACTCATAACTCCTTAAATAATAAAACAAAAACTTTGAAAAAATACTGGAGTGACGATTTAACCTGTAGATTTTGGGTTTGTCGTCAATAAAAAACATTAACACATGAAGATTTGGGAGAAATATAATTTTTAAGTGGCTATCAATTCAATACTTGAAATGGAGCCTTTGATGGGTTTGTTTTTTATTTGCGTATGAAAGTAACCACTTATGTGCAACCAATAACAAATAAAAAATTTACTCCAATCAATACTTTTTCGTTACAGGATTTTAACTTAAATTATTGTGTGTTTGATAACGGTGGTTAATTTATATAGTGGTTTAAAAGTGAAAAAGTGATCTAGGATTGTAAAATTAATCAGTGCATTAAACAATTATTTTTTTTTTCATTTGATTATGCAGGCAAACAAGTTGCCAGTCCGTCTGAGAGGTCACTGCCACGCATGGACACTTTCAGCACCAAGGGTGGTACCCTCATGCGTTACCGCCTCCGAAGGAAAAGGTTTACTCGCCTTTTGAAGACCGTCATATCATAGCTAAGAGAGAAAAGCGCTGAGGGAAGTTCGTCCCAGATCTTGCTGGTGCGAAGTTAAAGTAACGCATGGTGCTAGAAAGCCAAGCGTCCAGATGGTGAGTGCGAAACCTCTCTTGGGCGTATGGTGCGGTGAAGAAACTTTGCCGCTGGCTCCAGATTTAATAATTCCTCGGAACATTCTCCACTGTATAGACGGTACAACACGCACAAAGATGCAACGTCCTAGCGCAAGCTTAGAGGTTGCAAAGCGTCAGTGAGCTCAGGATCATCGATAAGTCTACAAACCACCGTGACATTCACTCAAACCCATCTTTCCCAGTGGGCACTTTGGGCAAGTGCCCAGGGCCCCACGATCGATAGGGGGCCCCCTCAGATCAAATACGAAGTCCTTAGTTCCTGATCACCAAACGGAACTCATAGGGGCCCCATTATCCTAATATGCCCAGGACCTCCAATAGATCAAAGACGGCACTGCATTCACTTAAGAAGTATTAAGACCTAATATGCAAAGGATCCCTTATTACGTATTGGTTACTCATGGTGTTTCAAAGTTCTCGCTTCCCATAGAGGCGTGAATGTCTGAAAGGGACAAACTGCATGGCGTCCTGTGACGTCACTGACCGTGACCTACTTTGAAACGGCAATCGCCTACCATGAATTAGCTATTCGATAAAAACTCGCTTTAACGCGAAATTTTAATCATATTTATTGTGTTCTGCGTGAATTAAACTGCCCTACTCTTTTTTCTCAGTACCTAGAATCTAGATTCTGAATTTTGCTAGATATAATAAAATGGTAGGAAAGTATAAACTGTACATTGAATATTTTTTGAAAGAATACTTGGGGTGTGATCTACAATCGATACCAATGCCAAAAATATAGTTTTTAGAATTTTTGTCTGTTTGTCTGTATATATCCAGGATAAACTCAATTATTTCAAATTTGGCACGAATATTATTAAGAAGTCGGTCAACATATAGGCTACATATTATCACGCTTTCACCTACGGGGAACGAGCAGTGAACCTTCATTTCTAACTAACTCCACGCGTACGAAGTCGCGAACGCCCGCTAGTTCACAATAAAGGGAAAAAATACAGATTGTGGTAACTTGATGTGTGGCTGCCTGTACATAATTATTCTTATAGTGAAGATTACCGATTTACTGCCCATGAGTAGGTGACAGTGACAGCAACACAGCCCACAATAAATGGGTCAAGGAGGACAAGGTCGGTAGGTAAACACCAGAATAAGGCAATGAATACGTAAACAAGAGAAGGTAAGTATTTAAAAACGAATTCCATTAGAACAGTGTTTCGATAACTGATACTAAATTCGGGGCAAGAGGCCATATTAGACTACGTAGATTTATTCAGTCCGTAATTACCAGACTGCACTGTATCATCCCTTTCGAAAGCGTCAATAGCTTGTAGCGTTACACTCCCCTTCTAGAGATAGGAGAGCGTAGCGCCAACTTAAGAGAAAGAATAGAAATGTAAAAGTTTGGAAAAGAAAAGAACTAAAAACTAAGAAAGGAAAGAGATAAATATGCTACAGAAAAGAGTAATTTATTATGTACAAGTCTAACACACAAGAGAAGAAAGAGAGAATTCCTTTCTTAGTTTTTAATTCTTTTCTATTCAACCGCACTCGCGAAATAACGGACGCGCACTCGCGAAATGCACTCAGTATCCTTAGTACGAGTTTGAGCTCACGAAAACTATCACAGTTTTCGTACCTAATAGGGATGATGACTAATTTTTTTTCTTCGTTTATCAGGTAGATTATCAAAAAGTATTGGACACGTTTTTTTTCTCTAAATGGCTTCGCACGGTTTGTGCATTTAGCCAATGTCAAGTGTTAAAATGTTTACAAATACTATAGCACTCGTGGTCAAAGTGAGTGGCAGTCAAGTCAATCCCCCTTTCCCTATGTTTCAGTAAAAGTGTGGGGATTTACTGGAACCTCCCCGTGGACTTCAATAATACATTTAGTACGGTTAGAATTATAATTTTGTGTCACGACGAGTGGACAGCGATCTCACTCTAACCGTACTAAATGTATGAAACAGATAGCTCCAAGATGAGTCACACACAACAAAATACGACGAGATAAGTGTAGTTTTGCTATTAACCAAACGATGTTCAATGAAACATTCACTGAGTCAGAGACAGAGGCACAACTACAATACTCTGCACGAATTAAATAATCCTGTTTGCCTACCGCTAGTTTTGTAAGTACCTACTTAGTATTGCTTAAATATTCCTTGTGAAGAATTCAACACAGCATGAATCAAAGGTACAAGAGATAAAATTAGTACATCTATTGGTATTAACCTCACAGTAGCACGGATACGCATATACCTATTTAGAAATGTAAGTTTCTGTGTTTGTTTTGCTGGCACTTCACTATTCGTGTTTGCTATTTGTAAACTTGACATCAGTCTGTCCTTTTCACTTCTTATGTAGTGTGTGTGATACAAGTTTACAATTAGCAAATAAAAATAGCCAAGCATTACTCAATAGGCGTGGCTACACAGCACAGAGCGGGCAGCCTTCGTACATTAGTTCGTGCTAAGGGTACTGTACTGCACCCTTAGCACGAACCAATATCGAATTCGAATAGTTTGCGAGTGCGAAATGACATGGAAATGACTGTACCCTTAGCACGAATGGTGGTTCGTGCTAAGGGTTCTGTTCTAATCTAAACGCAGCAAAACGCGTGTGAGTGTAATAGACGTAACTTATTCTAGGTTTTTACAAAAATGCTAAAGAAAAAAAGCTACTTACATCTTAATTTTCTGTTACTTACTATAGGTTACATTAACATTTCCTTTTCTTAACTTTTTGGTAACTTACATTTGGTCATAGATAAGCGTTCAAAAGAGAAACTTTGTTTCAAACGTTGAGTTTTTTTACATTAAGTTAAAAAGTCTTAGCCTTAGATTAAAACAAAAAGAGACGGCTTTAAAAGATCCACTTAAATTTTGGTGCATGACCACAATTCACTGTAGTCACAATTGGACATTCAAACACGCTGCATGTGCACTCAATATAACAAAATTACGTATATTCTATGTTATAAAGAGAAAACAATGCCTTCGATGCTTTTATAAAGAACACAAATAGTTCAAAGTCAAATAATAAATGCCTCGGCAACACTTCATTCGTAAAACTGTAAAAACATTTTTTTTTTACTAAAATCACGGTTTGTCGTGAATGTTTTGTACGTAATCGCCATTTTGTTATCAAGCAAAGGACAACAATACGCTTCGCTCGCGCTGCGTTGAAGCGTTCTGTTTCGCTCGCTCGATTGAATATTTATTTGAATATTTATATAAAGACGTGTGCGTGTGTAAGAGTTGCTTATGTAGTGGATCACATTTTATTTGATGTTGGTATGTATGAGCGTACCGTATTTTCCCTTTTTGTTTTAATCTAAGGCCTTAGCGTATATTTTCTTTATTGTCCAAACTTCGAAATGGCGAAATAAAAGTACTATATTATCCATCTCTGTTCAATACATTATTGGGCTATTGGTGAAAGTGGACCAAACGCAATGTATCTGGTTGCTATTTTAGCACTCCTATATAATTTATTATTCTAAGAGTGGATTAACCAGTTAACAACGGTGGTCTTCGGGAACGCACGCCTGTCGATAATATGTCGACCTGGGTGAATGAGCTGTTTAGGACCGGGGCGAGTCTTTGGCTATCAGCCTTGACATACAGTCAGCCTGCTCTGTTCAGTGCCTGACTTCCTGCATGAGCGTAGAATTTGTGTCCTTACACATGGGTGTAGTTTGCAGTTCATGTCAGTAAATGATGGTGTTCCTATCCCTGACACTATTTCTGCTGCATATCACGGACACGCAGTAGCTAGATGGGTAGAAACCAAAGAAAAATGGGAGAATTTTATCATTGACTCAATCAGGCTTTGGACCACATTTCCAAATGGGTTACCAAGAACTGCGTTGAGTTTTGAAGCCAAGTTAGTAAGCCCAGTATGTATTTTGCATATAACATATTTCAGTCAAGAAAGTACTATAAAAAAAATATTCAACAAGATAATGCTAATTTTAATTTGGTTTGAGTACTTAAAAGTAACTGAGTAAAATTCAAATTCTTTTAATTTATTGTCCAAAACACTTTGCCGCAAAGGCTTTAGAAATTCATTCATGGACTGATAACTCATATAAATTTTGATAATTAACACTATCTAATAAAACCTTCAAATTGTTTCTCCTACTTGCTACTTATTTTTTACAGTTAATCGAGTCCTTCTCGCTTCTTCCATTCACTTTTGATTAATGCTCTCTTCTTCCTTTTAGAATCATTGCGTTTCATTTTTCTCTCTTCTTGTTGTTTCTTTTGTGCAGCAATGCTGTCTTCTCCATTTAACTGTTCATCTAATTTCTCTATTAACATCTGTCTAGCCAGTTTTCTATTCTCATCTTGACACCTACTAATATGGCATTTTACAACTATACCTGAAACCATGTTTTTTTTTATTATTATTAAACTTTATTGATAAAGATATAAAAAATGATACTACAGGTGGACTGAATGCAAATAGCATTCTCTCTCTTAGTAGTAAAGTATAAAGATGAATGGCAAGTTAAAGTGATTGGGTTACTGTAGCTTAAGTAACAACTTAAGAATAATTATAGGTGTACTGGGTGTATGCTATGGTGACAAGATTTTGTGTTAATTTTATGACTTATATTGTTGAAAACAAAATAGAATTTTAGCAAGCAATATTAAATTTTGATCTATTGTGGAAAGAATCACTAGCAAGATCTCTACTTGTACTATTCACCTAACAGTGCTAAAAAGAGCACACAAGATTTTCTACTTAAATAAATGGAAGTAATCATATAGAATATATAAATCTTGCTGTAGTGTTTCCTTCTTGCAGTGAATAAGGTTGCCATAGATTCATGGCATGGGAGGGTTTCTTTTATGCACCAAGTATTACACTGTATGCTAACAGACAAATTGTATTTATTAGACTGTAAATCAACCTGATGCCAGGTATGGGTGTTAGGTAGGTATAAGAGAGTAATTGGCACCAATCTATTTTGTTTCATGCTTTCTGTCACAAAATGTTGTTCCATTTTGTGACTACAAGGAATGCATATACATTCCATACAAGTTTATATTTTTTTATCTCAGCTCAAGTACTGATCATTTTATAAGTAATCAAGTCTTTTACCTGAGGGCATGTGTGTGAGGACCACACAATTAGCATTTTTGTTAACTGCTGAGCCACCAGGGCCCCCTCCTCTAACAAATTGTTCTAGTAAATCATATTCATTAATTTTCGGTACTCTGCTGTAATCTATTGTATGTTTCCAAGCCCTCAATGCATGCAGTGCACTAGGAAAGCAGACACGATTTATAAGTGGCAACATTTTACAGTACAGCACCACGTCTGAGCAATGCTTCTCCTTTCTGAAAATATAAACAAGAAACAAATAAGTCAACATGATAGGAATATAATTTTATTTGATAATAATTAAACTTTAAAAAGATGAGCGAGCCTTACAGTAGTCGCATACGACATTTGAAACCACACCTTATATTAGTAAAAAAAGAAATAAAACCTACTAAAAAAACCATTTGAACATTATGTTCTTAAATCAAATCTAATAGCGCGCGCTTCCCAAATTTCCTGTTACACACTTCCGTCCCACTTGACGTAATCACTCCCACAAATTGCACGAAAGCGAGAGGAAAGATGTTACACATCAATATAAAAAAGATAAACTTGGAAGATACTTAACTGATAAGCAAATCGAATATCTTCAGGTACAGTCAATGTTTTGTTCTTCTTGAACTCACTTGTAATTCTATTTTTAAAATAAACTGGATCAGTCAGTGCTAAGGACTTTGAATAAAGCAATAATTTTTTGTATTGTCCCAAGACTTCTGCTCTAGCAACTAACATAATAAATTTAAGTATGCCAACGGCAATTAACAAAAACTAAATAAATTTTGGCACTGCTCGCCGCAGATAAATAGGTGGAAGAGATGAACAAGAAATCAGATTACACTGTAAACAAAATCTCAAAAACCAAAAGCAAACCACAGACTAGTTAGAGATAAGATTATTTGCTTAGTCTGAGTCTGTGGTCTTAGGGTGCGGCCAGAGTGCACTCAGATTCAGACTCAGATTCAGATTTCGAAAACAAGCGCGAGAAATAAACAGTGTAGTCTAAGCAGGTTGCCTGCTTTTTCTCGCGCTTTGTTTTCTGAGTCTGAATCTGAATCAGGAGTGCACTCTGGCCGTAGGGTGCGGCCAGAGTGCACTCAGATTCAGAGTCACATTCAGATTCTGAAAACAAGCGCGAGAAATAAACAGTGTAGTCGAAGGGTACGGCCAGATTGCACTCCTGATTCAGATTCAGATTCAGACTCAGAAAACAAAGCGCGAGAAAAAGCAAGCAACCTGCTTAGACTACACTGTTTATTTCTCGCGCTTGTTTTCGAAATCTGAATCTGAAAAGTCTGAATCTGAGTGCACTCTGGCCGCACCCGTACCCTTCGACTACACTGTTTATTTCTCGCGCTTGTTTTCAGAATCTGAATCTGAATCTGAGTGCACTCTGGCCGCACCCTTAGTGGGGCAGTGACAGTTAGTGTTGCCAGGTCCGATTTGTTTTAAATCGGTCCATGCGGTCGAAAAAATCGGGATTTAGGGTTACAGATCGGGACAGTAAAAAAACTAGGGATTTTTAAGTCTGGGTTTAATTTATTGCGTTTTAAAGTACAAGTGCAAGTATAGTATTATATTGGTGTCGATTCTAGCACGATTCTCTTAACCTAAACTGAAATTTGACAGCAGTATATCCTTGTCATTCTCTATACAGAATGAAAAGGAGAGACTGATGTTAAATTTAGTTTTAAGTTTAGAGAATCATGCCAGAATCGATACCACTGACTAGGGACACGAAAAAAGTATACGTAAGATACTTTTACTAAATGAGTACTTTTGGCAAGTATCGATACCTTTAAAAATTTGGATAAGCGCCTCATATTGATGGCAACGCCATCTTGTTAAATCATAGCAAACCTTCTAAAACGTTCCATAGGTTTTTGACAAGTTTTAGGCAACGATCTCACGTTATTGACTAATGTTTATGGAGTCCGTAAAAAGTGGATATTCATCATTCTGTCGTGTATTTCAGTAATAAACCAAATAAAAACTCCATTTTCAAGTTGCCGCGAAAACGTTTCTCTGGACAATATGGCGTCTTACTAGTGTGTGACGTCACAAGACTGTTATTAAAACGTCAAACGATACAATGTAATGTCAAGCGGTTTGGGTCACGTGATAATGGATAAGAAAACTAATATCTTTTTCGTTATTTTGGCACTTTATTTTTAATACTGTCAAATGCCCTATTGCGTTGTAATAAAGTCAGTAACTGACATATTCAAATTCTTTACAATCTGTGACTGTGTTTATTTTGCGCTTTGTTTTGTTTCATAGTTATTTATTTAGCGACCATATTGTTAGGAACTGTGGTTGATTCGCCGATTATTGTGCTTTTCGCTTGACTGTATTTGATTTATTCAAGTGTAACACTATTATTCTGTCTGTGCTGTGTATACCTATTTGAAACCACCTGAAAAAAAGACGGGCGTAACTTCTTCTATAATTATAATCTTGAGTGAAGCATACCAATGGCAGCCGTTAACTACGTGTCAGATTCAAGTTAACATAAGTGGGTATAATGTTTTTTCATGATTAAAATTCAAGAAAAGTTAGTTTAATTTGAAACAAATCTGAAAAGTTTCATACTTTTAAATTGTTTAAGATTTCGATGTTTTTAATTAACATTTTAATTATGAATGTAATATTAATGAACACTTTTTTTGGGTCAGAAATCACAGCTATTTTCTTTTCATTATATAATATAACAATTTGTGAATTTACATGTCCTTTTTTGTTTTTGATTATACGTACTATAATAAAATTCGATTGTTTTTCTTTCAATTTAAACACCGGGCCCTATGAAATGTACTCGATACTTTGAAGTATCGAATACTTTTGCGAGTACGATACTTTTTTACCGATACTACTCATGAGTACAGTATCGATACTTTCTATTCGATATCGTGTCCCTAACAATGACATTTCGGACTCGCAAATGTCACGAATTCTATATTGGTTCGTGCTAAGGGTACTGATTTATTTTTAATTTTGATAAGTTACTTTCAAAGTTGATCTCAAAGTTAAATTGAATAGGTACTATTCAGTACTTTATTTCTAATTTATACTTTATTTTATTTTGATAGATTGAATCTCGCCTTGTGGCCAAAACTAGCTCATAGTTGCTGATAGAATGTGTTTATTTTAGCTGCTTCCTATTGCGCATGCCGTGGCAACCTATAATTAAAGCGACACTAATCCTAGCTTTAAACTGCTTCTGTAGCTACTAACACTGACGCTGTGTTATGCTTTGTTGGTTGTCCTTAATAAACTAAAAAAAAAGATAGCCCATATTTAAAATTTTGGTTGACTTTTAAGCTATTGTATAGCTTTTATCGCGGGCTTTGAGCGCGGCGACCTAATCAAAAAATTGCGTAACGAAGAAACCTTGCAAGAGTGCATATACCAATAGGACACAATTTTCGCTATTCCAGTATTAATCTAAACGGCGCAATGTGTTAAATCTTTGCCATGGTACCAACGTTCGACCGAAATAATCACACCTGTGATATGAAAAGTATGCTGGCCGGCTGCATGAAGGAGATGAGGGAATTCCGCTCGGAGATAGCGGCCTTCTGCAGTTCTTTTACAACTCGACTTGACTCCTTCGAGTAGAGAATTGCGGTGTTGGAGCAGCGTCAGGTGGATCCTGATGCAACTGGTAGGATGGACTTGGAGCGTACCATATCCGAGCTGCGCGCTGAGGTTAATGACCGCGATCAGGAGGCGTTGATGTCCGACCTGGAGATCGGCGGGTTGCCCGAAGAGAGGGGCGTCAGCGTGGAGCAGAGTGTCACCATGCTGGCCGTGTGGCTGGGAGTGATTCCCAGCCGCGAATTCGGAGGACGGCGCCCCGGACACCGCTGATGAGGGTGGCCCGCCAGCCACCTCTGTGGGGGGCGGCGCTCTGGTCTGCATGATACGCCAACCGCCAGCTTATATAACTGCAAGCAGGCCCTGCCAGAATATTTAAAATATTTATTTTATAAAAATATTTTCTTTCTTTCTTTCTTTTTCCTTCTTTCTTTTAATACTCCCCACTCCGACCGGCACAGCAGTGCGGCGTTGAAAGTCGTGCATCTTCTACTGTCGTTTCAGTTCGGCAGACTTCGGCACGGTGTATATGTGCGTGCGACTAGACATATGCGTGTAGACTGTAGACTAGCTGCTAACTGCTCATAACTGATTCTATCTCTTTTAGACACAATGTTAGGTGAGACATCCTGCTTTTTGGCCGCATGCACGAGTGAGTTCGAGCCCGCGACTAGTTGAACCTTAACGTGCATCCATAAACATTTATGGTACGACTGTACGAAGCTCGCATTTAAGATTATAAAAATATTTTAAACAATAGATATTAACTTTTCATTTATTCAATAAAATAAAAAAAATGTTTACTTATCGGTCACCACGCTCAAAAAGTGTAACATAAATTAATATCAAAGAAAAAAAAACTGCATAAATATATAATTGTAATTGCATAAGTTGATAAAAATGCTATGCAAATAGCATTACCGCGGCAGTCCCCGAGTGCCACACGTATTTTTTGCCTTTATGAATAATGTTATGAGAAGAAAGTAAGAAAGTATTTGTAAAAGTGTTTACGGGAAAAAGCGCGGGAAACCTGCAACTTAGGCGGACGTACTTTTTGGCAAGATTTTTTATTTATTTCTATTAATAGTCATTGGGATCAGATAGGTCCTTAGTTTATTTTAATATTTATTAGTAGTGTATAATTATATTCGCTGTATCGGTAAGTTTTTAACATTTCTTACGTATGAATGACCCTTTAGACCCTGAGGGGAAAGCCCCCCAGGTGCCGCATATTGTTACAATTCCATTTGATTGTAATGAAAAAGAAATGGAAACAGAGGGCTCTTTAATTGACACTGATACTTCTGATAACAACTTTAATAACAATAAACGTAAACGAGTCTCATCCCGAAAAATTTGCAAGCATTGCAACAAAAAGAGAAGGCATTACAAATCCTCCTCGGTGGCTTTTAATGAAAAAGATTGTCAGTGTACTGACGATAATAGTCATTTTGAAGAAAACCTCCCCACTAAATTTAAATCTCCAAAAATTCCTACTGCTCCAGTATCACAAGAAATAATAAATGTAAATAATTCAAATTCCTCTCCTAGCCAAGTAAGTAGAAACCTGTATCAGGCATCAGGTGCCGCTCCGTATATTATACATATTCAGAGGGAACAGACCAGTGCCAGTGATAATACCTCTATTCACCCCATTTCCTCAAAAAGAACAACATTAAAAATATTGTCAATGGAAGCCTTAAAAGAATTGGAAGGAATCGGTTACTTTTGTCATTTACTCATTTTGAAGATGCAAATGCTTTCATTGACAATCAAGCTTTGAAACAGCATAACTACAAAGCATTTATTCCTAGTTTTAATATTACTCGTATGGGGGTTGTAAGAGGTATTCCCACTGACTGGTCCGAAGCAGAAATAATGGAAAATATTACTGTTCCTTTTGGGTGTGGAAATATACTCAAAGTTAGGAGAATAAATAGGAAACATATTGTAGACGGCAAAGCAACATTCTCTCCAGTGGAGACTGTGGTGCTTACTTTTGATGGCCAGGTTTTACCTAAAAGAGTTTTTCTTTGCTTCAATGCTTTACCTGTTGATTTGTATATTTTCCCTACTGTACAGTGCTTTAATTGTTGTCGCTATGGTCATATTAAGAATCAGTGTAGATCTGTTCCAAGATGTTTCAAGTGTGGCAATAGCCACGCTGGTGAGAGCTGCAATATTGATGATGATGATGTTGTGTGTTGCTTGTGTTCTGGTTCTCACTATGCGACCAATAGAAAATGCCCAGAGTTTGCAAGACAGAAATCTATAAAAGAGACCATGGCGAAAAATTGTGTTTCATATGCTGAAGCATTTAAATTACATCCTCCAGTTATGAAAACCTATTCTGAAGTTTTATCTTCCACAGTACCTCCATTGTCTCCTACAAAACAAAAACATACAAATTATAATAATGTAAACAAATCTTCCTATAAAAAGACATATTTTGTGAAATCAAATCCACCCAAAAAGGACAGCATAGGGTATGATAAGCTCAGACCAAATAAAAAGTATAGACGGAGTCTGCCGAACCAAAAAGTGAAGCCGATAAAACTACGCCTCGCCGTGTACATACACAGTTACACGCACACACATGCAACGAAACTACGCCTTGGCTTCTCAGTCGAGCTATCCCGACGCGCGGAGTGTGACGTAATAATAAATAACAATATTTATTAGAAAAAATGCCGAATTGTGTAGTGAAAACGTGTAAAAACCAATCTTCCAAGAATAAAAAACAGGATGGAATCACATTTCATACGTAAGTAAAGTTATAAACTGCTATTTTCAATTAATCAAAATCGAATTTGAGGTTGTCGCTTTGTAAACAAAAAACCTGAACGAAATGTTGCCATGATTATTCGTTACAGTTTTACCCTTTTGTTGGGTAGCGTGAAATATAACATAACGTTATTTTATTATATACATTGTGTGGCATACTTTTATATTATTCGAATATTGTAATGCATGGATAAACAATTACACGAAACATCTTTTTTCTTTATGTATTCCTATAAATTTTTTGGGATGTAATACACATTATTTAATATACGTTCTTTTTAAGATTTCCTAATCGAGATCAAGATCTAAAAGAGAAGTGGATTGCAGTCATTCGTAAGAGTAGAAATGCACCATTGTGGCAACCAGCTTCCCGCAGCGTGGTTTGTTCGACTCATTTTCAGAGCGACAATTTGTAAAATAATAATATATTTGTAATTTTATTTGTATTGTACTTTTTAATGGCCTTTTTGACCCAAAATTCGCGATGTTTGTGGTTTTTTTTTATTATGTTCTTGTATAGGAACTAGTGATTATATTTTATGTATTCTGTAGAAAAATTCCATGTACATTTTAATAAAAGAAACTATTTATCAACGTTTGTATATGCTTTTCGTTTTATCGACATAAAGTTGAGATGACTGATTTGTAAGCGATTTCAAGTGCCTTGTTGCGAGTGCTTGAAACTATAAAATGAACAAACCTATTCCATCCGAGACTTGTAACTAAAGTAAAATAATCAATCCAACATAATTAAACGTCAACACATAAATCAAGGCACTTGGATCTCGCATTTGTTTTTATCAACACTTGCAACACGACCCTTTTTTTTCTGTTGCGTGTTATATTTTATAATTGTATTTGGTAAGTTATTATATACATTCATTCATATATAGTACATTCTATATGTACAAAAACCTGGATTTATAATTTACAAATTTTGAAAATACACCTCATTTTACCTATTTAAACGACTTTTTTTATCTTTCCTGAGTTTACCATAATGTAATTAAAATAAATTATAGACATGACGCATTGTGTACACACTGTTTTATTGAAAATTTTATGAAGAATCCAAATATACGTTTGTGAAGGGTATTTTTACAAAATAACAGAGAAATCGGCAGAACAATGCAATCGTTCCCACCCAGCGGGCGGGCGGTCCATAAAGAAGTCCGGCACTTGTAGGTGAGAACGGCGCATGACCTTTGGCTCACGAGAGGTTTAGAGAATAAGCTTACGATATTTTTTTCTAATATTTTATAACGTTATTAAAAATGTAATAACGTTATGAAATAACGTTATTACATTTTTCTAATATTGGGGTGTTTTATATGACTATGGTAACACTGGCTAATGCACTACATACATAAAAAACCGGCTTCACTTTTTGGTTCGGCAGACTCCGTCTTTACTTTTTATTTGGTCTGAGATGATAAGGTAGTCCATGCTGCATTAACTCAGAACTATGATATCCCTTTACCATCAAGTGGCACCTTGAAAAATAATCCTTTATCTACTTTGTCAATAAAAGATTTAATTATTGTTTTAATTAACTCACTCTCTCAACAAAATAATTATTTTGAACCGTCCAACACTGCTATTTTAAATATGAATAATTTAATTAATAATAATGATACCAATAATGGATCTTCAGTCTACAATCCTTCAGTGGAATTGCCGCAGCATAAGGAATGAAAAGTCAGACTTACTGTATATTATTAACATATACAAACCAATTATTATGGCACTACAAGAAACATGGCTCCAACCCAACACTAACTTTAATATTTCTAATTATTTTTGTTTAAGAGAAGATATAACTGATAGCTATGGTGGTGTTGCTTTATTAATAAGTGACACTGTTCCTTTCCAGCATATTCCAATTACTAACCATAGTACTGACTTCTCAATAATAGCTGCATCTGTTCAAAATAAATGCTTTGTATCAATATACATTCCTCATCCATCATCCTCTATATATGATGAAGTAGCAGCTATTCTATCGCGATTACCTAAACCTATTTTGATAATGGGTGATTTTAACGCTCAACATCGATCTTGGGGTAGTTCTAACTCAAGCTATTATGGCGCTAGAATTTTAGATATTGTAGATGAAAATAACTTTTGTATTTTAAACTCTGGCCTAGACTAAAACATAGAATTAACAATGACAGTGACAGCTGGGAGAAGTTAAGGGAGCTAGTTGCGCAAAAAGTATCATCTCTTCCCGACGTTCAGCTTAATGATCAAACAATGTGCGCAGATGCGTTTGCGTTGGTTCTAATAGAGGCTGCTGATTCGACCTTTCTGCGTAAACAATCTAATAGAAATATTCCCTCACCGCCTTGGTGGGATTCTGAATGCACAGCAGCAATAAAACGTAGAAAAGTAGCTGAAAAAAAAATATTATAATAACAGTACAAATGACAACTTTGACAAACTTTCGCATATAATAAATGAAACTCGTAAACTACTAAAGAAAAAAAAATGGGATGGTTGGAAGGCATTTTGTTCTTCCTTGGCCCCTGATATTTCCCCATCTGCTATTTGGACTAATGTCCGAAAATTTAGATCGGCGTTCAGAGAACCAACTCAGAAGTTCATAAATGAGGAAGTGGCTAATAAATTCCTTGATAAATTAGCTCCTCCCCTTTTTGTTTCCCCGGTTAATACACCTTTATTCAAATCTATTAACAACACGATTGATAATTTATCTCATGACCACGGCCTCAACTCTCCTTTTAGCCTAACTGAACTAAAATGTGTTTTGTCCTATGTAAAAGAATCTGCCCCTGGGAGTGATGGAATCCCCTATTCATTCATATCCCACTTAAGTGACGACAGTCTTGTTTACTTATTACAAGTGATCAACTCTATTATGGTTAATAACGAAATTCCTATATCATGGAAAACTCAGGAATTAATTCCTTTATTGAAACATAATAAACCCCCTGCAGATCCAAATTCATATAGACCTATAGCTCTGGCTTCAGTTCTTTCTAAAATAGCAGAACACTTAGTTAAGAACAGATTGAAATGGTTCTTAGAAAGAACTAAAGTTAGATGGCATCCAGTCTAAAGCTCTTCGCATTGTAACTGGCGCCATGAAGTCAAGCCCGTTGAATGTGTGGATCCTCCTTTAAAACTAAGGAGACAATTTTTATGTGATTTTCTATTTAGAGCTCTTCAACTTTCTGACCACCCTCTTTTTAACAAGTTACACCATTTACTGCGTAAAATTAATAATTCGGCATATTGGAATAACAAGTCGCTTCCTTGCTTGGTAATCAGCTACATTAAATTTACTTCACTGCTAGCACCTACCCACCGATCACAATATCTTCCCATTTTTTCTATTAATTATGAAGCTCTTACCATTTCACCCAAAGTAATTTATTTAGACTCTTTACGTAATAATAAAAATGCTAATATTAATCTAATGAGTATTATTAATACAGAATGGCCAGACTGGCATTACATTTACTGTGACGCATCTAAACATCCATCTACTGGGATAGTTGGAATCGGTGTTTACCACCAACAGTATAAAATAACACAAAAAATTAAATTACCCCCAGAAACCTCAGTATACACAGGAGAATGTTATGGAATCCTTAAATCATTAGAATACATTTTGCTTGCACAACTCAAAAAGACAATTATTTTCTCCGATTCCAAAAGCACTTTACAGGCAATAGAAAAATTTCCTTTTAAAGCTTCTTCTTCTAACGCCTATTTGATCGATTGTAGGAAATTATTACTGAATTGTACTTTGAAGAATCTAAATGTGCTCTTTGCGTGGATACCTGGCCATCATAACATCACAGGCAATGAAGTAGCTGATAAACTCGCTAAAGATTCAGTGCATTGTGGTGACGTCTTTCCCTATAAAAAATTAGTAAATGATCTTGTTTTACTTCCTAAAGTACATCTACGCATATCTTGGGAAGAAAATTGGGATACTAGTAGTCGCATCAAAGGTAAACATTATAAATTAATTCAACAATGTATTCCCGATAAACCATGGTTTTCTAAAATTCATTTAAGTAAGTTTGCCACATCAAGTCTCATAAGAATGCGCCTAGGTCATAACTGTTCTTCTTCCCACCTGGCTAAACTGGGCATAGTAAATAATAATATTTGTGCTTGTGGTACTGGAGCAGAAGACTTAAATCACATCTTCTTCGAGTGTCCCCTCAATGATTCCGCCTCTTTTATGGATTCATTAATATCCCTTAATGTACCTCTCCTTACTTCTATTCCTTCCTTATTGTATTATAAAAATTATAATATATATAACAAGCTATCTGAAAAAAGTTAGGAACTAAACATAATATAAAATTATAAATACCTAATTTATAACAAATAATGTAATGTATTTTATATACTTAAATAGACCTATTACTTACGTTTCAAATTAATTTTACGTACCTACCTGATTTTAATCCTTCCAAATTCCGTTTCACAACCATTTTATTTCATTATTTTGGTTTCCTTACCTTTTACCCTGTCGTGGCCAATGCACAAACCGTGCGAGCCATTATAATAATAATAAAAAAAAGTGTTTACGTCTTTTTAATGTAAGTTTATTTTATTTAATATTTTACGGGCCATCTTCAGCGACCAACTTCCCAAGATAGCCCAATACCAAGTTTCTAAAAAGTGTATACATTTGTGTTTAAATTCCAAAAGCTGTACTACTTTTTTAGATATCTTGATGCTCAAATAAATATATTACAACTTCCATTATGTTGTTTCTTTACTTATCTGCAAGATTTAACAAGGTTTTGAAATGAAGTTGGCCTTCATTGGTGCCTGTACCTTACTTAAAAAAAAATTGTGTGTGTCAGCTCCGACGCACGACTGGAGTTTACTTCTTAAGTTCAATAGTCTAACCAGACGCAAAAAGAGTTTATTTAACTTAAAAAAGATTGAGACTGTATGAAAGGGTAAATTAACAAATTAATGAAAATAATATACATATATAAATATATATTTTTTCATTTCATATACATTTATTATAACTAATCGACGAAATATTTTACATTAAACTTTTTACAATAGTCAATTTCAGATGTGCATAAATATATCATTAGGAATGTTGATAAATTATGTAATTATTATTATTAGTCCAGTCAGTATTGTCGCGAAATCCGTTTTTCCTCAAACAGCTGGAACTATGCTAAAAAGTTTCTTAAGATAGTAAAGAACACTTTACATAGAGAAAAAAATGTTTCCAATCCCGGGCAAGGGTGAAAACCACCCTTAATAATCTATTTTCCCAATTATCTCAAAAAGTATACGAGATACGGAAAAAAACTTCAAATGAAAATTGTAGATCTTTTTGAAATCTACAAAACATTATTCCACCCTCTTGCCCCTATTTTCAATAGGGGAGCCAATAATCGAAGTCAAAGATAACTTTTTTAACTAACTTTAACTTTTTAAGTATTGAATCTTTGACTTCGATTATTGGCTCCCCTATTGAAAATAGGGGCAAGAGGGTGGAATAATGTTTTGTAGATTTCAAAAAGATCTACAATTTTCATTTGAAGTTTTTTTCCGTATCTCGTATACTTTTTGAGATAATTGGAAAAATAGATTATTAAGGGTGGTTTTCACCCTTGCCCGGGGTTGGAAACATTTTTTTCTCTATGTAAAGTGTTCTTTACTATCTTAAGAAACTTTTTAGCATAGTTCCAGCTGTTTGAGGAAAAACGGATTTCGCGACAATACTGACTGGACTATATCAGACTATTATCATTTTTTTAAATATTAATTAAATAAACATTGTCTGCATTATTAAATACAGTGACAAGTGGTTTATGGTAACTAAAATAAGACACATGGACGTTCGTAGATACGTGGTTCACAAATCTTGAAAATACCGCATCAATGGTTGTACCATACCCCGTTGTCCCCATTGCTCTATCAGAAACAATATCTAAATTCAGTTCAGATTTAAAAAAAAATATTAATGTCAATCCGTCATCTTTGTTTGTCAAAGTTGCGCGACATAGGATGCGCACCAAAAACGTAACGAGGTCATTCATCGATAGATTTTACTCCTCACATTTTTCTCATACCGGGTCCCTTTTAAATGCAAATTGATTCTTAAGGAGTAAACTCCAAATAGCTTAAGAAGGTTTATGTTTATTGCCAACCAATGTATACTGTAACACATTTGTATGAATAAAATTCTATTCTGTGGTATTCTTTAGACTACCACACTAGACTTTTAAAAAAAACTATTTTAGAGTTAATCGAGTCCGCGTTAAAATTCATCCACATAAAACTTCGACACCCTCCCACTACCCTTTTAGGGGGTAGTTTAAGAAAACTTAAATGGCAAACTTTATATGTAGATAAGTATTTGAGCCAAGTTTCAAATCAATTAACTCAAGGAATAATTTTTCATACAATCTTTCCTCCCCTATTTTACTTTATGGAATTTGAAAAATCGTTTCTTACTGCACCCCTCAAGCACATAAGGAAGCTACTTGTCAAATTTGGAGTATCTAGACCCAGAGGATTGGGTTGTGCGTTGAAAGGTCAATCAGTCAGTTTCTTCTTTTATATATATAGACTGTAAATAATATAATAAATAAGAAAGTAAAATCAAAAGTACTATGTAAGTTTTCTCAAATTTTAATAAGTTCTTTTTACTAAGTAGCTATGGTACCTACCTATAACCATATCTATGCCTTTGCCTCTTACAGTAACTCCTAAAGTGACAGAAATAAAGTTTATGGTCGGGAGTCCCCAGACTTATTTATGCTTGTTTATGTGGTTACATTCGTTATTGGTGGTTAGAATGCGCAGCGATCTATGGAAATAGCCTCATCTGTGTTCTCTTCAGTTTGTAAACACATTCCTAGTTTGTCATACCTACCTATTGTTTAGTGTCGAAACAGTGATAGACAGTGTAAATATAGTGAATTAGTGAAGAAGTTTGTTATTAAACTTATCTAACTTCCTAGTGTGCTATTAAGCAAAATGCAACGTAACATAACATTAGAAATGCAGGTTGAAAATATTAGTCTCGAGACAGTATTAATGGTACAGAAAGACTTTGATGCCAGCGAAGTGATCTCTATAATTTTCCTTTTAGATGAAAACCACGGAAGGGCCTTGGAAAATCTAATTGCATTTCAAAGGATGTCGAAAACTGGAAGCTACTCTGCAAACATTTTGTTGGATTGGGCAATAGAAGCTAGCGAAAGATTGACATGGAAATGGGAGTTCGTTGACGCACTTCTAACATGTCAAATCCTTTCTGTTATTAAGAAAATAGGTGTCAGTATACCTGCTTTAAAAAATCATTTATTATCGTCTCAACGGCGCTACGTACATCCAATAAAAAAACACATTTTCAAAATCTGTGAAAACATTGACAGTATTATTTACTTAAAACTTATAAAAATACTTCGTGAGGATTACAAAATAATTTTGACTGATCATGAGAATTGTGAAATACTTTTTTTACAGCTTATGTATAAAAAGTTTTTTACTATATCGTTAGGAAATTATTCTAACGTAGACGACAGCGTCGATAAAATTGTAAATGTTTTGGATCAAATACAGACATTGCGGGAGTTATCCACGGAAATGAAATATTTGTTTGCAATAAATAACATAGACCGGAAGAACGAATCGTATACCCAAAAATCTAATTTTGAACACAGGGAAAATAGAGAGAAAACTTATGAAGAACAAGAACTGGGTGCCGATGATTTTGATGATACTTATAAATTACTCAATCAATTAACGTTGGAAGACCTAAATTCACATTTTAAAGCCGATAATGGTAAAAAATAAGTTTTTATCGCGTGTTTTAATTGATGCTTTCCTATCTCCCAACAATTTGTCGCTTATAGCATAATCATAATCTAACGACGCAGCTTGAAAAGGATGCGAAATTTCATAAATAAATAAATCAGTGCATCTTTACCGTTAAAACTTGTTTTATTTAATGAGTGGTGTGCGTAAAGAAACAAATAGCATAATGTGGGTTTAATGTCTCTGTTTCGTATCAAGCGATAAACGATATTTTGACAGATGTATCCACTGGCAGTGACTTAATATCACATTGAGCATTATGTATCTTAGGAAAAAACCATACAAAGTCAAATTGAACCTTGTAAAAGCTTGCTAAAGGTTATTACTCTTCGTCAAACGTCAAAATCGAGAGAATAAAGGTGAAATATCTAACAACCAATACTTGATGGGCTATTTGGCATCCCCATCCAACAGCAATAATTTTAGTGACATGGAAAAGGTATTTTCAATAGGAACAATACTCACTACGAAAACATAGTCGGTTCGGAGTTATCATCATGAATATGACGGACTTTGTAATTTAAAATTTAAAAAATCTTCCCAATATGTTTTAAGACTTTTAAATCGCTGCAGCAATTTAAATCACTTACACGTATCCATCACAGACTGCATTCACGCTGAAGATTTTCTGAACAAGATCAGGTAAAAAGTAGATGCTCCCAACCAACGATATTATATACCCTAGATACACCACGAACGCTCAAAATGTGTCCCAATCAAGAAGTGCTTGAACTCCACTCAAGCACTTCTTGGTCCATAGTCACGCGCGGACCCTTACAAAGTCAAGATGCCACAGAGCTCCACGAAAAAAATACTTAGAGTACGAAAAGTGTCGTTTTTTCGACAGGTATCTACTCAATGTTTGTTAATTTAACGCATTTGAAGTAAATTTGCATCTAATACTTACTATAAACTGGTTTAATATAAAATATTTGTGATATTCAAATGCATAGTCGGTTATACGTCGTCATATAGCCGTCTCTTTTCCTCGCGGTCCGTGCCTGATATATAGCTAACAGCGCGTTCAGAATTGCGCGTCAAAGAGCTAAGGTCTAAATTCTTCCACATATAGCAATAAGTCGTAAAATTTTACGAGCTTGCATTTCAAACTGTCAGAAGTCCTTGACGCATGCGTTTTATTTAAGACCTTATATTAGTATGTATTAAAGGTTACGTTCAATATTTAATAATGCCTTATATTGATTTTGACTACGCGATCATCTTACGGAGCTCCGTGAATCGTTCAATGTACCTTTTGGATAGGTTTCGGGAACGATTTTGTTCGTGTTGGTGTATCTATTATATCGTTGCTCCCAACCTATTACACAATTATGTAGAGAGGAAACGGTTTAATAGGCGAAGGGCTTGATGGGTTGATTTTGTGAGAATAGAGGCAAACGAGATAACAAGCTTTCTACAAATGATTGAAGAACAGATTATTGTACTGTCTCTGGGTATGTACCAATTAAAGCTAGCAAAGTCATACTGCGCCGAGCATATGCAAAATGGGCTCTATAACATTGAAATATACAGAGAAAATGCAAGACTTACCTGACCTCGGCATGAATGAAGTGCGTGGCTTCTACGTGGTCGTATCCAATCACGTCAGGTGAGTTCGAGAGTATACTACTCATACATATTGATAAAATATCAACCATGCTGCAGAAGAGGCTATTGTCCAACACTACTGCACGGTGCACGTGTTTGACGGGACGACGGACGTACTGTAAGCACTTGTGCTCATATAATATTAACAATATGGTTTTTAGGATACGCCAGGCACGAGGGCTTTACTGCTCCCGCAATCTTCTTGAATGTCTTAATGGTTGATAGTTGATAGTATAAAAATGAATAAAGTCAATAAACAGTATTGGTCGATACAAACTGTTCTTTTTTTATATTTTTATCAAATAGCATCACTCAAAAGTGGGGATCCATTAAAGAGGCCTACGTACAGCAGAGTATGATTATGAGGAGTGATGATAATAATTATAGCGGTGTTTTTCCCCATGAAAACTAATATTCGATGGTGATAAACACTCATAAAACTGTTATTTCGATATAAGGTAACAATTAACTTATAACTATTCAATTTCATAATTACTCCGAACCGACTAAAATCGAGACAAACGCCCTAGTAGCTGTTATTAAACATAAGAAAATATATTTATAGTCATAGTAAAATTATTGCTGTTGAAGCGGATACCAAGTTTCATACACATTTTCATACATTTTGCCCATCCAGGGAAAACTCATAGAACTTTTTTTTTTTAATCCTTTAAAAACAAAATCGAATGTTTTAACTTTCGATTTTGGCGTTTAACGAAAAAGAACCAACCTTTAACAAGGTATGACTCCGTTAATATTCGATCTAGTGATATTTTAAACCCAGTATTTTGTTTGTTTTTTTTATAAGCTGCAACTTTATTTCACATGTTTTTTTTTCATAAAATACTTACGAGAGTTATTCTTGGAAAACCCTTTGACGTTTCCGCTCTCAAACAAGTTGAAAAATATTGCCTGTCAGTAAAAACTTTAAAGAACAAATATTGCTTAGAATTAGTCAGTGTATCTATTCCCATTTTTATTTTAATAGAATGGTTTCCATCCCCAAGAAAGGGGGACCTCAGTAAAAGCAACCCTCGGCACATTGACAATTTTGAAACAGAAGGTAAGTAGAACCCACCGCCAAATTTTAGTGCTAATCGGTGCTCTTTGGTATAATTGCTGGGAAAAACAGAGCATTGACTACCTACTGCCAGCTGAGCTTTCGAGCGATGACGGTTACTTTAGTCACGGTAATATTATCTATACAGTATTCTATCTTCATACAAACGGTCGGAAAGCGTGTCATACCTACGCCACTCGAGTTCGCGCGGCACCCGGTGGGCATCCAGTCGCGAATGCGCCGCAGCGACGACCAAACGGTCTGAATTACTTTTATGCAGTTAGCCGTGCTTAAACGTTTGTATTTGTTATACTATTAATAATAAAGCTTTTCGTACGTCTCAGTCGAGGCGTAAATATTTTTCTGTCTCAAATCTATATATTTTTTATTAAATATTAAAATAACATGTATTTTATGTAACACTTCCTAATTCATTCACAACATTTTTTTTACATATGAAATAAATGATTTACAATCACAAAACTAGAAAGAAACTCAATTACGTAGATGAAATTAAAATACTGTAGGCGGGCAGCCTTACCGCGTGGATACGCCCCGCTCGGCCGTAGGCAGTTATTTCAAGGACAGGGCCGAGTCACAATACTGTATAGATAATATTACCGTGCTTTAGTTCCTCATTTCTGATTCTATCATCCCATACAAGTAGAGTACATTCGAAGACATTCATTTTCATTCAATATATCTTTATAATAAACCGATACTGAGTCCCGGAATCTTAGGTACAGGCCGAGCAGTATTTCATTATCATCTTTTGTAAGTTGGAGGTTACTTCGCCTGACGCAGGCATGGAGTCTTATTACAGTGCCCGGCACGTAAGTTGAACCCAAATTATTGTTTTCAGCGCATGTTTTGTCACAGAAAAACATCATGGCACTAAATAATTATTAACAATACAATAGTATCTAATGAAACACAGCAACCGTTTTTTTAAAAAAACATTTAGTTTTGTGTCGTTTTTCTGTGAAAAAACATGCGCTGAAAACTAAAATTTGGGTTCAACTTACGTGTCGGGCACTATACTAACTAAGCCTCTCCCCACCACAAACACATCCACTTCTTTAAAAAAATGTATACTGCCATATACAATTACAAATCAATCAATATTCATTTATTCAGTTTTAAGCTTTTACAAGCACATGTGAAAGTCGAAATGTACGCCATCGGTTCGCAAATCTACGGCGGGAGACCATACACTTGGAAGAACCGGCAAGAAACTCGGCAAAGGCTGCTTTTTTTCTCCCTGTATTACTTCATACAGTGTCGTGAAATAGAAAGCTGACATCAAACTCAAGGTCAACTTCCATCAAAGAATGTAAAAATGGAACAATAAATATACAAAAGCACCGAAATATCCAGTAAACAATTTTCAAAACACCTGAGCAAGTTTAATTAGGCTATCGCGACCCTGATGGCCGAGTCGAATTTTCTACCTACCTACACCTACAATGCGAAGAGATGGCGCTGCTTGCAGCCTAAGACTAGAGAAAATTCAACACGGCTATCAGGGCCGCGGTAGCATATTGGTTAGTGTGTTCGCCCGGCTAACGAAGGGTGTAGGTTCGAGTTCCATCTGCTGCCTGGTCCGCGTGGAATTATTTCTAGTAAAATTTTCTTTGGATTTAAAAATCTAGCGGTTAAATAAATAAAAAATATAACTTAATAATGGTAACAATGTGCCATGCACTATATGCATGATAAGCAAAATTATAATCATATAGTAACTTATTAATGTATACTTCTAGTGGTCATCTGTGGTCTATACATTCATTCCACTTCACTAAATGGCGATTTCAAAGGGTCGAATGGATGAGTTACTTACCTTATAATATCTCTCAATTACTATGAATATGTCTTAATTTTTTTAAGACTTGTCTTGATTCCTCCTGGATCCCATCATCACATCCTGACCAAGTTATTATGAAACCACCTGGGGAGCTTCACCAATTAATAAAAAATACATGACATGTACATGTGAGACTACTCACATTTAGGGTTCCACTAAGTAAAGACTTTCTAAGAAAAATTAAGATTTATCATTAAATTGGTTGGTGTATTTTGTTAGTAAGATAAAGAATATTAAAAGTAACAAACATTATCAACAAACTTCATATTCTATGGTAAGTAAAAAAAAGCTAACTTTTGTGGCTTCTCATTCATTTGTTTTCCAATATTTAAAAATCTTACTTTATTCATTATAAAGAACCTATTTATCTACTCAACAAAGGAGGAACTGTCCCTTACTTAACAATACCCCACTCAATTTGTGTTGAGAAACTGTAAATCCTGTGTGAGGGACTACTTAATTAATTGCACATGTACAATATAGGATCTTAAAATTATTTTAGCATGGTACATGACCCTGTCAGGATGTTGCAAGTACAATATCTATATCAACACAACTACTAAATGGTTTCAGTTTCAAACAAGTTAGAGAGCTTTCTGCGACGGTTTCAATTATCATTCATAAATACATTTACCGAATAGTATGCTTTCTTGATAAGATGTTTTTTCGAGTTTCATTTTAAATGTATTTATGTTGCTTTCTCTTTTAATTTCTATCGGAATTTTATTATATATTATAATTGAACAATATAGAGGACTTTTTTAAACATTTCTAGTTTTGGCACTGGTTATACTAAATTATATTTATATTGCAGATTTTTATTGAATGTAACTACAGAAGGACACGTGAGTTACAGCAATACTTTGTTTAGTCCCTTGAGGACCATCTGGTCCTCTACCTACAGAACCCTAATTGAGGCTGAGCAAAGTGTAACTTCTCGATTAAAATAAATTTGATAAATAACAATTACAGGTATCGATCAAATAAAAGATAAATCTTATGCTATATTCTCAATATTGATTGATACATCAGTCTTTGTAAAATCCATGACAGCTGCTTCCAACTGTTTTCTTTCTTCATCTGTCTTTAATTTTGACCACATCATATCCAAGTATGCTCTTTGATGTTTCTGTATAAATAAAAAACTATGTTTCAATGTTGCTCCTACATGTAGAGTGTTAAGTCTTACATCCAATTTATCTATTTTTGTAATAAAAGGTAGACTACTAGTTACAAAACGATGTGGGCCATGTCTTGTTCGTATAATTGCTATTCTAGTATTCTCATTGCAATATTTTGTTAAAAACCCATTCCTGATAGATGCAACTCCGAAGTCACCATGTAGTTGTTGAACTTTGTTTAGAACAGTTTCATGAAAAATCTTTGATTTAAGATGAAGCGGTTTATTATTCGGTACCATAGGACAAGTTATTTCAACTGTAATATACCTGTAAGAATGGAAAAATTTACTTTTATGAAAAAAAAACACGAGTTTTAAAAATAACAAGAAGGAAACCAACATTAGCGTACAAACCTGTTCTTAAATCTAACCATTCTATTATGTTGTAGTCTAAACTATGGACTTTTCAAAATAAGAAGTCTGGGGAACATTACCTACGTAATTAATAACAACAGATTACTACAATTATGTGTAAATGAAAGTACAAACACAACGCAACGAAAATTAAATCAAATAAAAAAATATTGATTTTCCTTGTAAACAGTAAAGTTCATTGCACGTGTCTTCTTGACAGCTTGGACGGGCGACAATCTTCGAACCTTCGAGCATTGTTTTTTGTCGTTCGACTCTATGGCTCACATATCGATTTTGATAGTTCTTCACCCTCTCTGTCGCACTCCCTACCCCCCCTTGATACAGATGACATACCACTAATGACTGGCCAATATGGGAAACTCCAAGGCCGTAAAAATTATATATAAAAAAAATGGGTGCGTGTACTTAAGGCTACCATTCACAGGCGCGCCCATCCGCCGGATTTGTCGCTGGCGACAAGTCGGCGCGGCGCTCGCCGTCAAGAGACGCGAGCGCCGCGCCGCACCCCAGCCGCGCCGTACAAATCCGTACGTGTGTGTGCTTGCACAGATTTATCGGTGAACTTGTCAGTCATTTGTAGTGCATGCACGCAGAACGACCTCTTAACTCGTTAATTCTGTATCACGTCTGTATCACTTTTTTGACGTTTATGCGATACTGTTTCAAGTCAAAAAGTTGAACATAATACTCATTTAAGTTGATATCAAGTTAATATCATTTTAAAGAGTTGATCATAATACGCTTAATTTGATGTCATTTTGATATCGCATTTTTCGGAGAGCATAATACGTAATGTGAAATTGACATCAAAACAATATCACAATTAGCGAACATAAAGAGCTAATTGTATTTCTTCTACAAGGGGTTTATCTCTTCTACGCATGTCCTCGGCATGAGCTCGTTCTAAATAGTCCATTACTAACCCGAAACGAGCCATTTTACTCTTTTTTATTAAAAAAAAAAAGAATTTGATACAGAAAAACCACCTCCTAACTTGTTAAGTCTGTATCACTTTTTTGACGTTTATGCGATACTGTTTTATGTCAAAAAGTTGAACGTAATACGCATTTAAGTTGATATCATTTTAAAGTTGATGTCATTTTGATATCGCATTTTTCGGAGAGCATAATGAGTAATTTGAAATTGACATCAAAACAATATCACAATTAGCGAGCATAATTGGCCTGCAGTTGTGTTGTTTGTATCACGAACGAGTAAACGAGTATAATAACATGTCGTTCGGCGATCATAAAGAGCTTTGGCAAGAATTTATCCTGCTGTTTAAAGAGAAAACTAAAGAGAAACAGGTGGTTTACAGGTCTGAATGCATTGCAGCAATTTTAAATGAGTATATTTTGTTCGTTCTTTCAGCCATTCCTTTGTTCAAACGCGCTTTTTTTTTATTCTCCGTTAAAAGTATTGCACCGACTACTAAAGCGACTTTTGTGCGTTTGGAAAGCACCGGTGGCATGGTAGGGTAAGGAAGAACGATACGCGCGAGGCTCACCAAAGTACACAAGCGACTGGACTGCAACTCGACGCTCGTGTAGTGTGTGGGCAATGACGGATTTGTCCACGGATGGGTACGGCTCGGGGTTCGGCTCGCGGTGCGTGTAGTGAATGGTGGGCTTTAGGTAGGCGCGTGAGAAGTCATCCTTCTTTGGCATCGTTTAAAATTAGTTTTTAATTGCATGCAAATAATTAATTACAATAAATTAATAAAAAGTCTGGAAAAGGACGAAGTCAATAAAGTTCAGTTTTAATTTGAAAAAATAAACAAATAATCAAAATATTCAATTAAAATCGCTACTGAATATAATTTATTAGAACATATGTCATTTGCCCTTGTATGAAACTCAAACACGTATTCCGAATATACAAACTAGAAACATGTGGATAAATATTATAAATATGAATACCTATAACTGTTACTTTATTACAAAAAATAAAGATGTGGTTTTTGGTTCTACTACACCAATGGTCAAGAGATGGCGCTGTAGTCTTCTGAATCGCGCTTTGGTTCCGTTGTTCCAGATTAATAAATACTTTTTGTTACTTTATTACAAAAAATAAAGATGTGGTTTTTGGTTCTACTACACCAATGGTCAAGAGATGGCGCTGTAGTCTCCTGAATCGCGCTTTGGTTCCGTTGTTCCAGATTAATAAATACTTTTGATAGGCCTTCACAATGCAGTCGTTAGCATTAGCACCCACTAAATAGAGATTCTATTTCTATTTTGTTGGTAGATTTTCTTAATGTGCGGTAAACACAAAAGTAACGCATAAGCGACACTAAAGCGACCAACTTCATTATGTTAAAATTTTGTGTTACAGTGATGCGCGCGCATCTTAAAATTTCACTCTAAGAAGTATTACTTCAAAAATATACACTGTTGACACTATGGATCAGTGGATCAGTACAAGTGTCTGAAGCAAAGAGTAACATAAGTACTGAAGCAAAGAGAAAAGGTATATATAAGGGTCTGAAGTTTTGCGTTGAATTATTTCCGTAGCTTATTCTCTCAATATCTTAACTGTAACAGTTTTCTAAAACCCAGATCAATGTACAATATATCCAGTGTTATGGGTTGTGAGAGTAGACGAAAGGATTACGCATTTTAAAAAATATTCAAATCTGAGACTCCTTTGGTTATAGTGCTTGAAGTTGCAACATTTATAGAATTTCAATTCTGTACAACTTGATAAATGCTTTGAGTGTGCCAAACACTTTGAAAAACGTTGCTTTACAAGATATCAAATAAGATCTCGATTGCATCCAATCTCGATGCCATCCAAACATTGTTCACTGAGAGTGAGATTAAAAATGCAGTTCCTGATGAAACCGGTCGTATAGCTTCTTTGTTTGTAGGTAATACAAACCTGATGAAAGTAGTTATTTAATTCTAATATATAAATTAAGAAACAAGAGTAGATCGCAAACAAGAAGCAAGGCACTAAATGTTTGTATATAGCACAACCAACAAAGGTTACAATACAACTATAACCTGCAGTTAGGGTTACCAACTTCAGCAATTTAGGTTAGCAATTTTCGAAGCGTTACTTCTAAAAATGTAGTAGCTGGCAAAAAAATAGAAATAAATATAGTAAGTATGTGGTTATAATATTTACTTTATTTTTGAAATAAATATATTTTTGCTGCTCTTTGCCTTACTAATATTATGATAACAATCTCTAATAATTTTTAAGAAAGCTTTTACTGTCATTTCACAGTATTTGATCCCCTGATATAGTAGGATACTGTATTTTATAGTAGGGTTGTCTACCCAACCTGCAGTCCGAGCGGCGCTGATGAATTCAGAATCTGAAACAAGAATGACATTCCGGTAAAGTGCCAGACTCCGAAACCTGCGCGGGCAACCAGTTGTAGCTGCCACTATGGCCACTCTGCTTAAACTACACTGTTTATTTCTCGCACTTGTTCTCTGAGTCTGAATCTGATTCTGAACTTGCGTGCACTGTGGCCGTACCCAGAGACTTTACCGGAATGTTTAGGTCATTCTAACAGTTATTATTTCGGGGAAGTTTTTTTTTATCTAATAAACAGTTATTATATATATAAGGGAAGTTTTTATTATTATTTCAGTAATTAAGTACTATTTACGCACTACTTATAAGCATAAGTAACAACTTTGAATTCGATGTGAATTTCGCTAGCATGACGGACACTACTATAAGGAGGGTCTTTGCCGCAGACCTTAGATTAACTTAATAAAAAAAGAAACTGAGTTTTGGCGGGATTTCATAGAAATGCGGTTGGCGTCTTATTTTAATTATTCATAAATTCGTTCATAGAGGATATTGTGAAATAAAATTGTTGTGATTTTGTGTTACAACCGTCTGTGCAACTGAAGATTTACTAGAATCTTTAAAACATACGCTGTTCCCGGCTCACAGAAGCTTATCGAAAAAGCCAAACACTCCAAGAAATATTAGAATGCTTTACACAGAGAACACTTATACAACATTCCCAGACATTCTTATGGCTGCTGCTTATCTTTAGTTAAAGATAAGCAGGTTGGGCATAGTTTCTTTTGCTTTCCTTAAAAAGAGAGAAACTTAAAAAAAAGAAACAAAACAAGGCTGAATGAACACAGTTTCTTTTGCCTGTATATGGAGAATAAAAAAAGTCTGACGTCTTAATTCAGTCTTGCTTGATTTAGCGGTATTTTCAAATGTTATAATTTGTACGAAATCTTATATTTAGCGAAGCTGCTAGCTTTGCATTTATGAATTACGATCTGAACTGATTGATAACGTTATCTTCTTCGAATATGTAGTCGTCCAACGGTCCAAGCCTGTCCCACAGAAAATTTAGCCAAGACGGAAGGAAAGGTTATCGTGTATCACTTTATCATTCGGTCAGGTCGTTTTGTGGCATTTCAAGCTTATATACTCAAGGTTGTCATTGTATTCTTTTAAAGTGCGTTGTATACTTTATTAAAAAAACGCCATTGTAAGTACTTCAATTTTATTGTCACCTCAATATTGCAAATAATTAAATTGCTAATAAAATTAGCAACAAATTGTAACACAATCTTACAATGTTGATGTAAATAAAAGCTGTATTTTATAATAAACAGCCAATAAATATATAAATTACATGCATTGTCTATGTTAATTTTCAGATAAAATATTGTTGACAGTTTAGGAACAAGTAATGGCCAATACAACCTATTTTATTGGTGTTGATGTGGGTTCTGGTAGTGTTCGTGCAGCTCTTGTTGACGTGAAAGGATATGTAGTCAAAACTTCTGTTAAAGAGCTACAAACATGGAAACCTAAAGTTGATCACTATGAACAGTCTTCCGAGGATGTCTGGGAATGTTGTATAAGTGTTCTTAATGTAAGTAAATCAGGTATTCAGTAACATTACCAGGTTTAATAACATCTAGCAATCTATATACATCCCACTTTAAAAGAAACAAATATTTATTTGATTCTTCATTATTTTACTTTCCTACTATACTATATATAATATTATAAATATGAAAGATTGTATCTTTGATACCCAATCACACAAAAGGTACTGAATGGATTTAAGTGAAATTTGATTAAAACATAGATTTTTTTATCCTGAGAAAATTAAAGTTCCCTGTGGTATTCCCAAAACCTAAAGTAATGCGAAGAAAGTTTTGGGTGTCCGCTAGTACACTTTAAGAGCTATCAACATAATGCATTACTGAAATATTACAGAATGTAGTTGCGGATGTAGATCCTGCATCTATTAAAGGTATAGGATTTGATGCCACCTGCTCATTAGTGGTGCTTGATAAGAATTGCAACCCCATTTCTGTTGGTAACCAAAATAACAATAAACAGAACATCATTATGTGGATGGACCACAGGGCTCAGAATGAAGCAGATTTTATAAATAAAACAGGTCATGAAATTCTTCAATATGTAGGTGGCAAAGTGAGTCTTGAAATGGAGATGCCAAAACTGCTTTGGTTGAAAAAACATATGCCACAGAAATGGTTGGAATTTGGACACTTCTTTGATTTACCAGACTTTTTAACTTGGAAGGCCACTGGTTCATTTAGCAGATCATTATGTTCCCTGGTCTGTAAGTGGAATTATGAATGTTCTGTTGATGGAAAACGTGGTTGGAATACCAGTTTTCTAAGAGGAATTGGCTTGGATGATTTGGCTGTGAACAATTTCGAAAAAATTGGTAACACTGTTTTAATGCCAGGAGAGAAATGTGGTGGACTCACAGATGAAGTTGCAAAGATACTAGGCTTACTACCTGGTACACCAGTGGCAACTTCTATTATTGATGCTCATGCTGGAGGCCTTGGTATGATTGGAACAGATGGAGAAGATATCGATAAAAATATGTCCACCAGGCTTAGTTTAATATGTGGTACTTCAACATGTCACATGGCAGTCAATAAAAAAGCTATACTTGTAAAAGGAGTTTGGGGACCATATTTCAGTGCCATGGTTCCAAACATGTGGCTGAATGAAGCTGGTCAAAGTGCCTCAGGAATGTTATTAGACTATATAATTTCTAGTCACCCAGCAGGCATTGATCTATTGAAAAAATATAGTACAGGAGAGTAAGTAATTGATGATTATAATAAAACCATTTATTTCAGACATGAATCATATCAAAATTTAGTAAAAGCAAAACAAAAATTACATTAAAACACTTTTATTTGTTATTTATCAAAGATTTTTTTACTAGTTACAGTGCTTTATAACTGTTTATCCAATTACAAATTATGCTATTACAGTGATATAAACAAAACTCTGGAATTAGACCATGCATTTTCTTATTATGTGGAGGGAAATAGAGCATAAGTTATAAAATCCACAACTTGTAATTGTTTCATATATAAAAAGATTTCATAAAAATTTTGAAGTATTCTTGTTTCAGTCCAGATTATTTTGTTACTTCACAGAGTTCGTAATCATCTTCGAGAATTATTATCAAAGATGACAACGGCCCAAGGATTGAGTGACATGAGCTTGCTTACTAAAGACTTCCATGTGTGGCCTGATTTTCACGGTAACAGATCTCCACTGGCAGATCCTACCATGAGAGGCATGATAGTTGGCCTTTCAATTAACAGCAGTGAAGAAAACTTGGCATTGTTGTATCTTGCAACTTTACAAGGTTTATCTGTAAGTGTTTAATTGTTATATTTCTTGAATATGTGAATATTTTAAAAATTCAGTGGCTACTGTACAAGAAAATTTTGATTCTTGCTGCCTGCTTTCCCAGTGTGCTCCATTAGCGTAGCATGACGTAAGCGGTACGTACTTAACGGAGTTACCAAACATAACTCAATACCTTCTAATATTTTTTTAAATTGCAAGGTAGCGTCATCTCTTCGCATTGTAGTTTAAATCAGGCAGCGTGATGTTCCTGCGGAGGTGCAATCACTCGACGATAGCATCCCAGCAGTTGTACTCATACATTGTGCAGCAGAGTTTTCTCCCTTGCTTACGCGCTTGTACCAACTCTTGTACTCTTTGGGGCCTGTTCCGGAGATTTGGAGTGATGCCAAAGTGCAACCGATGCCCAAAAAAGGGCACCACTCAGACCCGGCCAACTATCGGCCTATAGCTGTCAACTCAGTGTTGTGCAAAGTCTTACAAATGGTCCTTGATAACCATCGGACCCGATACCTAGAAGATCACTCTCTGATTCACGATCATCAATACGGGTTCAGGTTTAATCGAACGACGGGTGACTTTCTAGCGTTCGTGACACACCTCTGAGGTGAAGATAGAAAAGCGGGGAGTCTCTGGCTTGACATCGCCAAGGCTATTGATAGGTTCTGGCACAAAAGCCTTCTCTCCAACCTTCCTACATACGGTCTGCCAGTTCTGTACATGGGTGGCTAACTTCCTGCATGAGCGTAGAATTCGCGTCCTTACAGACGCATGTAGTTCGCAGTTTATTACTGAATGCCGGTGCTCCTCAGGGCTGCGTCCTAACCCCACACTCTTTCTGTTCCATAGCAATGATTTGATTCCTCTTGGGTATATTCATTGCTATATAGACGATAAAACAGTGCATGCGGAATACTTCGGACACGCAGCAGCTGAACAGGAAGTAACCAAGGAGAAACGGGAGAATCTTGTCTCTGAACTCTTATCAGGTATTGGACCACAATTCCGAATGGGGTGGAAGTTTGCGCTTTCACGGCAAAAACATCGCCATTCCTTCACCTTCCCTCTCTTCAGGGCAAAACACTAGCGCTACTGAGCAACATCACCATGCTCGGTATAAAATTCGCTCAGACCTGAATCCAAAGTACTAAATCGAAACCGTGATCAAAACAGCTTCACGAAAACTCGGAGTCCTGAACAAGGTGCGGAGTTTTCACGCCTGATCAACTGTGCTTGTTGTATAAAACGCAAGTGCGGTCTTGTGTGGAATATTGCTCGTACCTCTTGGATGATTCCGCTAATTACATACTAGATACCCTGGATACGTTGCAGCGGCGCGATGCGCGCATCATTAGCGGTGAAGAGGTAACTGACAAATTTGAGTCTCTGCAATTATGCCACGATGTGGCATCATTAATCGTATTCTACCGACTCACATTGTGTTATTTCACCTCAAAATTACCACTCCCTTGATTAAAGGTGAATCAGATAAAGCTCTTCATTCTAAGCGCAAGAGTAAAACTCCCACGATTGTAACTATAATAGTTTCGACGAAATCCCGGTTTTTCTTTTTTTGTACCACATTGTGAAAAAGAAATAAAAAAAATATTTTGTCTAAACTATTACAGTTATTTTATTTTTTACATTGTATTTCAAAAGGTATTATTTTTATCCATATTATGAGTCTTCTATGGCTGCCCTAGAGCTTGTAGGAACCGAGAAATCGGCGATTTAGTGATTTTCGTTTTTAATTTTTTGTGCTCGTGTTATGCAATATTAAAGTTTATAATTTAGTTCAAAATGTAGCTAATAATGTAGACTATCAACTCAAAAAATAACAAGCTTTAACTCGGTGGTATATCGGAAATATTAAGAATTTAAATTTGTGGGACAATGTCCCACATTTTGAAGACTTAATTTTGAAAACGTAGTTATGCTACTTTTTAAATATTATACTATAATAACTATATAAATACGTTGTTATTATATTATTTACTATTTATATAAGATTATAAATGTGTTTGGTATGTTTGTTACATAATCATCCACTTTTGTGAGCCAACTTGTTTGGATGAAATGTGGCACACAGGCATTAAGTTCTTCCCTATTAAGTGCAAATAAACAAATAAATCTGTTTAAACATTATCTGTCGTAAACACACTCTCTTCGTTATGAAGAACAGTTGTGAATTCATTTTCTTCACTTTCTATGCATGCAGTTTCGTCGTCGACATCACTGTTATCGTCATATAAACATCCCGAACTGTCCGGTTTTAATAATTTATTACAGCCTGTGGCAGTGGCATTGTCATTCGGTTATTTTCACGATGTTTTAGCCGTATAGCCGATATCACAGGGTCGGATGACTTGAGCGCCCTGTGAAATAAGTCGGTCATGGTATGAACCCTAGAATCTTTCCGGCTGTGATGTTCTCTGTCCTGACGCCAAAACTTGTTCCTGGATTCTCCTGCCTGTTCGGAGAGTAGTCCAATGGGTAGCGCTGAATTCTCTATAATTTTCTCTCCGTGAATTAGGATTTTGTGAAGGGTAGTAGTCATAGGGTGCCAGTTGGTAGTTTTCTACGTATTTTTTAGCTATATTTTTACAAAAAGTACCGAATTTTTGGGCGTCTATTGGTAATCCCGAATTGATGGCCATTAAAATTACATTTAAATCATCTACGAGGCATTTCTCAATATCAAGTATATTGGCAAACGTCTGGCGGCTTTGTTCACTTTTGAATACTCGACGAGCCGTATTACCATCATTCGTGGTCCCTGAGTTAGGCTTTAAAACGTCTACCAATAGACCCATACTTTGCTTAATTTGATTTTGGATTTCTTTTTTTCGTTCTGCAGTAATTTGTCCTATGTCAGAATTTTTTATTACTCGCCACTGTCTGACTCTTGGGTCATTTTTGTATCCCAAGTGAAAAAATGACCCAAAAGTCAGACAGTGGCGAGTAATAAAAAATTCTGACATAGGACAAATTACTGCAGAACGAAAAAAAGACAGTTCGGCATGTTTATATGACGATAACAGTGATGTCGACGACGAAACTGCATGCATAGAAAGTGAAGAAAATGAATTCACAACTGTTCTTCATAACGAAGAGAGTGTGTTTACGACAGATAATGTTTAAACAGATTTATTTGTTTATTTGCACTTAATAGGGAAGAACTTAAAGCCTGTGTGCCACATTTCATCCAAACAAGTTGGCCCACAAAAGTGGATGATTATGTAACAAACATACCAAACACATTTATAATCTTATATAAATAGTAAATAATATAATAACAACGTATATAGTTATTATAGTATAATATTTAAAAAGTAGCATAACTACGTTTTCAAAATTAAGTCTTCAAAATGTGGGACATTGTCCCACAAATTTAAATTCTTAATATTTCCGATATACCACCGAGTTAAAGCTTGTTATTTTTTGAGTTGATAGTCTACATTATTAGCTACATTTTGAACTAAATTATAAACTTTAATATTGCATAACATGAGCACAAAAAATTAAAAACGAAAATCACTAAATCGTCGATTTCTCGGTTCCTACAAGCTCTAGGGCAGCCATAGAAGACTCATAATATGGATAAAAATAATACCTTTTGAAATACAATGTAAAAAATAAAATAACTGTAATAGTTTAGACAAAATATTTTTTTTATTTCTTTTTCACAATGTGGTACAAAAAAAGAAAAACCGGGATTTCATCGAAACTATTATAGTTAGAATCGTGGGAGTTTTACTCTTGCGCTTAGAATGAAGAGCTTTATCTGATTCACCTTTAATCAAGGGAGTGGTAATTTTGAGGTGAAATAACACAATGTGCGACTATACCACGGCGAGTATTCAAAGCAGTTATGCTTCCTTATCCCTCCATCCCCTTTTCTTCAGAGGGCGTGGTCCTCGTGGTTGCACTGGCCTACGTTGTCACCGACTTACTGTGGCTACTATTCTTACACGAACAAATTGGTGACAAATTTTTTGTCGTACTATTTGTAAGTGAAATTATTTGCCCACACACGTGTTCCCCCGTTCCTACAATCTGGGGTCCTTTAAGAGAGGCGTGAAGAAGCATTTCTGCAGGTCGTTAAGGTGAGGATGGTTGGCGTGGCAGTTTATAACTGCTGCACCAGCTATCGTCGCGTCTGTATTTTATCACCACTTAACATCAGGTGGGGTAGAGTGATTTGCCTACCTACTTAACTATTATAAAAAATATAAACAATGTGAAATAAAATAGTTTTACAAGTATTAAACATTTGAAAGAAGAAAAAGTTACTGTGGTTTATTAAACTATCCCTAAACGTAGTGGCGATCATGTTTATCGCCAAGCAACTAAAGGAGATTAGGGACAGGCCGCCAAGGTGAGGGTAGCCCAGATTTTCTGCCGTATCATCTCTCTTCACGACTGAACTTTTTTATACTTAATATCTAATTTGTTGCGAAAAATATGTACCTTAATATTAAATTTTTATTTTTAAGCATTTAACTGCTAGATGCCGCTTGATCTGAGTGGAATATTTTCTAGTAAAATTTTCTTTAGATCTGCCTTATTGATTCGTCTTTTTGTGTTATTTCCAGTATGGTACGAGACATATTATGGAAGCGCTTCTGCTAGCTGGATATGATGAATTTAAATCATTACTTGTTTGTGGTGGTATTACAAAAGATCCACTCTTTGTTCAAATTCAAGCAGATACAGTTGGTCTACCAATCTTGAAACCGCATGAAAAAGATTCAGTATTGGTAGGTTCTGCTATATTGGGAGCTTGTGCTTCACAACACTTTAATGGTGTTGCAGGTGCTATAGAAAAAATGGGTGGCACAGCAGAAGTTATTCAACCAAATCATAATATCAAGGGTTACCATGACAAAAAATACAAGGTTTTCCTAAAGATGTTTCAAGATCAATTAAAATACAAATCTCTTATGAGTTAGCAAATTACTTCCAGTAGTATTGAACACAGGGTGTATTTTTATAGATTAGTTTTGATGTGATATAGTAGAAAGACTATATTTGTATTAATATTTATGTAATTGATTGTGTTAATATTTTATGAGCCTATCTTTACCATAAAGTCCAATTGTAGCTAAACAGTGAACGGTGCATACTTTATTCTTAATATTTTTGAATTCGGCTATGAATTTATATCCTTAAAAATCAATTACCTATCTCAGGTTGTTCCAGACAAGTCCGCTTTTTAAGTCATTTCTTCAATTCAGTTCATAAAGTACCTGAGTATTTAGATGCATTAACTTCTGTGTTAGTGGTTGTAGCTCGCTAGTTGTATGAGACTTAAACATTGGTGAAAGGATTTTAATATAAATAAAAATTATATTTATTATGAAATTATATTTACAGACTTCTTACAATGTTTTTGTTTTATTGCACATACAAATTTGTAATTTTTTTTTTATTTACATTCATCTTGTTTTCGGTACCCTTGATCTTGATACCACGAAGCCTAAGGATCGAAACATCAAGAGAAAAAAGCCCCGTCACCCAAAAATAATCTAAAAAGTAAAACGGCCAACACATTTTCTTTTTTACTTTTTTTAAAATTATTTGTATACATTAGGGAATATTGCAATTCTGATATCATCTACAACATGTATTATAGTAGTTAATTTTTGGTCCGCTTTCATGCAGTAAATACATCCGCTCGGTAAAGAATCTGTACCAAAACAACTCGGTGAAGAAGCTCTCATTTTATTACATGCGCTCTATAGAGATTTGGTACAGAAACGAAAAGGAAACGAGCTCGCACCGACCCGGTGAGGAAAGCGCCATAATCAAAGGGTCAAACAAGAGAATCTTAGCAAAATCGGGGCCACTTTAAGGCGCTTTGCAGACGACGGGGCGGGGCGGGCTTTTTGTCCGCGAAGCAATAAAGACCGCGTCTGCCCGTCGATGTCTGCGGCTGCCCTCGCCGCGTACACAAAGCACACGACGGGCAGAGGCAGTCAGTTCAGGACGTTCGTTCTAGTGAATAGTCCATCACTAAAAAGCGTGTGGCGCAAACTGTACTAGCCGCCCCGCGCCGCCGCCGCGCCGTCTGCGTTACTGCATATAAACTGGTTTGTATGATCCACGGCGGGCAGCCGCGCACATGCCGCGCCGCCACTGCCCGCCGGGCACCTGCGGCGCGGTCTTTTTGCCCTCTGCGTGCGTTTGAAGTATAGGATTCACTTTGTGCTATTATTCGCGGCGAAATTGACCGGCCCGCCCCGCCCCGTCATCTGCAAAGCGCCTAAATGTCAAAAAGTAAGCTAATAGACCAACCTCACGTTCGGCCACTACTAGTGTGGATGACTTGAATAGATAAAACAGTGGCGGTATTCAAGTTACAGTTTTGTATTATAATTCTAGAAAGAAAAAAAACATGCTTTAATTTTTTAAATTGAATGCCCAAAAGGAAATGTTCGTCTTGTTAAAAAGGGATAAAAAGGCCTATGTTCTTTATCTATCACTCGTCCTTTTTTTTGTGACGCAGGCAAAACCTCTATTTACAGACGACGGCACCTTTATGAGGCACACCACCGAACGGATCTCACATCTGGCTCCTGCAAGCTTTACGGTCCCCGCAGTGGCTGCCCACTGAGGACCCCATAACTCTTACGGATGCTTTACGGCATAATATCCGCTAAAAAACCCTGCGAATACCCTCTAAGCTGCTTAGTGCGAAGCCGCGGGATCCCCGTTTAGAGATTCTTCCGCGTTTCCGCACCAAGCAGCCTCCCTAGGCCTAGCCGGGGCTCCACGGCAGGGGTATCGCGGGGACCCCGCAGACGTACGCAAGATGGCCCGCGCGTGGGGGCTATTTACGCGGCCTAGTGCCCACCGTACCGCCCCCCGTGCTCTGCGGAGGGCTACTAGGGCGTTCCCGCGCTCCGCCGCCCCCCTCTTTGCAGGACACAACTACAAGAGGGGGGCTGCCGTGACGGGAATCTTCTGATAAACTAAAATGTTCGAGTACCTATCTATTAAACGGGAGTAGCCCTAAGCACTTCATTCCATACAAAAGTAACTTTAAAAGTTTCTGTCAATTCTGGCGGGTGACGAGGTACACGTACACTTACGAAAATTCAAGCGCACGGTAATATTATCTATATAATATTACCGTGACAAGCGTGTTGGTACTATGAACGCACACATAAAAAATCACATTACACTAACAAAAAAACGCATACACGCTATTAGGAATGGGGCATTAAAAGAATGAACGATACTTGAATTAGTTCTTGATGAATGAACAAAATGATTGTTTATAAAAAAAACAAAATTATATTGCAAAAAATCGTACTTAATGCGTTTACTTTCTTTATACCCTGCCTACATTTAATACCTTTGACCCCCCTTAATGATAGCAAACGCAGTATTTTGTCAAAAAACACTGCGTAACTGACCCAAGCTTATTCCTTGTTTATTATAAGGGGATAGCGAATTCATAGACTTTAGTGAATTGAGGTTGTTTGTTTTCCTGATATTGTTTTCTTTGATGATTTAAGATGTTAATAAATAGTAAATTATTATGTGTGATAAATAAGAAAATACTTAGTGATTTTAGCTTTAGGCAAAGATCAATCTCATTCTTTCAACGAGTGCTACGCTAGCGCACGCTTGATCCAAAATTATTAAAATAATCTAAATATTTCAAAAATACATATTAAGTACGTACGTATGAAGCTCGATAGCGCAGGTGGTGACCGCGTTCGGCCTGTGATCGTGGAGGTTAAGCAACTTTCACAATGGTCGATCATTGGATGGGTGACCAAAAGCTTATTATCACGACCTCCTACGTGGTTCGGAAGGCATGTCAAGCCGTTGGTCCCCGCTGCATCTGCAGTCATTAGCACCCACCAATGCACACTGGGTCAGGGTGGTGGGTCATGACCCAATCTCCATATTATTTAGAAAAAATAACAAGAATGACGTACGTGGAATTTTTCTAGTAATATTTTCTTTAGATTTAAACATGGAGCAGTTACATGCTTCAAAAATAAAAATTATAAGATTGACTTCCTCTGTCCCACAATATCTAGCATTTTTGAGCATTTGAAGATATTTGACACGATGTGTTTGTTCTAACACATAACAATATTGAATTTTTTTTGAAGTAGGTAGGTATGAAGAAATCATTTTATACAAAAACGTTACTATTTCCAAAAAAACCTGTATAAACATTAAACAATAATTTAATCAATTGAAATGAGAAAAAAAAATGTATTGATATCGGAATCGCCTTTTTTATTAAGACCAATAATAATATATGTATTGTATTCATAGTTTTCGAGAGTGCTGATTACACATACGACAGTAATTTTGAGATCCAAGATGGCGAATTCTTATTTTTACTCGACTGCGGTGGGTAACGTTTTTCGAGTGTATATATGTATATAAGTATGTATATGTGTTCGTTTCTTTGGCACGCCCCAAAGCTTGAACGACTTGACACGTGAGGTATCTTAAGATTTATCATGACTGTGGTGTCAATTCTGGCGTGCATCTCTAAACTTAAAACTAAATTAAAGGTCAGTCTCACCTTTTCATTCTGTATAGAGAAGGACAAGGATGCACTGTTGTCAAATTTAAGTTTAGGTTTAGAGAATCATGCCAGAATCGACATCTGTGTATATTCAAATTACAAAAGAACTAAATCTGTCCTTAAAAACCCTACACTTTGATACCCCAATTTTTTTTAAGTTGTTTCATGAGTGAAATGAGGCTGATATCAAGTTGCTATTAAGGTGATGGGTTTTAAAAGACGATTCATAAAATATAAATAAAATTATACAAATTATATGAATATTTTATTAAATTTTAATAAATCATAAAACCCGCCTGCTGAAAATATATTTTTTAATAAAAAAAATGAAAAACAAAACAAATCCAGAATTCTGTTTAGTAAGGAACAAAGCTATTTTAAAAGTCGGGACCTATTAGATATTCTAGAATGGATCAAATTTTCCCAATAATTGGTACCGATTGTTAAAGTACCTTTGTTCTTTACTTGACTATATTCTAGATTACTAACCTTGGCTTTTTCTTTTTTGTTTTCATTTAAATTTACTTTTTAATCAGGTGTGGTTTTGTTTTAAAATAAAATTAATATGAGTATTGAACGGCAATTACAAGATTATTGGGTATGCATACGTCATATGCACTTAATGAGGGCCATCGCGTCTGAAACCGCCACTAAAGGCGCTTGTGTAGCGTGAGGTCTCCGAAATGTAAAACGTTATTGCTTGTGAGTCGACTACGCGGTTTTTTTCTAATTAAAATAATAGTTGTGAATATTTGGTAATAACTCAGACTAATTATGGCAAATATGAGTTACGTGTCAATGAATGTCAGTTATTTAAAAGCGGAGCTAAGAAAAAATATTGTCCTTCTTTTTTCCGAACAAAACGGGACTGCGCAACACTGTGGCATGGGCAATTATGTTTAAGATACGATTCTTTTGTATTAAAATGTAAACTTTGATATCACGAGCGTGTTTACTTACTTTAAAAGCTACACTTCAGGACCTCACTCAACAGTGGCGCCATCTGGTGAGACAAAAAACGGTAGCCCTCATTAAATCTGGTTGTTTTCCAGTAATATAAATACCATTCATTGATTTCATTGACTTTTCGTCACATCACTATGAATTACTACCTATTATTTTTGTCTTTCATTCGTCATTCCACGCCTTTTCTTTTAATTGAATTTTATACCAGAAATACTAATAACTTTTTAGTAATTAAAAATTCTTGTAAAGACAGTGTGTCTATAAAGTCGTGACATTAAATGATTGCGCCACTAGTATGCATGTAGCAACCCTATACAGTCGGAGCAAAATGATTTTGATACTAGCAGTTAATTCAAGTAAAATAGATAATTAATAAGACACACTATACAGTCGTATTTTGTTTCTGTTTTATATATAGTAGGTACCTATGCTTATAAAAAAGTTTAGTCAAGCATATTTAATTGAATCAGAATAAAATTATTATAGATAAAATAGTACTTAATAGTGTGAGTGTGTAATGTTGGTGATTACCGCTGAGGTGCCATTGCAATTGAGATCAGAGCCGTTAGGTAATCATCAATACACACAATTATCATCATACGACGTTTTTTAACACACTTGTTAAGAAAATAATACTAAAAATCATTTTATAGTATATAAAAAGTTTATTTAGAGAAACAATTTGTAAAAGTGCAATTAGTGACAGGTATCTTCACTAAAAGCATCTGGCCATGGTTCTTTATGTGACCATTTCTTTCTTTGGTCGGCCTTGCCTGATTTCCCAGGAGTTTCAAACTTTCCATCATTCTTAAAACCTTCGTTGACTATGAGACTCTCCGATTTTCCTGAAAAAAGGTAAAAAAATATGTCACGGAATAGAAACAATAACTTATTGACATTAAGCAATTAATTCAAAATTGGTAGAAAACCTGACCGTGTTGAACCATAATAACGTATCAAAAGAAATGGTCGTACTACAATATTACCTATTTACAATGTCAATCTAACCTAAAAATGTACAATGTAAACAATGGTGTCGATTCTGGCGTGATTCCCTAAACTTAAAACTAAATTTAACATCATTCTATCCTTTTCATTCTGTATAGAGAATGACAGGGATACACTGCTGCCAAATTTAAGTTTAAGTTTAGAGAATCATGCCAGAATTGACACCAATGCCTTTTTGGGTCTCAAAATCGTAAATCGAGTAAATTTGTAACTTCAGGCAGATTACAAACAAATAGTTACACGATTACATACCCGTCATAGATGCTGTTCGCTCATTAACATCATCCAAATCCCACAAAATTCGTCCAGCTTGGTAGTCTTCGAAACATCGCTGGAAAATTTTAAAAATCACTTCCCGCGTGTCACTCCGATTTACTTTACTCATTTTTATACCTTTCTGCAAAGTTTCGTCTTAATTTATTACAGTTTAATCCAAACAATAAAAAATACAAAAAGAAAACTGTTCTACAACTGAAACTCGATGACAGCTGATGTAGATAAGTTTGGTGTTGCCAGACACATGAATAATGTTAGTTCCTCAAACATTCATGTCACGACTATGGGTACGGCCAGAGTGCACTCAGATTCAGATTCAGATTCCGAAAACAAGCGCGAGAAATAAACAGTGTAGTTAAAGCAGGGTGGCCATAGTGGCAGCAGGCAACCTGCTTAAACTACACTGTATATTTCTCGCGCTTGTTTTCTGAGTCTGAATCTGAGTGCACTGTGGCCGCACCCTATAAAGACAAACTGTAAGTATGGATGAAGGTACAAACATTGACTTCTTTTTCAACACTGAACTTAGCACACTCTGCTGGTGCATTTGAAAACTAATTCACGTTCCAATTAAGCATCAGCATAATTCGGCATTGTGCGCCACTGAGTCGCATTAAGTCTTCTACGCACTATCCATCTTGCTGGATCCAGCATGCGGGACAACGCTATACACGTAAAAGAGATGGAGATACAGGATCTCTTTTACGCGTATAGCGCTGTCCCGCATGCTGGATCCAGCAAGATGTATAGTGCGTAGAGGACTTTATGCTCTGTAATTGGAATACAGCCAGTTGAGAGCTCCGACTCGCGATAAGGAACGATCCAATCTAAACTACCTAGTATAGTCGGTAGCGATCGCGCGTGAACAAATTTTTATAAACGCACTAGATCAATGATATTGTACCTTTTTACAGAGTGGACATGCCTGTAATGGCGTCTCCCGTTATAGATGCTCTAAAACTAAAATCTATTTGTATCAATTTTAACATATCGATTTTTTGGTATCGTTAACGAGTTAACGATTTGCCGGTATATCGATTATCGTTAGGCAACAGAAATCAGAACATCTGTGGACGAGCTGGCCAAGAAGAAGAACGAGGAAGCTGTGAAATAAAAGCAATACTTTGGTTTTTCTATTTGTTTCTCATTAACTACAACATGATATTTTTTTTAGTTACTTTAAATTTTTCTATACCTTTGGTAACCGAAACAAAGAAGGCATAAGTTCAGGTGCCAATATTGACAAGCAGGTATGAGTAAATACGGCAAAATTAAATTCTCATTGACACTGAAAACATGACGTTCCTTTGATGGCCCACAGAATTTGTCTGGGTTGTTCAAATCAATATCCAAGACTTCATAAATAAATGCAAATTTGTCTCTTAATTATAAGGAAAATTGACATATTTCAAGATTATTTTAAATTTTTAGATGCAAAATGTCGAAACGTACTGCTGAAGATAGCGGTAATGGCAGCGGCAGTAGTCAGCCACCTATCAAAAAAGTCCACTTCGAGCCACATCTTATTGGGCCAGTGTCTACTCTGGAGGAAATGGACATAAAGGTTTTGCAGTTTCAGAACAAGAAGCTAGCACAGGTGATAATATCAGCAACCAGTTTAATTTTACAACCATGACATGATATACATATCAGCTGTGGTACATATGTAACACAATTCAAGACACATAATCATTATCTGTCTTGAGATTTTATTTCATTAGATATTACAGACAAATTTGATCTTTATTTAAGGTGAATACTGTTGACTTCTTTGTTCCATTTTTGTTTAGAATTGGACCTTGAAGTTAGTTGATGCTACAGAAAATAAAATTGTAACATAGTATACAGTGTATATTAAAGATATATAATACCCTCAATAACTTCTCTAGTAAACACAACTTTTTAGGTTGACTACTTTTCAATTGGACAAATTGTTTTGAAAAGTAAATACTTTTCATCATCAAAACTATTTATCCATTGTCAATAGTAATAAAGATAAACCACTGTAGTGTAATTGTGCATCAACTAAGAATGACAAAATGAAATATCTTCACAGAGAATAGAACAGAGACACCGTTGCGAAGCTGAACTCAGGGCAAGGATAGAACAACTGGAGAAAAGGCAAACACAAGATGATGCTGTCTTGTGTGTTGTAAATCGCTATTGGAATTTACTAAATGAGGATATTAGGGTCCTACTACAACGTTTTGATGCTGAGACCGCTGATGAGTCTGAGAACAAAAGTAAGTTGAATTTATTTTTAGGTACTTTGATTGGGTTGAGGTACTACAGGTTTCTGCTCAAATTTGAGTAACCGCTTAGGGTAAGTAACATCCACTTTACAGAAAACTATAGTTCCAGCAGTAAATAAAATTGCATAGCAATGGATTAGTGCAGTGAGTATCACTGCTACACTTCTGGAGGCCATTATTGTCTAACTTTATATGTTTCTGTGATCTTTAAAGCGAATTTGTGTCTGTAACATAAACTTATCCCATGTATGAAATAAAAGGGTTCAAGGAAGGTGTTAAAGTTTTACCAGGACTTGTCACTTATATAAAATGTAGCATAATATTGTTGATAAATTTAAAACCTAATCATAAGTTTTAGGGCTGCATTCAATACCTATGCTCTGAATGCATCTTTTTACTCTGAAATTTCAATATTAACATAAAATGTATGAAGCTAATGTCAACTTTGACATTTGTCGCACCTAGAGCATAGGTTTTAATGCAGCTGTGGTCACATTGATGGAAAGTAAGACTTGATTCTTTGTTTTTCTTTATTATTATTGAAAAGTAATAGCTTAAATTACCAATGCCCTATGAATATTCTTTTATCTCTTTGTTTAATAGATGAAAATGAAGCTACAACATCATTTTTGATGCAACTTTCTACTTGGGATAAAGAGGAACTCGATGCTCAGTTAGCAAACCGTGTGCAAGTCAGCAAGCGAGCTGTAGCTAAAGTACTGCAAGCATTTGATAGGTTACAACAGAGAAATGATAAGATATGGAGAGCCATTAAAGGAGAAGGAGAAGGTATGTGATTATGTCTAATTTATTCCCCACTAGCGGCTGCCTGTGAATTCGTACGCGTGGAGTTAGTTAGAAATATAGGTTCACTGCTCGGTCCCTGTAGGTGAAGCATGATAATATGTAGCCTATATGTTGACCCGACTCCTTAATAATATTTGTGCCAAATTTGAAGTAAACCCATGCAGTACTTTTTGAGTTTATCCCTGACATACATACAGACAAACAGACAAAAAATTTAAAAACTATATTTTTGGCTTCATTATTGATTGCAGATCACACCCCAAGTATTTAAAAGTATTTAAAAAATATTCAAAGTACAGTTTTGACTTTCCTACCATTTTATTATATGTATAGATACAGTGCAACCTTAATGTAACGTACCTCCATATAACAACTTCCTTGATTTAACAAATTCTTCTAAATCTCCTTGAATTTTCCATAAGAGTTGGATGTAAAATATACCTTTACATTGCAAATTTTTTTTGCGAATAACCTCTTAATAACAAATTTTCAACTATCAAAAAAAAATTGTAAAAGTACTTCCAAAGTAACAGAATTTTTAAATGATGCATTTATTCTTACTTCTTTACTTTTATTTATTTCTTATCACCAATAGGTATTTAATCATTAAATATATCCTACTTCCTATTAATATTATAAATGTGAAATTGTATGTTTGTTACTCAATCACGATGCTAATACTACTGAATGGATTTGGATGAAATATAGTTTATGACCTGGATTGAGACGTAGGATACTCTTTAAATTGGAAAAATGTTAGACTGTGGGATTTGCAAAAAACTTAAGTTAATGCAGACAAAGTTGGAGGTGGCAGCTGGTAAAAAATATTTTAGAGATATGATTATTGGTTAAAAAAGAACGAAACAAAAAATTTTATACAGCACTGTATACAGTGCTGTTACTACATTCTCAACTCGGCTTCTTTATAAGCACTGGTTACACAATTATTATGGAAGATACTGTAGATTGAAATTGGTTTTAAGAATACCGACTGATTGTATATGGAAACAAGATTTTCTGTGGGACCTTCAATGTGAAATTAAGTCTTTTAAATAAAAATTAGCTTCTTTAAATAAGTAATGTATGCATTAACTGATAAATGATAAAAGCGGAAGACATTTGTCAGGATTATGTCAGGCGAAGAATAATTTCTGTCAATCTTTGTACAAAACTAGCATGCACTTATACTTACATTGTATGCGCGGGTTTATTGCTATGTTCAATAGAAGGTGGACCCGCGCCAATATTGGACGAAGTAGTCCGCGCTACTAACGAGGAGGTCACTGCTGAGAACAGGCGCCTCCAGGCACTTTGTACAACGTTGCACGAAAGCCACCACGCCATGACACTGCGGGTGGCGCAGCTTCAAGACGCTGTTAATAGTCGGGACACAGAGAACGCTGAGCTCAAGAATCAGATCGACGACCTACAATACGAGCTGATGAAGGTGAGTAAGATAGATATTTAACGAAGTTGTCCGCACGACTTATGCAAGATGCTGTTAACAGTCGCAACTTGGAGAAAGTTGAGTTCAAGAATCAGATCGACAACCTACAATACGAGCTGATGAAGGTGAGTAGGATAGATAATTCTGAAATTTGAAATAGTTGCTGTTTAGATTTTTAACTATGGTGAATAGATAAGAATCTGTAGTCATGTATATTGATTATCTATAATTTTGGATATGCATAAGTAATTTTGGTGCAATTCCTAGAAAAATATAGACAAACTTGATTACAGAAATGTTATGTGTCAATGTGACTTTTCTGTTGTATCAGCTATTTTAATGACTGAATTAAGATTTTTTTCTAAAACCATACCGAATATTTTTGCTTTACAAACATAAAAGGAAGTTTTTCATAACGATAATCACGTATTGTACATTTATTCATCCATCCACATTTGACATGACGCAGGTGCGGTCCCGCAATGATAAACTCGAGAACCACCTAGCGGAGGCTATAGAGAAGCTGAAGAGTTACCACCAGTCTGGCGCCAGCGCAGGCCCGGCCCCGGCCGCTCCCCTTTCAGCCGCTAGTGCGAAGCTAGAAGATATCGCGGCTGAGTTGGAAGAACAACGCGAACTGGCAAACAACCGCCTGGCCGAGCTCGACCGCCTGCACCGCCAGCACCGCGACACGCTCAAGGAGGTCGAGAAGCTCAAGATGGACGTGAGTAACTTTAACGACGTTTAGCCCAGATAGAAGACACCGCGGACGAGTTGGAAGAACAACGCGAACTGGCAAACAACCGCCTGACCGAGCTCGACCGCCTGCACCGCCAGCACCGCGACACGCTCAAGGAGGTCGAGAAGCTCAAGATGGACGTGAGTAACTTTTACGACGTTTAGCCCAGATAGAAGACACCGCGGACGAGTTGGAAGAACAACGCGAACTGCCAACAACCGCCTAACCGAGCTCGATCGCCAGCACCGCGACACGCTCAAGGAGGTCGGGAAGCTCAAGATGGACGTGAGTATCTTTAACAATGTTTAGCCGAGATACAAGATATCGCGGCCGAGTTGGAAAAACGGCGCGAACTGCCCAACAACCGTCGCTACCGTCACGCTCAAGAAAGTTGAAAAGCTGAAGATGATGTAAGTGGCTCAAAGTAGTATCTTTCATTCTTTTCAGTTTGGCGTGGACGTAGTCAAAAATTAGGGTCGTGGTTCATCAGACCCTTCTATCGTATTCTTCCATGCAGTCTAAAGTGTCGTTCGAATAGGCAACGATGGCGCGATGGCACGATGCGATATCATCGTGTGATGAAAGTAATGTACCTCTGCTCGTGCGACGGCTTACAAGCTGTATTAGGACACCTCTGAAGAAATCTGTATCTTTTTTTTTTTTTTTTTTTTTTTTTTTTTTTTTTTTTTGTGTGTGTTTATATGCAATCAGTAATTTACTATAAGCAGATGTCATGAAAGTTGCTGTCGTGTCGAGCGTATCCTCCATTGAGGATATCTTCTCGTAATAATTATATGCTGGAAAAATGACTTATGGTAATATGTCCCTTCTCTTCAAACGTTTCACATATTCACGAGTAGTGAGTCTGGTTGCAAGTGTATTTGGGTGATTTTCGAGCCGGTTTCGATATTTATTTGTGGCAGACTGGATTTCTTCTACCACAGTGGTCATGCTTAGATTTTCATGGATCTCGGAATTGGTGATAAACCATGGCACATTTGCTATTTTTCTGAGGACTATATTTTGCATCCTCTGAAGTATATTAATGTTAGATTTGCTTGCACTCCCCCAAAGTTCGATTCCATATGTCCAGGATGGTTTTAGTATTGATTTGTATATTAGGAGTTTGTTGTCCATTGATAATTTGCTGTTCCGGCCTAGCATCCAGTAGATGTTCTTATGTTTTAAGTTTAGCTCCTCTCTTTTCTTTATGATGTGTTCATTCCAGGTAAGTCGACGGTCCAGGTGTAGTCCAAGATATCTTACGCTATCTTGTTGTGGCAGTGTAATATTCTCCAGTCTGACGGATGGGCAGTTTTCTCGTCGGAGTGTAAATGTAACATGCACCGATTTTGTTGCACTGGCTTTAATTTTCCATTTTTGGAGCCATTTTGTGATGTTGTTAAGTCCCTTTTGGAGATTTGCCGAAGCCTCGTGAGGATTGCTACTACTAGCCAATATCGCTGTATCATCGGCATACGTTGCTGTCATGATTCCATCCACTTGAGGTAGGTCTGATGTATAAATCATGTAAAAGACCGGTCCCAGCACAGAGCCCTGAGGTACACCTGCTTTAATCTCGTAAAACTTAGACGTTGAATCTGATTCTTTCACTTGGAAGATTCTATCTCTGAGATAGGAATCCAGAAGTGGGAAGCAACCATGAGGAAGATATGTTTTTAGCTTGCTCAAAAGACCCGCATGCCAGACCCTATCAAAAGCCTGTTCAATATCCAAAAATGCCGATGAGCAATATTCTTTTTCCTCTAGGGTCTTTCTTATTTTTTCCACTACTCTATGGACCTGTTCAATAGTAGAGTGTTGCTTTCTAAATCCAAATTGATGGTCTGGTATTGCTTTGCTATTTTCTAACTCGGGCATTATTCTGCGTAGGAGCAATTTTTCACAGACCTTTGACAAAATAGGCAACAGGCTGATCGGTCTGTATGACTTAACTTCATCAGTTGGCTTCCCAGTCTTGTGTATCATGAGGATTTGGGATACCTTCCAGAGGTGCGGGAAATATTGGACTCTCAGTATTCCATTGTACAGCATTGTCAAGAATACAATTGCTTTTCTTGGAAGTTTAACAAGTATTTCTTTTGTAATGAGGTCATATCCAGGTGCCTTTTTGTTCTTAAGTTGCCCTATAGTTTTCCAAACTTCGAGAACCTTGACTGGGGTAGGTGGAAGCGACATTTGTAGAGTTTGATTAAGAATTAAATCTACTTCTTTCTCTGCCTCTGTGTCACCTGTGTTGTTCGGCCTGAAAACTTTTGCTAGATGTTCTGCAAATAGGTCTGCCTTTTCTTGTGATGTACGCGCCCAATCACCGTTATTTCTGATAGGTGGTTTTGGTATTTGTGGTCTGTCATACAACTTTGTGAATTTCCACAGTGAGTAATTAGTGGCCAAAGTTGGTGTAAGGGACTCTAGTTGTTCCTCAAGTGTATCATTGTGCCAGTTTTGTAGCATTGTTTTTAGGTGTAGGGCCTGTTTATTAAAGTTCGTTTTATCCACCGGTAGTCTGCTCTGTTGCCAGATCCGGCGCAATCTGCGTCTCTCTAGGACAGCCTTTTTTATTTCGAGAGGGTAGTTACCGATGCGCTTGTTGACATTCAGTGAAGGTGTACTTCTCCAACAGGCCTCCTGGATGAGGTTGGTAATATACTTGGTCGCAGTCTCAATATCATCCGGAGTTTTAAGGGCAATTTTAAGTTTGATGTTTTTATCTATGAATTCTTTGACACAGTCCCAGTCAGTCTTTTTGTTATACATTTTATCAGGATGATCGTATTCAATGACCTTTCTGCTTAGCGTTAGCAAAACTGGCGTATGATCTGATGAGCTGTCATAGCAAGATTCGCACTTCTGATAAAGGGAGGAGATTCCTTTTGTTATGAAAAAGTCCAATAAGTCTGGCATCTTATTCGGATCTGACGGCCAGTACGTAGGTTCACCTGTTGACGTTGTTGTTAGCATGTTGGCATCCACACTTAACTTCAGTTGTCTACCTTTGGTTGTAGTTAATCTTGATCCCCAGTGTGTGTGTTTGGAGTTCCAGTCTCCACCTGCTATGAATCGGTTACCAAGTGTCTTGAAGAATTCTGTGTACATTTCTTGGGTTATTTTGTATTTAGGGGGACTATACACTGATGTAATATTCAGGGGGATCTTATTAGTTGCTATTGCTATGGTTGTAGCCTGGATATGGGGAGTTCTATATTCAGGCATTAGGTGGTGCTTGAGCGACTTTCTTATTATGATTGCTGAACCAGCGTGACCAGTCCCATCTGGGTGCAGGGTGACATAGCAATTATAATTTCTAAACTTCAGGTTCGTTGCAGAGGTGCAGTGAGCTTCAGATATCAGCAGCACGTCAAGATTTTGTTGAATCATTAGCAATTCTGTTTCATATTTGTTTGGAGTCAAACCATTTATGTTCCAGATTGCCATTTGTATTGAGTTCATTTTGTTAGTTTGTCTAACAGGCGTGTTATGAGCATCATCATAGTACTCATTTGTTGAAGGATATTGTCAAACTTTTCATTCTGCTTTATTAACAATTGTTCTAAACTTGATAAATTTGGTAAATTATTGGTGTCCTCTGAAATGACAGTTTTGTTTTGTGTGACTTGAGCATACGTTTCTCTTTCTGTTGATTTTTTTGCTGTCTCTTTAGGATCCCTTGAAATCGCCGTTTCGTTTGTTCTTGAAGTTGGGGGTTTTAGTGCAGGTAGGCTTCTTTGAGAGTTTGTTGGTTTTGATCGCCTTTTTAGAATTTCCCTGTACACTTCACAACCTTTATAATTTGCCGGGTGTGGACCATTGCACAAAGCACATTGAGCTGGAGTGGTACGGTCTATTTTTTGGCATTCAGATGTTTTGTGTGATTGTCCACATTTTACACAACGGTATGGGCGCATACAGTAATTTTTCGAATGGCCGTATTGTTGGCATCTTTGACATTGCACTATAGATGAACGCTTTCTGGGATCCTCTATGGTAACAGACTGATGGTGAATATACTTAAGTTCCTTAACAGCCTTATTGTTTGCTCCTGGTGTTATGTTAACGAAAAACGTTGATGTTGGTTTCTTTTCGGGTCCGAACTTTGCGTTAACGATTTCTCCTGCAACTGTGTTTCCTGTGGATTCAATCGCATCCACGATTGACGATATTGGTGTAGATGGGTGTAGATTCCGTATTACCACTCTGTAGCACCTCTGGTCTTTCTGGTTAAAGGTGTGTCCTATCAGTCGATTTTCTCGTACTACTTTTATGATTTTTTTATATGAATCGATGTCTTTACAGCTAATTCTTAATTGATTTCTGTTAACAATTTTGAAAGTAAACTGATCTTTTTCGGCTACAGTTTTTAGAAGTTCCGAGAGTTTGTTGATATCTTCAACACCATAGAGTATTATAGGGGGAGGTTTGGGAATCCCTTTCTCTTTCGGCACGGAGTCTTTTTCAGTCAGATCAATTGATAGTCCTGTAAATCTATTTGAAGTATTGATTGTTTCAGGTGACAGGCTGTCAGACATCTTTTTTCTCTTGGGATTTCTGTTTTCCGGAACTCTTTGCCATGTTGGCGGAAGGCAGTTGGGTGTGGTATCTTCTTCACTATCTTTAGCCCAAGATTGGTCATCAGAGTTCGAGTACTCTATGTGTGGCTCTATGTTACCCAAACTATGTGATCTTGATCTCATAAACAAACCAGGGTGGAAAGCTTGTTGAACGAGTTTTTTGCTACTGCTACTACTACTGCTGCCAGGAGCATTAACCAACACAGGAGCCTGGTCGCCCACTCCTGTGCGGTCTTCGGTGACATATTTCACACTCGCAGGCCCGGGTACCTGCGAGCGCCGGGGGTTAGCCGGATCGCATGACATAGCATTATCCTTACTTGACATATTCATTAGAAAAGGGGGGTTAGGAAGACGAGCATGATGCTTTCCTAAGGCATCATGACCACACTTTTCAAGGAGATTTAGTTCCTTGTGGCTTGTGGGAGCCATGAAGAAAACGGGTTACTTAACCGCCGCCCGTGGATCGGCGTTGTTGCTCGTTTAGCACCACCCAGGGGAAACGTGTAGGGTGGGCCTAGGAAAAGGTGGTAAATCCTACGGACGCGAGCAACTTCATCCCCCAAATCTGTATCTTTAAAAATCATCGCATGACGAGAACGCATCATGTCATAGTACGATCGTTGCCAATTAGGACGACTCTTAAGGGCGTGCGCTGCGTAAGCGGGAGTCAGTTTTATGTTATTTCATAGAGTCGCGTAGAGCATGAAATAAATACTCGGAGCGGACGTCCGCTCCGTGCTCTTGTTTAACGCAGCGCAGTCCCTAAGTGTGGTTAAGTAGTTTTCAATAAAAGGAAATGCAGTCACCGTAACTCATGAGCGAGTATACAGCCTGGACCTAAATCTTAAAAACTTTTATCAACAGCTTAAAGTACCTCCCGAAGCACGGGGGAGCTCGAAATAATAAATTTTTCGTCATCCATCCGATGACCAGCCGTACGGAAGTTGCTGAACTTTCACGATCGCAGACCGAACGCGCTGACCACTTGCGCCATCGAGCTCCTCACCTCATTCATCATCAGCCCTCGAATATTTTATTTAGAGCTTTTATTTAACTTTCAATGAGTTTATGTTTAGAACAAATTTTCCAATAGATTTTGAAGTAGTTATTCTCAACCGCGATAAAGTCCTGTTATGTATTTATGAGAAGCTCGATGGCGCAGGTGGTTAGCAGTGGTCGGTCATTGGATGGGTGACCAAAATCTTCTATTTCGAGTTAAGCCGTTGGTCCCGGCTGCATCTGCAGTCGTTAGCACCCGCCAATCCACACGGGCCCGCGTGGTGTGTCATGGCCCAATCTCTCTATTCCCTCCATATAAAAGGTCTATGCCCCAGCAGTGGGGACATTAACAGGCTGATGATGATGAATGTATTTATGAACGTATGATGCAGATCCGGCAGCTACCCGAGTCGGTGATAGTGGAGACGACGGAGTACAAGTGCCTTCAGAGCCAGTTCTCGGTGCTGTATAACGAGTCCATGCAGATGAAGACGGCGCTCGACGAGACGCGGCTGCAGCTGCAGAACGCCAAGAATCTGCACATGCGCCAGATCGAAATGATGGAGGTACGAATATTATGTCAGACCGGCAGCTACCCGAGTCGGTGATGTTTTAATTTAGCTTAGTTTTCCAAACCGATTTCCGCACTTAGTCCTAATTATTGGACCATTGTGAGTGTCTCGAAACATTCCTGTTTACTCCAGCCAACCAAGGTTAGTTCAGAAGGAGAGCAGCCTTCCGGAAGCGATGCTGGTGACTGGAGAAGTCATGCCCGTTGGTCGGCCACACTCCTGCATTTCATGATGATATGCTGTGGCGTTTCTTCTGTCTCCATGCATCCTCTGCACAGGGGAGTATCTGGCACTCTTATTGTGTTTCCAACAACAACAAGCCCCAAAGTAAACGCTGTAAGGCTTGTGTTATGGGATGCTAGAGTAACGGATAGAATACATATATTTCATATGTATATTTTATATAAAATATATATAAACATCGACGGTTAACATACAAATGCTCGTTTACATCATACTAACATTCACGAGTAGGCGACCCCTTGAAATCCGCTATGCATGCACGGAAGCGGCCTTAAAATATCTACTATATATGGTAAATAAGCTCGTCACTACACACGCACACGCCGTTTTCTTTGCGCGGTTTATTTGGTAGTTGTTTTATAAATAGGAGAGTGCATTAGTCATATTTCGTATTAGAACAAAATTGGAAGAAACTGTTCGTTTGTCCATATCTGATTTATTCATAATGCATTAGTTTTTATAGCATGGTGTGCTTCGTCATTCCAAACTTTTATACCTATTCCGTGGTAAACAGCTTGCACAAGAGTGTCGCTCGCATATCATAAACCGCGACACTAGAAAATCGAAAATGCCGACGCATCGCATTCGTATTTTATATATCCTGTTAGAATTATTGTAAATGGAACACCCCCAGTGCCTTCACATTGGTGATTGCTTCTTGAAGGTTTTAAGATTTCCGGCCACTTCGTTGCATTCCACCAGAGTTCGAGTAGCTGTTTCTTCTGCCTTCATGCATCCTTTGCTTATGGGACTGTCCGTGACGTCCGAGGTCCAAGCACAAATTTTTGTTTTTACGTTACGTTTAGTTTGTTCTTACGTTACGTTTTTTTTTTAAATCTGAGTTTTTAATCGGAGGTCAAAGCATAGCAAATAGCGACGGCGGCCTGCGTCGACCGTTACGAACTGGTTCATATTCGTCGCGTTAGGAGTCTGTGTGTAATAAGTAAATTTAAATGAAAAAAGGTTGACTGAATGATGTTTTTATTTTTTCTTAAATACAAAAATATCTCTCTTTTGACCACTTCTGACTCTGCCTCTGACCCTGACACTGCCTCTGACTCCGGTTCCGACTCCGATGAATGAAATTTAAAAACTCTGACTCCGACTTCGGTTCCGATAAATTTACCTCTGTTACATCCCTGCTATTTACACACTTATTTCTTATTACAGAGCGAAGAGTTGAGCAGACAAAAGGCTCTCAGAGCTGAAATGATCCAACTGGAAGACGTTTTAGGTCAGCTTAGGAAAGAGTATGAAATGCTTCGCATAGAGTTTGAACAGAACTTAGCCGCCAATGAGCAGACGGGGCCCATAAACAGAGAGATGAGACATTTGATAACTTCACTACAGAACCATAACCATCAGTTGAAGGGAGAGGTGCACAGGTACAAGAGGAAATATAAAGATACTAGTCAGGAACTTAACAAGGTATGTGGTACACTTACTATATGTATTTAATAATAATGCTATAATGTAACTTATAACCTAATTTACTGTGCTAGATGAAGAGTGAGGTATCCTAATACAAGTATTTAGTAATTTAATGGGAATAAAAGCATTTTGACGTTTATCATAAATAATCTTATTTAGAATTTCTTAAATATAATCATCATTCTTAAATATAGCCATATCGGAAGAGTCTACCTTGTGTAAGTATATGATGTTGTTTGATATTCTAGTTATGTAAAATTATGGAAATTGTGATTAGGTCCGCAAAGAGATGGAAGAAGCCGCGGGTCGAGGCACTGGCACGGAAAATTCTAAATAAGATTATTTATGCCATATCGGAAGAGTCTACCTTGTGTAAGTATATGATGTTGTTTGATATTCTAGTTATGTAAAATTATGGAAATTGTGATTAGGTCCGCAAAGAGATGGAAGAAGCCGCGGGTCGAGGCACTGGCACGGAGCCCATAGAGGAGAAACCGCTTGCTGTCAAGAAGGAGGAACCTGACCCAGAGGTAATAGGATGACAATTTTATTTTCTCCTTATATCAGGTAGATTATAGTTGGACACATATTATTTATTTTTTCAAATAATCAAAGCATTTTAGTGCTATAATGATTTGAAGCATCTTGGTACAATTTCTACTCAGTAGTGACGCCACGATATGAAATCGTCGAAATTAAGCTACTTTCACAATGGTCGGTCATAGGATGGGTGACGAATAACTTATTATCTCGAGCTCCTCCATGCTTCGGAAGGCACGTTAAGCCGTTGGTTCCGGCTGCACCTGCAGCACACACCAATCTACCCGTTGTGGTTTACGGCTCCTATATCCATATTCCATCTATGAAGTAGGCACGTGCTCCGTGGTGAGGACATTAATGGCGTGATGATGTAATAAATATTGTTAAATATTTCAAGCATTTAACTGCTTAAAATATATATGTGCAGACGGGACTCGAACCTGACCCTCCGCAATCCGGTCGGATGCACTTTTTTTATTTATTTATTTGTTTATAGTCAGGCAACGAAGGCCCATAGATAAATACTTTATAGTCGAACAGAAATACAGATATAGGTAATACATTAAATGTTAGTAATTAAAAAATAATAATAACTATGTTAGTAGAAACCTAATTAACACGTATAGACGGCGACGTGTGACGCGGAGTGGTGTCTGGTAGCAGGCCTCGGAACCGCCGGAACACAACACCTTTCGGCCAAAAATCTTCTTTCATGAACGTCGCCAGATGTTCGGTTGGCACCCGCACCACAAAGGAATTAAAATTCACATTGTGACGGGACTCCAACCGTGCAACTCTGAGGGAGAATTTGGTCTTAATCCGCAGGTACTCTACGATCTCCTCTTTCTTCGTAGAGTAATGCAGTCGGGACACGTACAGCGGCACTGATCATTATGCTACGTCGGTCCTGATGTCTGTGTCAATTAGAGAAATAATATTCCTTAGGCTGCAAAGCAGCGTCCATCTCTTGCCTGGTCCACGTGGAATTTTTTCTACTAAAATATTCTTTAAATTTAAATAAACATTGATTTTTTGCAGGGCGAGGAAGGAAGTTGCGCTGACAGTAAGCCCGCGGCCAAGGAGATGGCTCGAGCAAAGCTGCAGGAACAAGACCAACTCATCAAGGACCTCAAGCTGCAGCTCAAGTATTGCATTGACACACATTTATATTTATGATTTTTTAGCAACGAATTAGAAATAATATGGAATGCCAACTGCGCTAAAAAGTGGTTCCCCGCAAACTGCGAACAAGTGGACGGTGCGAAAAAATGCGATCAACACGACGATCATGGGATTAGTCGGGATTCCAGTTTAACATTATATTACCCAATAAATGGATAGCTGAATTATTTTATCTGTGTGCGTGTCGCGTTAGTATTGAAGTTTAGTTGTATGAGTTTGGAAGTATGTTTTAGCGGCCTTTGTTAGAGAGTCATGCTTCCATACCATTTCTAAATCATTGTATTCATCCTCGTTATTCGTGATCAAAGCCTATGCCCCATTTTTTTTAAATAATCGCGATTGTTTTGACTTTTTACTACGTTGTTTCACTACAATATTAATCAAAACATCAAAGCCCGATAGTAGTTTTAGCATACATAATGTGGCGCGCTAGTTCTCTCGTTCTTTTATCACAACAGTTTTAGCTTTAAACAGGGTTAATTTTAAAACACATTTTAACCAACAACAGGAACAAATTTTACTATGGGACAAATGCTGAAAGAAGTCTGTTTCATACAAAAGTGCATCAGCTAATCAACCGAAATGTATGAAACAGCAGAGTTGGTCCCTTAATAAAAGTTGTTCCTGTTGATAGATAGAATCACCACCTAAGAGGTAGTTGATGTTTTAAAATTAACCTTGTATATGTTTGTACTATTTTGGGCTGACGATGATGATTTGCAGGAAAGCGGTAAACGAGCAGAAGGAATTGAAGCTCCTATTGGACATGTACAAAGGAGTGAGCAAAGAACAAAGGGACAAAGTGCAGCTCATGGCTGCTGAGCGCAAAGCTCGTCAGGAGCTAGAGGACCATCGGCAGAAGGCCAAAATGGCTCAGGTAGTTTTTTTTTAATGCTAAATAGGCAAGGCGTTTGACCACAATCTCATCTGATGGAAAGCGATGATGAGGCCTAAGAGGGTACACGCCTGCCTAGAAAGGAGGATCGTCTAAAACTTTAACATCCCAAAACATACAATATTTAAAGATTTTTAAGTGATGAAAAGCTTATACTGCTTAGCTATTCATCTAAAAATAAATTAAAAAAAAACTTGAAATATTTTTTGGGATGTTTAAGTTTTAAACGCTTTTCCTGAAAAAATGATTTTTTTGCATAAGTGACAGTGTCGCACCGGGGGTGCGATTCGATCACACGGGGCGACTTACAAGCTACGAGTCAGCGAGATCGCTAGAAGCTTCTAAACTCGTCCCGTGTCATGGAGTAGCAGATTGTAAAAAAGCTGATGAGACTGGGCGAGTTTACAAGCTACAAGCCAGCGAGTTCGCTAGTAGCTTCTAAATTCGCCCCGTGTCATCCAGTAGCAGATTGTAAAAAATCCGATGACATAGGGCCAGTTACAAGCTACAATCCAGCGAGTTCGATAGCAGCGTGTAAATTCGCCCCGTGTTATCCAGTAGCAGATTGTAAAAAAACCGATGACATAGGGCCAGTTACAAGCTTCAATCCAGCGATTTCGCTAGCAACTTGTAACTCGCCTCGTGTAATCCAGTAGCAGATTCTGACATGGATGTATATTTATTTCTGCATAGAATATATATGTATTTTATCCGTTATTCTAGCATACCATAACACAAGCCTTACAGTGCTTACTTTGGGGCTAGGCTAATTGGTGTGAGCTAAATGTATGTCATTGAATTGAAATAAAAAAATTATTTGTTTTCTTCCACGATGTTTCGTTCATAATCATAACTAAATAATATTTTCATTTTACATTATAAAATTAAGCTATTTTCGTCGCTCTTTCTCTTATATTATGTTTTTAATTATAGAACCATGGCTATGACGAATTAGATGAAAACTCAAACTTCACTAATAAAACGATCAGCACTTGTAAACAAAACCATTCATTCCTAGGAGAGTAAACGGGAGCGGCGTTTAGCAGATGAAGACGCATTACGGAAGATTAAGCAGTTGGAAGAACAGAAGTACGAACTGCAGAAGCAGTTGTCTTGCGCCCGCCCCAACGCCGATCCGCTGCACGCGTTCTCAAGACCATTCGCTGGGTCTCAGGTATATAATGTGACCCTGTCAGGGGAGTAAAGGACGTATTACGTAAGATCAAGCAGCTGGAGGAGCTGAAGTTAGTTCTCAATGCCGTTGGCTGGGTAACAGGTATATAATGTGACCCTTTTATCCCTGTCAGGGGAGCAAAGGACGTAATACGTAAGATCAAGCAGTTGGAGGAGCTGAAGTTAGTTCTCAATGCCGTTCGCAGGGTCACAGGTATATAATGTGATCCTTATATCACTCTCAGGGGAGTAAAGGACGTATTACGTAAGATCAGGCAGCTGGAGGAGCTGAAGTTAGTTCTCGATGCCGTTCGCCGGGTCACAGGTATATAATGTGACCCTTATATCACTGCCAGGAGCGCCCGCCCCAACGCCGACCCGCTGCATGCGTTCTCGAGACCATACGTCGGGTCACAGGTATATAGTGTGACCCTTATATCACTGCCAGAAGCGCCCGCCCTAACGCCGACCCGCTGCATGCGTTCTCGGGACCATACGCCGGGTTACAGGTATATAATGTGACAATTATATCACTGCCAGGAGCGCCCGCCCCAACGCCGACCCGCTGCATGCGTTCTCGAGACCATACGCCGGGTCACAGGTATATAATGTGACCCATATATCACTGCCAGGAGCGCCCGCCCCAACGCCGACCCGCTGCATGCGTTCTCGAGACCATACGCCGGGTCACAGGTATATAATGTGACCCTTATATCACTGCCAGGAGCGCCCGCCCCAACGCCGACCCCCTGCATGCGTTCTCGAGACCATACGCCGGGTCATAGGTATATAATGTGACCCTTATATCACTGCCAGGAGCGTCCGCCCCAACGCCGACCCGCTGCACGCATTCTAGAAACCATTCGCCGGGTCACAGGTATAATCCAATTAAATCAAATGTTTATATGCTAATCAAGTGTATATAGATTAAAAATACCAAAATTTTATGTTATTTGCTGTATAAGATATCTGGAATATTAAACTTACATAAGGAAGGTGTTAAAAATTTACATATAAATAGAATTATTAACATATTATTTAACCCTTTATAGACACAAAATTCATATTAGTTTGTTATAACCAATCGTAGGACTTGTTTCACAAAACAATCGACTCGCCAATACAAATTTTAGATCTGTCAATAAAACAATTAAGTTACATCTATACCCGATTTAGCGCTGTCGTTTTTTCACGTGTGAGTGTCGTCATTACAATTTCGTTTTTGCGGAAGTATGTTGGACTGAATTTGTGTACAAAGAACGGTAGAATGATTTCAGTAGTATTATGTCATTGTAACTACTCCCCTCCTATCAGCGTCAGCTGTGTTGCTCTATGGTTTCCACCAACAAAGAGACGAGCGAAAATGACAAAGAGGGCAAAAAGAGAAATATCTCGGTGGAAAAACAATCCTATTTTATGTACACGAAGACCGCTCCGCTAGGCATCCCTATTTCGTTCCTTCTTCCTCTTTGGCGGTGGAAAACGGGCTTTAATGCCGCCACTGCTGAGGCTCAAGCCATCCCTATGGATGAAATAGAGAGATTAAGCCGTGACCCAACACGCCCGCCCGGTGCAGATAATTTGTGCTAAACGTTGTACGGCAGATATAGCCGAGACCAACGGCTTCCTTGTCTATGGGCGATACTAAAAAAGTTTATCGGGATGTTTACAAGGGCTATGATGATTATACTACAATCGATTCGCCCAACTTTGTACGATGGATCTCAATTTTTTACTTTACATTTATAATATTTGAGCACACAAACAAAAACAGCGGCAAAGTACTTTAGCAAAGCACAGACTAATAAAGTTGCGAAAATCTATTGTCTCATGAAGTTTGCGGGCATACATTTTAATACATTGAAAGAATTTTTAAATAGGTCTATAGTCTAAAAGTTCGTGTCTTATTACAAGCATATTTTTTTTCCGCTTCATTATATTAATTATAGGTTTATGTCATTACAATCAGGAGGAAGAAGCCCTCCTCAACGAGATGGAGGTGACCGGGCAAGCTTTCGAAGACATGCAGGAGCAGAACTCTCGTCTGATTCAGCAGCTGCGAGAGAAGGACGACGCCAACTTCAAGCTCATGTCCGAGCGGATCAAGGCCAACTCGCTGCAGAAGCTGCTGCGAGAGGAGAAGCAGCTGCTGCAGGATCAGGTATAATGGAGCATATATAAGTTGGTGAGGTTCCTGAACTCCATGATGTTCATTTTTTCGCCTGTAGCCTCATAACAAGAACTAAAGCTTATAGTCTGTCCATTCTATTATTATCTTTTTGACAGATCGATCGAAGTAAAAATAGTGACACCCTTTCACATAACTCGTTCGATTTAAAGCTATAATCGATTTTATGCTAGAACATTGTTTAATCGATTATAAGTATCGAAATTATTTTAGTTATCAAAAATACTGGTGTTTAATAAATTATTACAAAATCTCATTAGATTTATTATTTTACTTAGTTTGTATGAAGAATCGTATACGTCTGAATAAATTAAAAATAAACTAAGAAGACATTTATAAAATGAACTATATATAATGTATATATGGCATTAACCCGTAAAAACTAGTTTTATTTAATGAGTGATGTGCGTGAAAACCTAAGAAACAAATATATAATGTTAATATTTTAATTACTTGGTCTCTACCTTACAATTTGCTTATACTCGTTTATCGGTAGAAACCGATTACTTGTAATCTGTGGCACAATCTTAGTAATAATTATGTGTGGCACATCACTAAGTGGGCGGTACCCGTCCATGAATTACAATATTATTTGTATGACATTTTAACGTAAACAATACAAAATTTCATGGGCGTCAATCTGTCAAAAAGATAATAATAGAATGGACAGACTATAGAAGTAATGCAATAACGTTTAAGTGTATGTTTTCGCATATAATATACGTATTAGCCAACCAAGAAGTATTAGTGGCCTTTTGGTAGGTTGCGTTTGACATTAGATCGAATATTGATTGGGTATCGTAAAGGTAACCAAGATAAAAAAGCGTACAAAGGCCAGATATCGTAAATATAACGTTTATATAGTGGTACGCGCGCCGCTGTGCATACAAAACTAGCATATAGTGTCACGAACGCTCTCGAACCAAAACCGCAAAAAACTGGAAATATTTGACCGGAGCGCCCCGCGGGTCGCGGTGTGAATAATCGTGATAAAGGAGTGGTAAGGTCCATTCTAATATGAGCCTTATGCAGTGCGATGCCAGGGTGAAAGTGCAACGACATCTGCACTTGTTTACAATTCATGCACATTACCTACGTATAAGTAGTAGTAGTAGTATGCGCGAGTGCATGGGTGCTAGTTAACTCTCAATTGAACAGGACTTTTCTAGAATGCGTCGATTGGCGTATATAAGCGCGATCGGCACTGCGCAATTGACAGTTTAGTTTCAAAACTCAACTAGAGGCGATAATCTGTAGCTGCGTTTAGTGACTTGACTGGGGCGCTAGTGGCTCTATGTGCGCTTGATCTAAGCTATAAAATGCTAACTTTTTTTCTCGCAACTTAAGAGTTATCGTTTAAACGTATCTTTACATATAATAAAATGGTAGGAGAGACAAAACTTTACATTGCATATTTTTTTAAAAGAATACTTAGGGTGTGATCTGCAGTCGATACCGAAGCAAAAACTATAGTTTTTAGAATTTTTGTCTGTATGTATGTTCGGGATAAACTCAAAAAGTACTGCATGGATTCACTTCAAATTTGGCACGAATATGATTAAGAAGTCGTGTCAACATATAGGCTACACATTATCACGCTATCACTTACGGGGAAAGAGCAGTGAACCTTTATTTCAAACTAACTCCACGCGTACGAAGTCGCGGGTGGCCGCTAGTAATTAATAATGCTATCTGTCTAAACCCACCGGTCTGTTGTGTTGGTTAGGTATTAACGCGCGACCAGCAGATCGAGTCGATGGGCGCAGTAGCACGACGGCTTGAAGAGAAGGAAAGGCTTCTGCAGAACACTCTGTCGGCCGTCGAGAAGGAACTGTTGCTGCGCCAGCAGGCCATGGAGATGCACAAGCGGAAGGCCATCGAGTCTGCGCAGTCAGCCGCCGACCTCAAGCTGCATCTTGGTAAACACTAACAGCTATTATAGTCTAAGGCCCGTATTACAGAATGACAACTAAGTGTTGATCTTTACTTGAGTGCAGTTAGAAAGGGATGTCGCTATCCTAGCTAGCCACAGAGCGACATCCCTTTCTAACTGTACTCAAGTAAAGATCAACACTTGTCATTCTGTAATACGGGCCGAAGATCCGAACCTACATCGAGCTGATAATAGAATGAATGTTTTATCATGAATTTAGTATATTAGAAGATATATTAAAAATGGGTTGCCTTAAAAATCCTGGACCGGGATGTCGCTATCCTAGAGAGACTGGTTTTTAAATAATTTTTAATTTAATGGTTCAACATCCAGATAATAAGAAAATTTTGTCCTGACTTACAGTATAAAATGTGCAGCCGTTGGGTTGTTGTTATTTAGCTGGGCGAACTACTGGGTTGCCAGTTATGATGTCGATGCCAGTTCCGTTACCCAATGGCGGCTCATTCTATACGTTTTATGCTTTAAGTCAGGACAACATTTTCTTATTATCTTGATGTTGCAACATTTAATTAAACGTATATTTTTTTAAATAATTAAAAATAGTCTGTCTAGGATTTTTTCAGGCAACCCATTTTTAATATATTTTCTAATATACTTAATTCATGATAAAATATCTTTACGATATTAAAAACCACACCACCACGAACAAAATCGTGCCCGGAACCTGTCCAAAAGGTACATTGGACGATCCACGGAGTGTGGCGGCGACATCTATATGCCCAACATAGGAAATAATCACTCGCCTCCTAAAGAGATGGCGCTACCGACGCTGCGATCAATACGTATGGACCCCACTCCATATATACGATGCCCGATCAACATCAGTCTGGCCGCGGCCCCTGAGCAACCATCACCCAACTCGGAGGATGATCTTCCCCTTTGGCCTTCCTACACGGAGCTCCGTAAGATGTTTGCATTGTCCAAAACAAAATAGGGCATTATTTAATCATTGGAAGTCACTTTTAATGCATACTATATAAGGTCTTAATTAAAAAGAATCAAAGAGTTATGACAGTGCGAAATGCAAAATCGAATGCGGAAGAATAGCCTTTATTCATATGACTCTTCGCGCAATTCTGAATGCGCTGTTAGCAATATAGCAGGTACGGAGCGCGAGGAGCTCTGCGGCAACTTGACTTTTCAATGGTCTGCGCGTGACTGTGAACGAAGAAGTGCTTGAGTGGCGTTCAAGCACTTCTTGATTTGGACACATTATGAGCGCACGTGGTTGTTGTATCTAGGGTATTTAATAACGTTGTCAAATATGTTTCATTCTATTATGAGCTCGGTGAAAGTGGATGTAGGTTCAGATCCTTTACTAATATATATAGTTTCTTGAAAGTTGTCATTTTATGTTACATTGGTATACGAGCTTGCTTCCATAAATAGAGAGTAAGATTACACAGCCTCGACTTCAGTAATATTTCTTATATTTCTCTCATAGAGCAACACGAACGCGAACTAGAAGGCCACAGCGATAAACCATACAAATAGTTCAGGCAGTTTTGACAAAGGGTAATGTGTACGAAAGTGCTGTTCTGTATACACAATAAAAACGACACTGACACAGAAACAATGACATAGTATACAACCTAATCTTGTACACTTCTTTATCACATATGTATAATTTGGTCATATACTTTAACAAAAGGGGAAGCTGCGTATGGTTATTTCCATAGAGATATAAGAATAGAGTGGGGAAGGCGGCTCTAAAAGTTTCCGTCTAGTAGAAAGAGAAATAAGATGAGAGACCGCTAGCTCTCTCTCTCTTGTGCCGCATGCGCAGTCGTCTGTCCAATAGTTGGCCCAAGCATCACATCGAAATAGTAAGATGCTTACGGTTGCCAATACGCATGCGAGATTAGAGAGAGAAAACTAGCGGTCTGTCATCTTCTTCCTCTTTCTCTTTCTATTAGAGGGATACTTCTACTTGTAGTAGAGTCTATATCTCCCTACTCTATTCTTATACCTCTATGATTATTTTCCTCTTGGCCACATCAGTCATTTCTCTATGGTTACATTACAATGCAGTTGTAATACATTCTTTGACGAAATGTATCTGTGAGATAGTGAGCACTATAGTAAATCGTCTTCACAGTCATAAGTCAATGCGGTTTTGTGACTTTATTGATACTCTTCTATAATTGTTTTGCAGAGAAGTACCATGCTCAGATGAAAGAAGCACAGCAGGTGGTAGCAGAGAAAACTAGTGCGTTGGAAGCTGAGGCATACAAAACGAAGAGATTACATGTGAGATGTCAATGTTTTAATTGTCATTTGTGATCTTGCTATATAATATTATTTATATTATTTATTGACCATTTTGTGTAGTATCGAGAACCCTAGCACTAGAAGACTTGATATTCATTATTATTTTGTTTTGTTTATTTGAGATTTTTTTACAATTATCTCTATAATTCCAATATTAAACTTGGGAACTTTTAAAATCCCTCTCGTTTGTATTGTAATATTTTATACAATATTTTTAGCAAAATTCTAATTAGCATAGTATTATGTTTTCACACACAATAATTAATGTTGTCTAATATATTGGTACGCAGGAGGAGTTAGCCATATTGCGTCGGAAAGCTGAACGCATGAAAAAGATGGAGCAGGCCGGCAGCAGTATGGACGAGGTGTTGCTGGAAGAGATCCGCGAGTATAAGGAGACCCTCACGTGCCCCTCGTGCAAGGTGAGTTTGGGCTGATATAGAAGTATATTAGTATAATAAATAAAATAGAAGGAATCATCATCATCAGCCTATTAATGTCTCCACTGCTGGGGTACAGGCCTTTCCAATGGATGGAATAGGGAGATGGGCCATGACCCACCACGCGGGCCCAGTGCGGATTGGCGGGTGCTAACGACTGCAGATGTAGCCGGGACCAACGGCTTAACGTGTCTTCCGAAGTACGGAGGAACTCGAGATGGAAGATTTTTGGTCACCCATCCAATGACCGACCACTGCGAAAGTTGCTTAAGTTCAACGATCGCAGCCGAACGCGCTAACCACTTGCACCATCGAGCTCCTCATAGAAGGAATTCTAAAATTAAAAGCTAGATCGGTGCTGTTCTAACCAAAGCGCAGTCAAATGCGTGCGAGTGAGACAGAATAAAGTGTGATCTACACACTTTATTCGGCTTTGGTTTTTCAAAGTTGTCCAGGATTTGGTGTCTTAATAAGCATTTTAAAAACCTTCTAAATCTCCTTTTCCGTCGCAGGTGAAGCGCAAAGACGCCGTACTAACGAAGTGCTTCCACGTATTCTGCTGGGACTGCTTACGCACTCGTTACGAGACGCGACAGAGGAAATGTCCCAAATGTAACGCGGCATTCGGCGCCAACGACTACCACCGCCTCTATCTGTCCACGTAGGCGCCATACGCCACTCGGAATAAGTCTCAACGTAGGCGCCACGCCACGCCATGCCACGCCACGCCATGCCACGCCATACGCCACTCGGAACAAGAACCCGCCAGGCAGAGGCGGATTATTCTTAAGGCAAACTAGGCATGTGCCTAGGGACGAGAGGGTACAAAGAGGTGCGCGGACGGAATTGTAAAATAAATAAAAAAAAATATAGCATAAAATTATTTGGGCCAGTAATTAAGCCACAATACACAATAAAAACTATTATTTTTGCTTCCAACCTCAGTTTGCTACAATTTATAACAAAAGATTAATTTAACGGATGGGATAGACTAATACTTACACCTGAAAACAACATTTGTCGATGGTACATGTTCACTGATTAAAGTTGGAAAGATACGACTGCAATGTTCGTCGCATCGACCGGAGCAGTTTAAGTCAAACTATAGTACGACTCATTTTTAATATAGAGGCGCCGGTGAGTAGCTTGCCTACGGCGCTCTCAAAGTTTAATCCGCCACTGCCGCCAGGTATATCACCTTTGTATTTCAGAGACACCCTCGGAATATAAGAGCGGGCACGCGATAATGGTGTAAGCTAAACATCGGGACAGCAGGCGAAAAAGTCGAGAAACTTATTGAGTTGAACCAACCTAGAACAAGAACTTACTAGTTAGCATTATGCTGCGTCTGCTTTTCGGGTATAAATACAAAAACGTGTACGAGACAGTTTTATGAGTAAACCATTTAGACAGAGCAGGCGGAAAAGGTCGAAAAGCTCGCTGCGATTTTTCCTTGTGTCTTGTTATGTAGCTGTACGGATATGAAATGTACCGCGGTACCACTCTTTGGTATAACGCTGCGTTTCATAAACTCCCTGGATATTGAAATTGGGTACGACATCCGAAATAATGTAAATAGTGTATTGTTTGCACCTCTGTAAGTGAAACTTTAACTGAAGATCTACTACATAAGGATAGGCAAACGAGCCTCGGAAAACTTTGTTTGGCATATCTAAGAGTATGTAGTGTATTAAAATGTAATGATAAACAAAAAATATAGTAGAATATTTTATTTGCACGGTTAGTGTCCAAGATGTAAAACAGCATTGTTTTGTGAGACACGAAACGTAAACACATTCTATAACTAGACTTTAATTTTTATGAATAGGCTATTTGACCCATTTCAAATTGTACTATACAAATGTTTATTTCTTTTATTTTTTGGTATGAGGAACCTAAATGATAATTTCACTTCATAAAATTAGAAGATGGCTTTAGTAATTTCATTTGAAAAATAGTTTTTTAGTCTTTACTTTTTAAACACTAAAAACGCTGGCCACCATGATTGTGACGTCACAAAATTTGTAAACAACTAAACGTCATTGTCGTGTTACTGTGGTTTATTTCGTTGGACTAAAGTTTATCTAAAAACTCTTATATCTTGTAGAAAAGTTTCCGTTTATTGGTTTTATTGTCTAAATTAATTCTGGACGCCGGATTTGTTAAAGCATAAACGACAAAACTCTTTAAATTAGTAGGTACATTCATAACCTTAAAAATTATATTTTTTGACTTTAAATATTATTCAATGGGTAGTTACATCGAAGTGATTTTTGCAAAAAGAAATGACTTTCAGTCTATAAAGTTACAGAATTCAGCAAGTTTTAAACGTGTGTACATATGTTTATTTCTCAAGGCAATTAAAACCACGCCTTTTCTGGAGTCTTTAAAAATGTGTTTCTTAATTCTCGTATAACAAATCATGATAATTACTATGTTTTTCATGTTATCTATTAGAAATCATGGTTTTATAATATAAACTCATATACGTTATTTCCTACGAGCTTTGTTTGTTTTCGTGAGTGTTTGTTTACAAATGTTTTGACGTTATAGCTTAGATAAATCTATAGACTACAATGGCCGACAGCGTTTTTGTATGTCCATGAAAACACTATTTTAAAGTTCAAGTTTTGTAGCTTTCTTGGTAAAAAAAAATACAATACATATTTTTGTTTAATAGAACAATTATTAACCATTGAAAACATATTTCCAAAAAGTGTCAACTAGCCTATTGCTGGTCGCACAGCGTCGTTAATGTTTAGTGTTGGTTAGTTATTAGTTAGTCAGCATTTGTTTAAATTTTGTAATCATAAATAGCATAACAAAGTAAAATACCGTCGGTAACAAAATTGTGTAAAACCTTTAAACATTAGAAAGTACTCTCAACTTTGTACAATAGAACTGTGTACGAACAAACTAATATTGTGTGATTTCACAACGACAAAGCATTTTCAGTCTAAAGGGTGAAATTTATTTACAATAAAACGCAAACCTAACGCTCTCAGACCAAGCCTTCGTGGCTAGAACTAAGGGCTTGTTAACAATAAACTCCCTGCAATATGTGATGTTTAGTGTGGACATAATAAATTTTGTTTCTCGTTTTAAAAAACAGGTGATGTACACATAGTCACAACAATACACAGCATTGAATTGGTAGAAAACTGTTTTGTTCTTAATATAATATAGATAGATAAACATAGCCTATAGATAAGTTTTATGTTAATTTTAGTTTGTAACTATTAAGTTCTATATTAGACACAGGCTAACTGTCAAATTTGGATAACACGTTCTAATGGATGTGGTATGACATTGCAATGTTATGGCTCAATTACACTTGGTCGTTAGCCCGTATTCGGGTACACGAAAGACAATACTTGATTTCGGGCACCCGAAACTATATTTACACTGGAAGACGGTGTCGGGTAACCAAACCGAAAACTGTCCGAATATGGACATACTCGACTCCGTTCATTTACGTCGTTTATCCGAATTTCATTAGCACTGTTAATCGGGTTAACTACCAGGTATAATAGCGCTTTTATTGATGATGATAAAAAAATAGTTCAATGGACTATGAATTACACGAAAAAATATAAACTGAGCAACTTATGTAAATTTTTAAACTCTGTATTTTAACAAATTGTGTAAACTCTGTTTTAGCTTTTTTTCTTTCTTTGTACTTTCACTACCTCTGATCTCACTGTAAACAGAGTGAAACAATCAAACATTGGGTAAGCAAAAATTTATAAATTCTGTGAAACATTGAAATGACCCATTCATAAATGAATGACTTATCATCACACATAACTTCAAAATACGGTTGGAATTTGTAAATATCTTTTAAATATCTAATTGGATATACCTTCCGTCTTAGAAGTTGAAATTAGATAACTAGGAAATCGTTATATGTTACGAGTAGGTACCCATGAAATCAAAACAAGAAATGATACGGATAATTTGTAATGGGAAAACAGTACCGTTTTTTAAACGTGTCAACATTTCATGGTAGGGTTTTTATGTATTATAAATAAAGAGTTAATTTGTCTATAATCAATCAAAATAAACGCGTTAACCTTATAAGTACTCAGTTATATTATATTACACCTAGCAAACTTGTTAAACATCAACCATAGACAAGGAAGCCTGCGCAGTAGCAATTTTATAATACAAAAACTGCGTAAGTTTTATTCTGAGCTTAATATTTGACGATTACTGTGAAAACACAGTAATAGACAAAATTACATGGGTACCTTATTATTGGTATATAGTAAGTGTGTTTTAACCTCACTTGTGTAACTTGTAAAGAGGTTTAAAGCGTAATAATGAAAGATATTAGATTTTTACTTCTAGAGTAAGAAAATTGACAAGAACTAGACACTCGATTATCATATTTATTTTTAGATAGCGTGAATAAAAAACTACGGATTTTATGGAGTAAAAAACATGGAGGGGGCTCGCTCTTTGCATGAGTTTTTGTGAAAATTTATTCATTCGTATACTTACGAACACACAAAAAGATCTTAATCTTCCTCTTTCTATGGGAGCGCGCACTGTGGATCCGAATTTGTCATAAAGGCATCGTGAAGTTCCGGTTAGAAAAAGCTATTGCCATTTATCTGGAAATTGACCCACTGATCCAGATGTTCATTTCTTTATTGATAAAACCTCTTGAATATCGATAAATATGTTGTTGATTAATGAAAATAAAAATATAAAAATACCAGAATCTACGTTGTGCTATATACATGGAAAGAATTTAGTAAAATTTAAACATTCCTGACTATAAGAAATTACATGAGTGTACGCTCTCAATTCGTATGGTCCAGTGTTCGTATGTAGGGGAATGAACATAATTCGTACAAAAACGCATCCAATGTGCGAACGTCATTCTGGTCAATTCATACGAGCGAATTGCAAGGAAGCAAATTTTGGAAACGTAACAAAGCAAATTCCCTAATATCTCCGCAACGTTATATAAATACGGTATTCCTTTTGAGATAAAAAGAAATTCTGATTCGCCCGCAGACGCGCTTATTATCATCTCAGATGTATGTGCATTGCGTTGATAAGGGTGAATTTGCTATGTTACTGATTCTGAAATTCTCTTCAATGCGCTTCGAATCTGTGCTAGTATGAATGGGCCGTCGATAATGACTCAAACCACCACAACTCTGTAAAATATTGAAATTTATGTGGAATACATACATAGTACGGTGTTCATTCCTTAATGTACTAGCTTCTTGTGTATTTAAATGTATTTAACTATTAAATCACACTACTTTGTATGTTATGCAACTGCATAGTAGGAAATCTAAATGCATTTCGCTGAACTTGTATATTAGATATTTATTGTTGATGTTGTATATTAGTAAGAGTATCATGAAATCGAACAAGTGGATATAGTTTTGTGTATTTAATAAACATTTAAGATTGATTATATATAACGTTAGATTAAGTTAAGATGGGGTCGGATGGACCACGATGGATTGAGCTAGCTCTTCGTCATGTAATTATATTTTAGGTAGTTAAATAACAAAAACAGCCCACTGACTGATATATTTATATATTTTAGGTTAAAAGTTTTCATTGGGCTTACCTATATTACTTTTTCAATATGTTAAGATTCGCACTCACATTTTCAGTAGATGTGGGTAGAAATCTTACGACTTTAATGCACGTAATACAATGTAACATTTTGACTTGTAGAAAGTAATATTATTTAGTAACAAACTGTGGACTGCATATAAAATGAAAAGTTAGATAGGATTGCAGATAATGGAATCTGCATTTGGTTTATGAAAAATAAGATGCTGTTCTCGGCTTATTGAATACAAAATTATATAATCATGTATTTGGTGTTAATTTCATTCTTTTGTTGAATTTTAAATTATATTAATTTTGGCTACGTACATGTGTCTTCCAAAGCCATGAAAAGCAGATCTTGTTTTTGAGATACAACACACGATCGGTCATTTGGATGCATAGATTTTAATTGTTAGAATATCCTTACCCTTACAAATATGTGTAGTATTTTGACAGCACACGATATTTTTATATTACGTGCATGTATGTTTCGTTTATATGGAAATATTGTCAATTTTAAATCGAAGTCCACAGAGGACACATTTTTTTCCCTCTACTTCTGTGGTTGTATTTAAATTGAACCTTTTTTCAACGCCCATTTGTATACATACCTATTACATTACAAGTGAAATGGAACAAATCTTTATTTTCAATACTGTTATTGGTGCACTTCTTCACGATTCTTATTACTATTATTGTTTTATGTATAAAAGTTTCATGTAACTGGCTATCGCTACAAGTTCAACACTAACGATGACATAGAGAGGGGTTTCGAGGGCATATCAAACAATTTAAATCTAATGCATTATATTGCTTGCTGTGAAAAAATCTAATATTAAATTCAATGGTTGAGTGGTGAAAAAAAAACCTAAAGGGTAAAGATTTTCGGTGGCTTCAAATCCACACAATACGTAAATGTGTCAGAGATCGGTCTATATTGTACGCCAAGGACGGTCACCATATCGGTAAAAACAAAATAAAACAAACAAAACACAGGCAAAAATTTTAGCAAAAATAGTCTTCTTTTTTCTGTTGCCAAATGACGTCAGTAAGCCACCTTGGCGATGGGCATGTTCAACTCGTAGGCGTTTTTTGAAAAACTCAAAAAAACCCTCAAAAATTTTTTGAAACGCATTTTTCTTGTTTTGTATGCATTTTAGAAACTTTCTTTCGACCATGATTGTAGAGGGTGTTGAGTACTACAATTTATGTCATTGTTGCAATCTCGTACAACAAAAAATGCGCATTCTAGGTGGCGCTAAATTCTCAAAAAAAGTGTATTTCACTTTTTCACCCTGAAAATATCATTTTAATGGAAAACTTTAAATGGAAAAGTTGTTCCGTACATAATTACCAACAACTTTTGTCTAAACAATTTTTTTGTATTACTTACCGTTTTCAAGTTATAAATTGAGCAGGTATGAAAAATCCAATAGAGCGGGTTTGGGCAATTCAAATACACATTTGCAGTGCACATTTCAATGTACGTTTTACTATTTTTTATTTTTTTTCATGATTGTAATAATGAAAAGAAAAAGTCCAATACCCAAAAGTGTATTTCACTTTTTCACCCTGAAAATATCATTTTAATGGAAAACTTTAAATGGAAAAGTTGTTCCGTACATAATTACCAACAACTTTTGTCTAAACAATTTTTTTGTATTACTTACCGTTTTCAAGTTATAAATTGAGCCGGTATGAAAAATCCAATAGAGCGGGTTTGGGCAATTCAAATACACATTTGCAGTGCACATTTCAATGTACGTTTTACTATTTTTTATTTTTTTTCATGATTGTAATAATGAAAAGAAAAAGTCTCCATAGGACCGAAAAAAATACCGTTAGTAGCACTGTGTTGTATACGTAGCGCTGTATTGCACTGTAACTTGAAAACTGTAAGTAATTTAAAAAAAATGTTTATACAAAAGTTGTTGGTAATTATGTACGGAACAAGTTTTCCATTAAAATGATATTTTCAGGGTGAGAAAGTGAAAAAACCACTTTTTTGAGACTTTAGCGCCACCTACAATGCGCATTTTTTGTTGTACGAGATTGCAACAATGACATAAATTGTAGTACTCAACGCCCTCTACAATTATGGTCGAAAAAAAAGTTTCTAAAATGCATACAAAACAAGAAAAATGCGTTTCAAAATTTTATTGAGGGTTTTTTGAGTTTTTCAAAAAACGCCTACGAGTTGAACATGCCCATCGCCAAGGTGGCTTACTGACGTCATTTGGCAACAGAAAACACAAGACTTACCCTTTAGGTTTTTTTTTCAATGATACGATTTTTTTTCGACAGATTGACTGTAGTAATATGTACGACTAGTTGTTCATGTGCGACGCCTCCAAATTCAGAAATTTTAAAGAAACTAATTATAAACCTAAAAGTTGTTTTCGCTCGCCTCTCAATTTGATTGACCACCATTCTATATTGCATTACAGAGTAACAGCTCCCGTGTCTTTGTAATGTAATAACAGTTTGGGTATGAATCTATTTCATTTTTGGATGTCTGACGTATAATGTGCTTGCCTTTTTATTAATACCTATCCAGTCGCCTTCAGACCTCCAAACTCTGTCGTTGTACCATCAGTATTTCTCTAATATGATTATTTGAATGTAAATCACAAATTAAAACGACTACATTTTATTTCTAAATAAATATTAAATGGATATCTATATCAATTAAGAGAAGGATTTCATTTGACTGCACGTACTTTCCTAGAAACGTCCCAAGTCCGAGCTAACGTTTGTGTCGTTCGAAAATACGTGCGGTTGCGTGCGGACAAATGTGAATCACCACTTTAGACAAACAAGTAATGAATTATTATACAAAAACGCAGTGTATAACATTCTGCGTATTGAAATTGTTACATTACTATAATGGAGTATGTCGAATAAATGTCTCAAACAAGCATTTGCTTTTCTATTCACAGAAGCCACCGACACTTTCTTTGTATTATCTTCACTTCAGTGTATTCTGGGTTGGGCGGGAAACTATTATGGTAATATAAAAAAACAAAAGATATATTTCACAATAATATTTATTTACATACGTAATTATTTACAACACAATGATTGTCGACATGCTAATAGTAACAAAAATTACTTTTTTGAAAAAAAACATCTGCAAAGTGTTCACACAAGGGGATTCTCTTCATGCTTAATCAGTGACATCAGCTCCTGAACAAGCTATGCTTTGTATGCTTTAAAAACATTTTTTGAAATTCGCAGATATCCAATTCCACCTACTAATCTGGATAAATCTTCAAACAATCTTAACACACAACATTCCCAACATCAAAACCATCAACAATTCAACGTAAATACGAATCAGTCTCATTTCGTTACATTTCCCTTTACGATGTAACATTACAAAACATGTGATTGAATTCTTCTATTTAGATTTAATAATTACGTTTTATTATGGTGGCAATTTTACCACGTCATTACGAATTTATACATTAAATTAGTTATTTATTGACACTTTTAATGTTCATGGGCAAATCAAAATAATGACCAATAGAATATATTGACTAGATAATAAATATATTTTATTAGATTGCAATTGTATACAATGTGATGTAAGAACAATATCGATAAAGAGAAAATACCTAATAAGTCATGTTTAAAACATCAATGCACTGATGGCACTTGAAATACTATTTGATATCCAATTTCTATTAGAAAAACATTCATAGATTTATGAAGAATATTCCGATATCAAGAAATTTTAAATGCAGCTAGGAATGAAAACTATATAATTACATATTCTTAATTAAAATAAAAAAAATCATACATATAATTTAGGATAAGCGAGGACTACGTTTTTATACAAACGTTCCACAATACACCTAGAATCTAGATTTTATCATTAGGTACACCATAACTAATGGAAAGGACAAATACTTAATTCTTATTTTGTACTTTCCACGCTAGGCGAGATCAATCAATTACGGACTTATTCTCTACTACAACATTTATTATCGGTGATCCTGTCTTGTGCAAACTTAACCATTTCAAGCCTTGGTGTTATTAAATGAACATTCAAGTACGTGTTTGGATTCAATTGACTAATCATATTTTATATACTATTTAGTATATCTGTATACGCTTATTTTCTCTTACTTCCTACCTTCCTCATCTCTATAAAAGTTATCACTACCTATTGGCAAGCTGTCATGGAATTTCCAGGACGGATAATATCAACATGCTAAATACCAAGGCGAACTATGGAATATAACTATAATTTGATGCCGATATAGTGTATCATACTGCTTTCGAAAAAGTTATCCCTCTACATAATTGAAAGATACTAAAAAGTATAGCGCCCATCAAGAAACGGCGCTGTGATAGAAATAATAGAAATGTATATGTATTTTCATTGCAATTTAATTAACAAGAAAGTTTTATACATTCTTTGTTATTAACTATGTTGTATATAATTTGTTCCATGCAGTTTGTTAAAATACTAACAGTTATATAACAAATCAGTGACATTAACGCCTGCATCAGAAAAACTGTGCGGCGGTACTGCCCTATGGTAGTTGGTATGAAACGTCAATGAAACGCGCGTAAAAAACAGCAAGATATATGAATACAACAAACTTTCAGCTTTATGCAAGTATTATGTTACACAGCCTGCGGCAGCTCATTTGATTGATTTTGATTTAATCACTGGACTACGGGCGTGAACCAGCATGTCTGTCATAGTACAAAGTGATTGAATGAATAATATGCACAGCACATTACTATAAAATTACACAATAGGTGTACAATTTATAATTAGTTTAACGCTAGATTGATTTACGAGCAATTTTCTAAATTAGGTCACTTCAGTTGTAGTCTTAAAATTATTTGTGACGTTTCATCAATTTATTTCGTTTGTTTTTCTATCTAATATATTAGAATTTATTTGTTAATGTTTTCGATGCTAATTTTTTCACACGCATAATTTCTGGCATGCATGCATCTTAGGCCGGCATTGCACGTGACTATTCGTATTCACTATTTGTAAACTTCACAACAGTTTGTCCTTATTATGCTATATAAGGAAATAGCTGTGCCCCGCGGTGTTACCCGCGGTTTATTAGGGATATTTTCCCGCAGTAAAACGTAGCCTATGTGTTAATCCAGGGTGTCGGCTAAATCCAAATCAAATTTTAAATTAAATCGCTCCAGCCGTTTAGACGTGAAGTAGTAACAAACATACACTTACACACTCACAAACTTTCGCCTTTATAGTATTAGTGTGATGATAAGGACAGACTGATGTTAAGTTTATAAACGGCACATACGAGTATGCAAGTAAAATGCCGGCATTATAAAGAAATGGTTAGGGGTACTACAAAATTTACTACTCATGGAAAGTTATACGGAGAAAATTGTGACATATCACTGTTTTGTGTGGTCATTTTTAAACAATTCGTCCAGACTAATTGTGACAAAATTAAAACCACACAAAAGATGTCTTTGTCATAAAGTAAATGCCATTTGACATCTTTACGTACATGTAACAATAATTTAATTTTATGACACAATTGGTAGCGCGAGTGAATTCGTATTCGTATATAGTACTTTACAAAATTTCGAGCTAAGGATTAGCTTGTTTAATGTCTTCATACGGGGTAGCAGAAGCGGGTGTGGTAGCCGCAGCATCAGACTGGTGGTGCGGTGATGTAGGCACGGCAGCGACGAAGGCGAGTCGCAGTTGTTAGGAAGAACGGCCGATAAACCTATATCGCTATACGTCTTGGCTAGGAATAGGAGAACACGTCACGTGCCTGTAAGTAGAAGCCAAGAAGGCGCGGCAGGTATGGTAGCCATAGCAGCAGATGAGTGGTGCGTAGATGGAGGCTCGGCAGCGACGAAGGCGAGTCGCAGTTGTTAGGAAGAACGGCCGATAGACCTATATCGCTGTAGCCAGGTGCAACTGCTAGGGAGAATGCTCGATATCTATATCACGCATGTCTTGGCTACAAAGAGCACTCCCCACGTGGGCTTCTATTAGAGCGGTAGGAGAACACGTCACGCGCCTGTAGGTAGAAGCCTAGCTGGGGCAGGTGTGGTAGCCGCAGCAGCAGACTGGTGGTGCGGTGGTGGGGGGGCCGCGGCGGCGAAGGCGAGTCGCTCTAGCCGCAGTTGCAGCGCGGCGAGGCGCGGCCACGCACGCGTCGCGGCGCGGCTGCTGAGTGCCGCGAGTGCCGCGTCCAATGCCTCGTAGCGGGCGCGCCGCTCCTCTTCGCTGCATGACGTGAATTCCTGGAACAAGTGGCTACTTTAAACTTCAGTTTTTAGAAGTCCCACTTGGATAAATACTTTATCCCAGCAATAAATGTAAATACTTTCACATCTACTTGCTCTTAATTTACTTGATACAAGAATGTCAAATTGACGTTTCGACATTATTGTATAAATAAAATAAATAAATATTTCCAACACTCACACCAATTAGCCTAGCCCCAAAGTAAGCACTATAAGGCTTGTGTTATGGGATGCTAGGGTAACGGATAGAATACATAAACTGTACATATATAATTACATTTATATTTATATAGAATACATATTAAACATCCATGGATGGAGTGCAAATGCTCGTATTCCTCACACAAACATCTGCCCCCACCACGATTCGAACCCGGAACCTCTCGAGTCGGCGACACCACGAAACCCGGCATACAAACCACTCGGCCACGGAGGTCATAGGTTTATATAGTTGTAGTTAAATCGAGATATAGCAATTTGCAAGTGGATCTGAATTCCTGCTTTCATTTATTATTAGTTCATGTGCCATAAAAGGTTTCAAGAATTTATCTTCATCGTAAAATTGAGTTTTCGAGGTATATTTATTGCGTTGACCACTAAGTCATAATTCCAAACTATTTCACAATTGGGGTGCCAAACTAGCATTATATCTTCATTTGTAAAATATTATAAATGAAATGCAAGTCCTCGTTATACCACACAATGCCGCAAAATGATTTGTGCTTTCGTTAAAATAAAATTCCGCTATTCATAACGCAAAGAAATATACTCGTTTAGTCTCATCTTAACCCTTAGCGAATGTAATAGAGCAAGATAAGAACTCTCATGCGGAGCCTTAAATAACTTAAAAATAAATAAAATAGAAAGCCATATTACCTCCTCAAGAAATTCTAAATCATCGTCTTCACCTGTTTGTGCCAGTTGTTTTTTGAGCATCTGAAAATACAAACTCATTAAAATTCTATTCAGAACAAAATCTTGAACAAACTACATAATAAAAAATAAAGTAGAATTTGATAGAAAGCAAATGTCATTAGCAAACCTTTAATCTAACAAAATATTATAGTAATTATGTAGATAATTTTGTGTTAATTCGTGCCAATTGTTTGTTTGTATGTATGTACAGAATTGTCAGTGATTGTTTATTTACAGTCGTGCAAATGTCGCGCTTGGTTGTATGAATTTCGAACGGACCTCGTGTTCTCTCCAAAATATATAACTATTTAACATGAACACATTGAAATAGTAAGCAATTTGGTATATAATGGGAAGCACAATGTAATTACTTAAAGAGATACTATTTAATATATTCTAATTACATAATAATTAATGTCTATTTTATTCATTATCACATGTTTTAAATACGGACAACAGCTCATCGGATTTTCACAAGGTGTCAAAATGCTGTTAGCGGTTTTCAATCGAACTTCAGAGATTGAAAAGTGTAAAAGCTGGGGAGCCGTTGTATGTACTTACAATAAAGATAAGCATGCTGTATAAAATAATTAGGGAAGCTTTAGATAACATTGATGAAATAAACGAGAGTTCTGATAAGTCGGTTGGCTTTGTATTGAATATATTGGGAGGAACTATAAATAATGTTATGTATACAAAGTTTGTGTGTATGAGCCGTTATTCCCAGTCGCCCCCCGGGAATTGCCCTCGGGGGCAAATGGGAATGAAGCTATTTCCCCCATTTTAGTTATTTTATCCCTGTTTGCCTGCGGTCACAATCCCCGCGGGGCGACCGGGAATAAAGGTGTATGAGTAAGAGAGCGAGAGAGAACACAAGGCCGAGTGCACCTAGAAGCTAAAGGCGTCAACAAAATGTCTATTAACCTGAAGCCTTTATTCTTGACTCGAGATCGCCAAGCAGGGCCTGAATTGTGTAAATACCTGTTTCACATTAAATCAGTTAAGGGCACTAACAAAACTGTTTCACTTTTATTAGTAACTGTTCCAAAAATTGTTAGCACCTGTACAAGGTTACAATTTCTTGTCAGCACTTCAGTTGCTTTTGTAGTGTTTGCTATTTGTGAAATTGACATTCATTCCTTAGAAACATTGAGGTATAAAAACAACTAGACTCACAATCGCGCTCGAAAAATGTCGGAAGCCAAATTACGCACATACTCTATTGTGCGTAATTTTCAAATAGTCGTGTTTGAAAATTCTCGCTTTATATAATTGTCATTAAAACCTTACTGGAACAACATGACGTTTTAATTTGAACGAATGACACTGTTAAAGCTATCTGTTTAAGTTGAGGTAGAGCTTTGCTCGAACATTTTTTGATAAACTTATGTTAGGCGATTAAAAGTCTATTTGTTTAATTCGTCAACCAACGATATTAAATACCTTAGACAAAACAACACGAACAAAATCGTGGCCGAACCTGTCCAAAAGGTATATTGGACTATCCATGGAGCTCCGTAAGATGATCGCGTTGTCAAAAACAATATAAGGCATTTTTTAAACATTGGAAGTCATCTTTAATGCATACAGTTTAAGGTCTTAATTAAAACGCATGCGTCAAAGAGTTATGACTGTTCGAAATGAAAGCTCGTAAAATTTTACGACTTATTGCATTAATCGGAAGAATATAGAACTTTGACTCTACGAGCAATTCTGAACGCGCTGTTAGCAATATAGCAGATACGGACCGCGAGGAAAAGAGATATCACCGACCATGCATTTGAATAACACAAATATTTTTTATTAAATCAATTTTTAGTTAGTATTAGAACAAAATTTCCTTCAAATGCGTTAAATTAACAAACATTGATTAGATACCTGTCGAAAAAACGACACTTTACATACTATAAGTATTTTTGTATATGTCATGTATTCGCATTGTTTCACGGAGCTCTGCGGCATGTTGATTTTTCAACGGTCCGCGCGTGGCTGTGAATAAAGAAGTGCTTGTGTGTAGTTCAAGCACTTCTTGATTGGGACAAATTTTGAGCGCAGGTAGTGTATCTAGGGTATTTCATATCGTTGACGTCAACGTTTATATAGCATGATAAGGACAGGCTGCTGTCAAGTTTATAAATACGAATAGCCAAGTGAAGTACCGGCACCATTTTATATTTTATGAACATTGCTTTCATGTATCTGTGTCATGATAATAATAATCTCTTTAATTCTGGCAATTGACCCATACGATAAAAAATACATATGTATAACTTGTGTTGAAAGGAATCGAAAATGCCGACGCAATACATTCTATCTCGTTCGCACTTTACTAAAGATAGCCTGTGCGAGGGGCAGTCGTCATTTGCGATTCCTTTCTATAATGAACCGAGTTATAAATATAGTTGTGATCCTTTACATATATCGTATAGAATTTTAAGTATTCGATAATAATTTTAGAGACGCAGAAACTAACCTCGACGGACTGGCGGTACTGTTCCATCATGTTTTTGCTTGCGTCCAATTCTGCCAGCTTTTTTACCACCACATCGGCAACATTCTTTTCCGTGACGTCTATCTTATCTCTAGAAAATAACATTAGCATTTGAGAACGCGTTATCTAAAATTTACGAGATTTTATTGGAGATAATAGGATTTATTTCTAATACTAAAATGTATCACTAAGCTTAAGCCGTGTCAATAAAGAAAGGAATGACGACGCAAGACATTCTGGTGCTCTCGCCCATGCTATGCTAAGTAACGTATTATAGAGATAGAATGATTTGCGTCGGTATTTTTAATTCCTGTCTTTAATTTAATGACGTGAATTATAGAGGTAAAAGCATTGATCTTGGTGCATGCACTGTTTAAGCAAAAAACAAGTTATATTTATTGCACGTGATTTGCATACTTTAATTTCAGCTAATACAGCCGATAGCTGGGGAGTGTGCGTATAAGGGAGTTGATGTTAAAGGCGCCCGAATACTGTCTTGGGTTGTTTTACTCAGAACCGCGCGGGCGGCGGCGGGCAGCGCGCGGACGAACGATGAAAGCTGCGCGTCCAATGACACCACACGTTCCACCAACGATCATAATTATTACCTGAGCACGTGCGGCGGGCGCGTCGGGCGCGCGGGCGGCGGCGGGCAGCGCGCGGACGAACGATGAAAGCCGCGCGTCCAATGACACCACACGTTCCACCAACGATCATAATTATTACCTGAGCACGTGCGGCGGGCGCGTCGGGCGCGCGGGCGGCGGCGGGCAGCGCGCGGACGAACGATGAAAGCCGCGCGTCCAATGACACCACACGTTCCACCAACGATCATAATTATTACCTGAGCACGTGCGGCGGGCGCGTCGGGCGCGCGGGCGGCGGCGGGCAGCGCGCGGACGAACGATGAAAGCCGCGCGTCCAATGACACCACACGTTCCACCAACGATCATAATTATTACCTGAGCACGTGCGGCGGGCGCGTCGGGCGCGCGGGCGGCGGCGGGCAGCGCGCGGACGAACGATGAAAGCCGCGCGTCCAATGACACCACACGTTCCACCAACGATCATAATTATTACCTGAGCACGTGCGGCGGGCGCGTCGGGCGCGCGGGCGGCGGCGGGCAGCGCGCGGACGAACGATGAAAGCCGCGCGTCCAATGACACCACACGTTCCACCAACGATCATAATTATTACCTGAGCACGTGCGGCGGGCGCGTCGGGCGCGCGGGCGGCGGCGGGCAGCGCGCGGACGAACGATGAAAGCCGCGCGTCCAATGACACCACACGTTCCACCAACGATCATAATTATTACCTGAGCACGTGCGGCGGGCGCGTCGGGCGCGCGGGCGGCGGCGGGCAGCGCGCGGACGAACGATGAAAGCCGCGCGTCCAATGACACCACACGTTCCACCAACGATCATAATTATTACCTGAGCACGTGCGGCGGGCGCGTCGGGCGCGCGGGCGGCGGCGGGCAGCGCGCGGACGAACGATGAAAGCCGCGCGTCCAATGACACCACACGTTCCACCAACGATCATAATTATTACCTGAGCACGTGCGGCGGGCGCGTCGGGCGCGCGGGCGGCGGCGGGCAGCGCGCGGACGAACGATGAAAGCCGCGCGTCCAATGACACCACACGTTCCACCAACGATCATAATTATTACCTGAGCACGTGCGGCGGGCGCGTCGGGCGCGCGGGCGGCGGCGGGCAGCGCGCGGACGAACGATGAAAGCCGCGCGTCCAATGACACCACACGTTCCACCAACGATCATAATTATTACCTGAGCACGTGCGGCGGGCGCGTCGGGCGCGCGGGCGGCGGCGGGCAGCGCGCGGACGAACGATGAAAGCCGCGCGTCCAATGACACCACACGTTCCACCAACGATCATAATTATTACCTGAGCACGTGCGGCGGGCGCGTCGGGCGCGCGGGCGGCGGCGGGCAGCGCGCGGACGAACGATGAAAGCCGCGCGTCCAATGACACCACACGTTCCACCAACGACCATATTACCTGAGCGCGTGTGCGAGACGTGCGGCGGGCGCGTCGGGCGCGCGGGCGGCGGCGTGCAGCGCGCGCACGAGCGATGAAAGCCGCGCGTCCAATGACACCACACGTTCCACCAACGAGCCGCGCTCTGCGTCTTCCGCCTCCGAGCGCTGCCGCTGCGCGATCGCCGCCGACAAGTTGCGGAGCGACTCGCGTTCCGACGCTGAAGCTGACTCCGCCTCTGTGAACAACCCCCACTGATCATTATCCTCCACAGCTTCACAAAAACGAGCGTTCCCCGCCGCGTGCGTTCCCATTTTGACAGCTTGGATCGCGCAAAGCGATCTAAGCGCGGTGGAACGTCTGGTGTGGATCCGGCTATTGGCCAGTTTCAATAAATCAATCTTTACGGTTAAAGGTTTAAACATCTAGCAGTTGAATGCTAAAAAAAAAAATATATATAATAGGTAATTTGACAAGTTTTTGAAAACTTTCATACGTTATTTATTAGTGTACTGACACCTTAAAAATGTATATTTATTCGCTATGTGCACGACAGTAGCGCCACCTACAATGCGCAACTTTCCGGGATTATGCCAAATAATAACATCAGTTTGTATTTTATTGATTTCTAGTAAATATAGTAAGGTAAAGATAAATAAAAATTATTATATATTGTATAATAATTTAAATAATGTCGGATTTCAATTCGGAATTCAGTACAGTCAATAATAACTCTTGTATTGATGTAATCTGGACTGAAACACTTGGGCATTGGTGTTTGTACGGTGGCTCTATTCGGCCAAAAGATTAAATTAGCAGTTGAACAAGCTAGATTTTGTAAGATCGAATGAAATATACGTGAGATTGTGGTTTTTTTGTACACCAAATAACACACTCAATGCTGAAAATGTCAAGCCAGTTTTCATTTTTATCAAAAAAATCAGAAGTCGGTCTTTAGTGGAAACTGTACATTTTCTCATAGTTAATCTTGTTAATAAAAACTCAAAATTGCTAAATGACACACCAGAAGGATCTAGGAGTTCTTGATCATTTGTTATTGATGAAATACCAACAAATTCTTGACTTTTTGTTTCGGTAGATTGATCCTCATACGATTTTTTGTCAGTGCCACAGCTTTTATCTTTCTTTCTTGAATTATTTGTCATTAAAATTCTTGATGTTGGATCACAGTGATCACTGTAAATTAATCTAATACAAATAAAAGAATAATACATGAATATCACATAAAATATATAGTGGAAATAAAATTGATCATAATTTAAGGTTATTTCGCTTACTTATTTCTTTTTATGGCATCTATCCATTTATTTCTTTGATTTAATTTCCAGTCCAATGTAGGAAATATATACACAGACTATTTGTGCCCTTATTTTTGCAATTCACAACACAACAACATCTATTAATAGGCATTTTAAAAAAATTTTGTTTATTACGAACTCCGTGCAAATTGACTTTACTTTCCCGGATTGTTGCGTATTTCTGCCACTATAAGCGCTGCGATCGCTTCACTATACCCCCACCATGTACTTCGCACATAGCGAATAATCCTGTTGTGTATTTCAGTAACAAAACTAAATCAAAATTATCTTTGTAATTATTTATTCAAAATTACACCCTAGTGACTCGAATATATTACCTCTATCATCTCCAACAGACTCCTGCTCGGGTGACAGTTCGTCACCGCTCCAGGCGCCAGCGCCTTCGGCACCCGACCACCATTCTTCTGCACATTCTAAACAAAACAAAAAAGTAAGTCTTCAAATAGACAGCTCTCCGTAAGTATTTTTAAAAAGCTTCCGCCCGCTACTTTGTCTGCATGAAAATTAAAGCGGCGGTTGCATGAAGCTTTGGGCGCGCGTTACTGCCGCCAATAAACCGCGCGGTTCTTCCTCCGGTGATAATGCCTCACCGCTGTCGCTATGACTGCCAATGATATCAATCTATTTGTAGAACTCACCAGGGTCGGTGACTAGACAGGGCTCGGTCTCGGAGTCGAGCAGGTCGGCGGAGTTGTCGTTGTCGTCGGAGACGCGCGAGCGGTCGTCGTCCGCCTCCCGCTGCTGCGGCGCTTGTGTGGAGCGTAGGGCGCGCGTTACTGCCGCCAATAAACCGCGCGGTTCTTCCTCCGGTGATAATGCCTCACCGCTGTCGCTACGACTGCCAATGTTAACAATATATTTAGTTGCAGAAACATCGTCAAATATGAACGTTCGCTGCGGCGAATTAGAAATGATATGGAAGCATTACTCTCTAGCAAACGCCGCTAGAACATGGTTCGTATCTCATACAACTAAATCTCAATAATGCGACTCGCACACAAACAAAACAAAATAATTTGACAAATCAAATATTATTATATGCAAATCAATTCTGCTATCCATTAATTGGGTAAGACAATGTTCGAAGCCACCCGAAGCTTTGTCAGGCATTGGTTGAGGATGAGTAACGCCTGAATTAATTAATGTGAGTGAGCGCTCTGAGCCGCCCTCATGCGTGCAGTAACAGATGTGCGGTCCCCTGTACACGTCGTTGTGGTAGACGGGCGGGTGTAGGGCGTCGCGGGGCAGGTTGTAGGCGGCGCGGACGGCGTGAGTGAGTGCGTGCAGTGACGGATGTGCGGTCCCCTATACACGTCGTTGTGGTAGACCGGCGGGTACAGGGCGTCGCGGGGCAGGTTGTAGGCGGCGCGGACGGCGTGGGTGAGTGCGTGCAGTGACGGATGTGCGGTCCCCTATACACGTCGTTGTGGTAGACCGGCGGGTACAGGGCGTCGCGGGGCAGGTTGTAGGCGGCGCGGACGGCGTGGGCGAGTGCGTGCAGTGACGGATGTGCGGTCCCCTATACACGTCGTTGTGGTAGACCGGCGGGTACAGGGCGTCGCGGGGCAGGTTGTAGGCGGCGCGGACGGCGTGGGTGAGTGCGTGCAGTGACGGATGTGCGGTCCCCTATACACGTCGTTGTGGTAGACCGGCGGGTACAGGGCGTCGCGGGGCAGGTTGTAGGCGGCGCGAACGGTGTGAGTGAGTGCGTGCAGTAACAGATGTGCGGTCACCTGTACACGTCGTTGTGGTAGACGGGCGGGTGCAGGGCTTCGCGGGGCAGGTTGTAGGCGGCGCGAACGGCGTGGGTGAGTGCTTTGAGGCGCCGCCCCAGGTTGTCGAGCGCATTGGCGGCGCCTCCGCCGGACCGGGCCCGGGCCGCCGCAGCTAGGGCCTCTTGCCGACGTTGTTCGCACATGCGCACCAACTGCCTGCACTCCGCTCGCCTGAACAATATAAACAGAAGATTACTGCAGCGGCCTGCAAAAGAGGCATTGACGGACGAATGTGTAAGCTGCGGGCGAACGTGTAAGACGCTTTGCACACGCTTTTTACTTTTAAATGGAATATTGAGAAAAGGTTTATGCTCGAGCACTTGGACCCAGTGCGGATTGGTGGGCGCGCTAATGACTGCAGATGCAGCTGGGACCAATGGTTTAGCGAGCCTTTAGAGGTAAGGAGAAGCTCGAGTTTTTAAGGAGACATACATTTTTAAGGAGAAGCCCTATATATAGTCCTATATCGCAAATAACAAAAAATAGGTTTTGTTCGCAAATCGACTCCTGTACGTGATGTTTTTGCAGATACTTTTTGTTATTTAAATATGTGGAATACACCTCGGCAAACTTCTTAAGCAACGATGAGAGACAAGGAAGCCTGCGCAGGAGCTGCCTTTATGTCTTATAATAAGAATCAGTACCGCATACCTCCTCTCATACCGCGAGGAAATCTTGCATTTCAGACGCCTCCGCCAATTTGGCCCCTAACGATCGCCTATTCCTACGATCGTTCTAATGTCACATAGAAATAACTCTTACCACCTCTCTAGTTCTGCGTTGAGCCTGGCGACCTCCTGTTCGGCGTCGTGCAGCTAGCTAGTCGCCGAGCGCGGCGGTCTCGGTCGCGAGGAAGTCCTCCATTTCAGATGACTCCGCCAATCTGGCCCCTTATGACCGCCCATTCCTACGATCGTTCTAATGCTACGTATAAGTCACTCTTACCTCCTCTCTAGTTCTGCGTTGAGCCTGGCGACCTCCTGTTCGAGCGTCGTGCAGCGAGTAGCCTAGCGCGGCAGTCTCGGCCGTGAGGAAGTCCTGCATTTCAGACGCCTTCGGCAATTTGGCCCCTCACGACCGCCCATTCTAATGTCACGTATAAGTCACTCTTACCTCCGCTCTAGTTCTGCGTTGAGCCTGGCGACCTCCTGTTCGGCGTCGTGCAGCTAGCTAGTCGCCGAGCGCGGCGGTCTCGGTCGCGAGGAAGTCCTCCATTTCAGATGACTCCGCCAATCTGGCCCCTTATGACCGCCCATTCCTACGATCGTTCTAATGCTACGTATAAGTCACTCTTACCTCCTCTCTAGTTCTGCGTTGAGCCTGGCGACCTCCTGTTCGGCGTCGTGCAGCGAGTAGCCTAGCGCGGCAGTCTCGGCCGTGAGGAAGTCCTGCATTTCAGACGCCTTCGGCAATTTGGCCCCTCACGACCGCCCATTCTAATGTCACGTATAAGTCACTCTTACCTCCGCTCTAGTTCTGCGTTGAGCCTGGCGACCTCCTGTTCGGCGTCGTGCAGCTAGCTAGTCGCCGAGCGCGGCGGTCTCGGTCGCGAGGAAGTCCTCCATTTCAGATGACTCCGCCAATCTGGCCCCTAATGACCGCCCATTCCTACGATCGTTCTAATGCTACGTGTAAGTCACTCTTACCTCCTCTCTAGTTCTGCGTTGAGCCTGGCGACCTCCTGTTCGGCGTCGTGCAGCGAGTAGCCTAGCGCGGCAGTCTCGGCCGTGAGGAAGTCCTGCATTTCAGACGCCTTCGGCAATTTGGCCCCTAACGACCGCCCATTCTAATGTCACGTATAAGTCACTCTTACCTCCGCTCTAGTTCTGCGTTGAGCCTGGCGACCTCCTGTTCGGCGTCGTGCAGCGAGTCGCCGAGCGCGGCGGTCTCGGCCGCGAGGAAGTCCTGCATTTCAGACGCCTCGCGCTCCGCCTCCGCCAATCTGGCATCCAATGACCGCGCCGTTTCCCGCGCCCCGCACGATTCCTACGAGCGAAACTCGATGTTATATAGCCTGTGTTTAAGAGCAGTATTGCTTGACTTTTTTGAAACTCATCTACTAAAACTTTACGTCCTAAAATGTTGTTTTCTAAAAGACTCACACGACAAGATAAGTGGGAAAAAGAAAATTTTTAGCTTTTCACAGTAGGAATGACTATAAGACCCTGTGCTCCATTTAGTAATCTATAACACACCAAGAAAATACTTTTGATAAAAATAATGATAAGAATAATTTGTAATTTTAAATGTACCTACGTATTATTTCTGTAACCGAAAGCATATTTTAGAAATTTCACTTAGATTGATATAATATGGAAAACATAATATAATCGTCATTACCGATTACGATAAGGTATGATTTATCGGCAAAGTCAGACAAAAATAGCTCAGAACTATCTATTATGACAACGAAAACGTACTTCAATTATAGAACTGTGAAAGATTGTAATAGTAGAAGCGATATAAGTTTTTAATAATAATAATATTTCCCACACTCAAACCCATTAGCCTAGCCCCAAAGTAAGCACTTTAAGGCTTGTGTTATGTGATACTAGGGCAATGGATAGAATGCATATATTTGATACATTTATATAAGAATATCTATATAGAAATATATATATAAACATGCATGACTAAGATACAAATGCTCACATTCATCATTTGCAGCCACCGGGATTCGAACCCGGAACCTCACGAGTAGGCGACACCTTGAAACCCGCCATATATACCTCTCGGTCACGGAGGTCGTCAAATTATGCAAGGACCGTGCCTCGTAGCACTCTGTACATGCCTACAGCGCTCTGGGGTAGAGCGTAAAGAACGGATCGCTCTAGGCGCCGGGTGCCAAAAAGCGAAATGAGCAACAATTTATAACGAAAAAAAAAACCGTTACTGAAAATATCTTCTAAAGGGCGCTGAAAGATTATTTCACCCAGAGGGCCAACCGCCTAACGGGATTGCTATGGTTATCGCGATCGTTACCATTTCTTATTGTTATTTCTAACCGCCGAAGATTTTCAAATGCCCCGCGCTCGTTTTTTTTCTCTATATTTGAAAACCTTCGGCAGTCAGAAATAGCAAAATGAAAAAGTAAGCGATAGCGATAGCCATAGCAATGGATGGAGGTGTGAAGCTTATGTGTATGTGTGTGAAGGAGATAGAAATGGAGGTACTGACAACTTGCAGCTTGCCGCACTGGTCCCGTAGAGTGTCGATCTCGGCCCGCTGCCGCGCCGCCAACTCCCCCGCTGATCGCAGTTGGTCCTCCAACGCACGAAGACAATTCTCTGCGCCCGCGTCAGCACCTGTTGTACAACATTTTCTTTGCTGTCATGTGACCCTTGATTATATATACGCCTAGATACCGTATTAACTGCACGGAAGCGGCGCAAACAATATCTACTCCATAATTAAGAAAGATCGTCGCTACACACGCACACATTGACTGCTTTCATACAATCTGACATTAGAGTAATGCACACATTGCGCGTACATGAGCCGTTTTCTTTGCGTGGTTTATTTGGATTGATCTTTAAAGGCGTATAAATGAATATGTAATCAAAAAATGTGACATATCTATTATTAAGATTATTATGATGATTAGATTTCCGACCGTTAGAAATAAACAAGGAGAAAAATAGCTTTGACGGCTTTCTTGTCGCATAGTGCGCGGAGCAACTTTTCGATGTACAAGTACAAACAGCCAGGTTTGGCAGTTATTACTTTCATACTCTGCGATACTGAAGTTTGCAGGTTTACCAAATCATCAGGAGTAGTAAAGGTAGGATGAGACTACTAATTACTGTGCTCTTACTGCTCAACAACGAGCTGCAGTCGTAAAATTTTTCATTAATAATAAGTTCTACAGTTATACGTGCATTTGCAACGCATGCAATGGAAATCACACGGTTTTGTTGCTTGCTGTTAAGACTAGCGTACTTTTTAGCCTTACATCGTGTTTCTATTACGTAGATGAAACAGTGGCAAACAAGGCAATTGCTGCAGACATTTTATGGAAATTATTTCCATGATATGGCTTATACCATGAAAATTATTGTATCTGATTGCAAGCTAACACTTTAGATGTTCTTAGCATTTAAATTATTTTTGTTAACTTTTAGTGACGAAGAATTTGTTTATTTTTTTCTTTCTAATCTTCATCTTAAATTGAGAAAATATTTTGCAGACGTTTTAACAAAAATATAGGTAGATAACATCTTTCTTTCCGCGCATACTACATAAAAAGGTCCAAACTTAAAATACACGCACTACCCGACAGTCCCATAAAGGATTGTTAAAAGTAAGATCGCACTATTAACCTCAACAAACATTGATAATAATAAGTGCGACTTACTAGCACCAGCGAGTTCCAGCAGCCGCTGCGAGTTCCTCTCTAGCTCAGCAATGGCGGCGAGTCGCGCGGCGCGTTCTGCCGCCAGCTGCGTCTCCACCTGCAGCCTGCGCTCGCGTTCCTCCGCCGCGGTCGCCTCCGCTGCAGCAGCGGCTGCCGTTAGCCGCGCCATCTCGACGTCGCGGGAGCTCGCCTGCACGCCGCGATGGCATCGAGTCACTTCGACGCGACTGCATGGTTAAGTCAAGAATTAATAACCGTTTATTTAGTAGAAAAAATAAATAAGGGAACACATGGACAAAGCACAATAATGAGGGTATTCTGGAATGACGGGCGCCAGGTGGCAGCACTGAGACGAAAGGTCAAACTCAACCGTCAAATCACCTATGTTGCTATAGTCTATGGATCAATTTAAATGCTCGTTCGATTAATTCGCGCTAAAAACTTCATACGAAAGACCTCATGTCACAGTAGCCCCAAGTGGTTGCTTAAAGGAAATTGCTCAAATTGGCCTAAATGCACAAAAAATATTGACATACACGGTAATTCTTGGCGTAATTTATAATTAAATTTACAGTCATTAGATTTCAACAGACACCTTTGTATAATATATTTACTTTAAAAAGGACTTTTAATTTTACCGGTTTGGAAAACATACAAATCATTTTTAATGGCTATGGGTGTAGTAACATTCAGCCAAAGACTGATCGAAGTTGTTTATATAACATAAAAACTAATCTATTTTGTAAAGATCGATAAAATAAATCATTTTTTTATTACACCATAGTATTATCATTTTCACAAGATGCAAATGTGCTCAGACAATTATTATAGATGGTAGGCGACATCATAAAGTCTATTGCCATACATTTTTCGCCAAACACCTCCATAAACACATTATAATCTGTATATAATATGTTACACTTTAAGGTATCTATCTATGGGCCTACGTTCCCTGACTATAAATTAATAAATAAATAAAATTATAAGGTGTGATACACTAAAAATCTAAAATATGGTTATCTTAAAAACATAAAAAATAATGAAGCTACTGAATATATGGCCATAGAACCCAAATCGGTACTAAATTCCATTAGTTGTGGTGGAATTTCGGGGTAGTTTTGATGTGGGGGGGAGGAGGGGGTCTCCCCGTCGGAAACGCATGTTTTTTTTTAATTAACCTAACCTAAAAATTCATAATTTTTTTAGGATGCAAGGACTAGGGAAGTAAGAACCAGTAGTTCTGCCCTATCTCCGGCGCTGCGGGAATAGCAGCCCCGCCGCCTTTGCGTGACAAAGTCACAAGCATCGCTCTCCTTCACACCTTCGGCTTGTTGGTCGCCACCTCCGGCGGCGACCAGCCTCAGGCCCTACGGGTCGCACGATGCTTGCGGCTTTGTCACAGCAGGCGGGGGCTGCTCTCCCTACGCGCCTCTGGGCCCTAAAAAACACTCTAGGGGTAGGGCAGACCAAGACCACGGCGTGTCGGGGTTGACCAAGTCGGTTCTGAATTAAAGATTGTTGTAAAGCCACATTTACCTTTTTTTATAAGTGTGGAGCCCATTCTATTTCTTATTTACCAAGTAAATAATAGCAAATATTCTTTTTACCGACGAACACAGACTGACTGACATTTCTCAAAACAAACACAAAACTGCGGGACATATGTCATTTTGACAATAATACCAACATAATCAACATATGTTTTACCATAGACAACGAGAAACATGTTATTTCTGCATGAAAAAATGGCAGCACTGATCAAAATGGCTGTCAAAATTGACTTTAACCTACAAAAATATTAATTTTCATTATTTTTTTTCTCGAGTTCTATTCTTTCCGAATAAAAAGATTTCGTATGTGTGTTCCTAATAATTAATACTTTCTGTGACAAAAATCTTAGCTCGCTACTCAACCACAACTAATGGAAAGCTGAGCCCCTAAATCTCTTAGCTTTCTTTGGTTAACGAGAGTTTAAAAATTCTCTCTAATCTGTGGCTCATTCACAATCATCACACAGTTTCTGTCACAGAGTACCTTATTATAACCGGAAATGACACCTGATTTTAAAAGATACTCTTATGCATTAACTTTAAAAACAGGCAACTATCTGTTAATCTACATGCTCTATATACCTGAATCTAATCCATAATTTCGGTACTTGGCTTGATTTCCCTAGTTTACTATATAACTTATTTATTTTTTATTATTTTAATATTTTGAGTGTATATGGTTTATAGAAGTGCTCAGGGGTGTCCGTCAATAATATTCGTTTCTACAGTAATTTATATACATATAATTTCGAATCTAGGAAACAATTTTTCATGATTATTGGTCTTTAGGCCAAACATGTATGGAAGCTGAGCAATCTCCTTTCCTAAACACCCTCATTATTTAGTCCCTAGCTAAACAGAGCTCGTAGGACTACCATGACTTGAGAACAAATATTAGTGCTCATCACGCACATAAATTTATTACTCCTGCTGGGTCGAACTAAGACTTTAAGAGCAGAAGGCAGTAAGGTCGCGTACACATGGGACAAATGGAACGTCCGTTTTTACAGGATTCTTTTTGATGTATCCGTCGCTAGTGGATGTAATATTATAACTGTTCCGATAAAACAGATCAGTATTTTTTACTAGATCCGGAATACTGTATTATGTGTAGAAGTGAGCATTTAAACGATAAGTAACTAAAAGTCTGCTTTTTAATAAAAACACAACAGCATGCTAATAAATTGGTAAACAACACGCTTTTTGCTTAGCCTTGTGTTTTACCGCTTTGAGTTCGGTATTAAACAAAACCTATGCTGCTTAACAACAAAAAAGCATACCTTGGTATTTATTTCGTTTAAAAGCGTAAGTGACTGTAAACTTCAAATGCAAATTAGGCGGATAAGCAGTACGCTTTTCAACGTCAAGAGCTGAGTACGCGTTTGTGTGCCGTGTGCGCTTTTGTAGCGTTTTTTTAATAAAATTAACGTTATTTTGCTTACGTTGACTTTGATGATCAAAAAATTTAATACGTTTGTTGGGTGGATAAATAAACACTGTTATTAGACACTTGTGTAAATAATAAGTATTTATTTAATCATAGGATTAAATAAAGTTTTGTGTAAATAATAATCACTTTATATGTCTTTTATAAATAATCTTGTCGAGAAGTATGAAGAGAAATTTATTGATTTGTAAATAAAATGATGAGAAATAGATGATTATGTTAAAACTTTCATTCTACGTAAATTAATATTTATAATAGACCGGGAGATGATGACACAAAATACTTGGTCATTTGTACCAGTATGGCGGTTCTTCAGGGGTCTAATTACGTAAAGGCAAAAAGGAAAATGATGGTCGTAGCGCTCGCACCGGCGGCCCAATCGCGTGGGCGTTAATCGAACGCGTCGGATAAATAACGAGTGTCGAACGATTTGTTCCACAAAAATGCTTATATTTTCAGATAGTCGAAAAAAAGAAGTAGGCGGTAGCGTAATGCCATACTTCTCGGGAGTGACTTACAGCCCGCCATACCGACGCGAATACATTAATTTAAATAAAACAATTCAACCATTTGTACCAGGCTAATTTTTGCACAGCTAATCATCGTCGAGTAACCATTCACGAAAATCACCTTGCCATACTTTTCCGACAGTTCCCAATGGCCGCCATACCGCTGCAAAGGAGTAATTTTTTTTTTTCGCCAAACGATTTGTACCAGTATTGCATTTGAATTTTTGGAAAGTATTTGGCAAAATGTGACCGTTATTATTTTTCCCATACTTCTAGTAGGGGGAAATACTTGAAATACTTATTTATTTGACACGTTTTAAAAATACGACTGCAAAATACGTAAAATCATTTTTTACATCATGACATCATTGTATTCTCGTCATTTGGATGCAATTGTACGTAAAAAAAATTATTACAGATTGTAAACATGGGGCGGATGACTGTCGGACTTGAGCTAAAAGGTGAAAAAGAAAAAAAAAAAATTTGACGATTTGTACCAGTATGGCATTTGGATTTTTGGAAATTATACGATACAATGTGACCATTATTATATTTGCCATACTTGTAGTAGAGGGAAAAAGTGGCGCCATACTGGTACAAATCGTTCGAATTACGAATAAAATCTCGGGACTTTGAAAAAATATTGTTCACATTCGCCACCTCCCACAGGTATGGCATTATCAGACTTCTATTTATGATCATACGGAGAACTGTTAAAAAAAGTTTCAGGGTGGTACAAATCGTTTGGCGAAAAAAAAAAATTACTCCTTTGCAGCGGTATGGCGGCCATTGGTAACTGTCGGAAAAGTATGGCAAGGTGATTTTCGTGAATGGCTACTCGACGATGATTAGCTGTGCAAAAATTAGCCTGGTACAAATGGTTGAATTGTTTTATTTAAATTAATGTATTCGCGTCGGTATGGCGGGCTGTAAGTCACACCCGAGAAGTATGGCATTACGCTACCGCCTACTTCTTTTTTTCGACTATCTGAAAATATAAGCATTTTTGTGGAACAAATCGTTCGACACTCGTTATTTATCCGACGCGTTCGATTAACGCCCACGCGATTGGGCCGCCGGTGCGAGCGCTATGACCATCATTTTCCTTTTTGCCTTTACGTAATTAGACCCCTGAAGAACCGCCATACTGGTACAAATGACCAAGTATTTTGTGTCATCATCTCCCGGTCTATAAGCTTTCAACGTTTTATTACGTTTATCGTTGACAACATAAGAATCAGCTTTAGACTAAAAAGTTTTCCAAAGCGCTAGATGTGCGCAACATATTAAAAAAGCGTTTAAACGAAAAGCGGTTTTATAAGTAAATTTATAAGTATAATAAAAAAAGCACAACGATTAATAGTTGAATAAATTTAAGCAGTTTTTCTTATCGCTTTATCGAATTCGCTCATACAACTACATACGCCATCAAATAAAGGATCTGTAAAACAGATCGTCAAACCTATTACTTGAATAATCCGGTTTTAAAATCCGTACCGAAAGGGCGATAACGGAATATTATATTATTATTAAATAGAAAATTCCGACATAGGTACACTGGTTTTTTATTCGCTGTATCATTAGTTTATAACTTTGTAACTGCGGAAGAGAAAGGCCACAAACTCAAACTACTATGAATTTGAATGTAAAGTTTTAAACCCAAGATTTTTGGTTTTTCCAATAGATACTCCAGTCACAAAATTAAATCAGAATTTCGTTTAAGATAAAGGTACTACTTTCATATTCTATATTACATGGCACAAAGATCAGATAAGTAATACAATTATATCATGCCGACACTTTACTTGGCTATTCGTATTTTTTATTTATAAAATTGACAACAGTTACCATGCTTTATAAAGGGAAAAGGGTCTGTACTTTTCATTGTCTGAAGCGACAAGTGCTGATGTCAAGTTTACAATTAGCAAACAAGGATAGCCAAGTGAAGTGCCGGCATCATAAGCTTAGGTACATACATATCATTACATTATTCTACTTACTTATCAATATTAGGGACTACCCCAGCTAGAGCTGATTCCACATCAGAGCCTAACAGCACGGTTTGCGAAGTTTTTTCTGCATATATTCTAACACGAGTCTTCGTCGTCGATCTAGACGAAACTGATCGAGTAACCGTGGGCCTCCTCGACGATGGCGGAGTGCCCTCATGTTTAGGTGATGCATCAGTCTCTGCATCCCTTCTCCTCCGTGGCAGTGTCCCATATTTATCAGCAGCGACACGAGTCGCGTTGGCATCAGAGACTGGCGTCAATCGAGGTCCGTTTGCAGGCCATCTTTTCTCTTCACTGGGCGAATTTGGCGTTCTACATCTAGCTGTAGAGGTCTTTGTTGGTTTGGCACGTAACGCAGGGCTTTCACGGACTAGATTTGGCAAGTCAGCCGTCGGACGGATTCGCGGTTTAGGCGTCAGGGGCCGAGGCTTTTCTGGAGGTATAGGTTTCTCGCGACTTCTTGCCCTCTCACGTGTGGCAAGATTGGGGCCTCTCGGAGCGGTAACAGGTCGAGGAGTGGAGGTTCCGATAGGAGAATTACGCTTAAGGTCGGGTACGGTAACGTTAACACGACGGCGGGGCCGCGGCGGTGCGCCCGCTAAAGAAGAACTTTCGGAGCCACAACCAGAGCCACAGGAAACTACACTGGAGGCGCACGATCTGGAACCTCCACCGCTACTCAGAGCACGACCACAGCCTTCTACCCCACTATCACTTCCGGCAGCACCTAATACTAGTTCGTCACCCGCAGGCAAGCTATCCAAATCTCCAAGCGAACGCACGTCGTCGTTAACTTCACAAGTTTCATTTTCAACCACAGATTCCTTAGCTTCTATAGTTACATTATTTTCTTCAAGAACTACTCCGCTTTCGTTCTTGCTATCAACACTACCGTCCTTATCACAATTTAAATTATTTATATCACTAGTAATTTGTCCTGTACTTTCATCATTCTTTGTTTGCTCAGTTCGTGGGGAAATGTCATTAATCTGCGATTCGGCGAGGGCTGAACCGCAGGTCTCAGATGCATTAGTAGTTTCACTTTCCTCTTCCATAGCTCATGTCACATGACGTTCTGTAACAAAAAAAAATATAAATTAATATTTATTTAGTCTGAAAACTATTCTAGAATTAATAAACCAGGCAGATACAAAACTATTGTTCTCAAATGTTCATTGTGTGCGAGCAGTCCTCGGACCGATCGAGGGAGGTGCTGCAATCTCAGAGGACCTCATTGCTATTGTTCCGGAAATCTTTTATTCTGACAATGTATTTCTATTACGATATCTAGCTCATGTAACTGTTCTAAAACGGGTACTATTTTAAAGTTCTCATAAAAGTTTCAAAACATACCTACATCTTACAATTATGCTTAAGTACCTTTTCAATAAGTATGCTTACTAAGCACTCTTCTCAATAGAAACCTTTAGGATATTGGTGCACAAAAAGTCTGGTTTTATAATGTGTAGTAGTGAAAAGAGTAACACCGAGAAAACCTATCAGCGTTATTGCAATGCAACGTTTCTTTGATGAGTGGAGAATGGCAAAATGCGTTGTTCCCATGATTTGCGGGCCCCCGCAATCGGCCTCGCTGCAACTATTCATACGGCTATCAATCACTTTAATGTTCCATTTTATACGATAAAAAATAAGCGTTCACAGATAGCTGAGCGTTTCGAAATCAATGAGCGACAAAACATCATAATTACTTGACCGATTACAATAGAAAACAACGGATACATAAAAATTGCTTGTAGGTGATGTAGCTATAATTATTAAATTTCTTTGTATGTGGTTTCAGATAAGATTAAAAGGCGAACATAAATGCCACTATAGATATCGTCTCTACGATTTCCATCCGATTGTTTTCCGATAAACGAATGTTACGAAAGAAATACTGAATAAAGATTGCAACCTATTCATTAATGTTGGAAGATATATTCCAATAATAAGATTGGAACAATGTCCGAGAGGGAAAAACAGGCAAAATCACGAAGTTAAATAAGAACAATCAAACTTGAAGTAGGTTATACAGCACATAAAAACACTAGAGATGTATTTCTATAAGGTAGTGTAGAGTATCGGCTGTTATAGGTACAGTCAACACACGACAATTTATTGCAGGAAGTGTATTCGATCATATAGGTTAGGAGCTGCCGACCGACAATTGAAATAGCCATACTCTCTTCAAAGTATCATTATAGAGTACTGTCATGTCGAGACGCGCAGTCTGCGCATGCCAGTGCCGCTGCGATTAATCAAAGTTTATTTTTGTCGACTGCTATAATAGCCGGCAATTTATTAAACATTTTAGAAAGGCCACGCCACCATATAGCGTAATAGATACAAACACAAATAGAGCCACTTGTGTATGTCTGGAGCACAGTATGAACTTTCGGGGTCAAGATTCCAATAAGTGTAATGGCCATCATAGAAGAGCACTTCACTTAATAAGTAATTGAATTATAAATACTTAATTTAAAAGTCAGAAGGTAATTCATAAGCACGTGTCAGCTTATTCTGAATGAATAATTAAATAGAAAAGAGATCACTAGAAGTTTTAAGAGAAACCCGAGAAAATACGATCAGCGCAACTGAATAATACCGATAAAACCTGAAGATATACTTATACCAACGGTTAAGCGAAACTGCAAAATTTAACCATTAAAAGGTACTCAATTTGTTAAGGGTTGATCAATTGGAAATAAATTGATGATGACAGTATATTATGGTCATAATAAGAAATGATTTTGATAATAACACCAAATACTGTTGAACGAGAATAATTGTCAAGAATATTTATTTTTTTTACTTAAACAACATGTGATATTGTAAAGGTTGATGAGAAACGTAAGTTACAGCTGGTTCTATTCCAATTTCCAATCGAGTAACTTTCTGCAGAAGCGACGTTGAAACTACAAATAAGGTATTTAGTTAATAACATATTTCGAGTGAGCGAGCGTTTTCGATAGCGTTGTTTACTTTATACATCACGTACTTTAGCGGTATTCGTAAAAAGGTCACACATCATATTTATTATAATGTGCGACTTTAGTGAACTATTTTCCTTATTCAAAAGTATAGATAGAGTTAATGTTCTTTACCTAATAGTGGGTACAATTTTATTGGTACTATTTGCACAAGCGAATATGGAAAAATGTAGAAAAAAATCTGACACACTTTGCCTACAGTCGCACACAAATTCTAGTTCGTTGCAACGTGGTTTTATTACATGGCCTATTTTTGTAGTAAAAGTAGAAATATTTATGGGATATTCCGAACTCAGTTGTCGTAAATCTTTAACTACAGAAAGAACATCACAGTCATAAGAGGCGAAAAAATATTATGAGAGTTGTAGCTTTATATATTTTTGTTAGAGAAAAGTTCATAAAGACCTATTTAAAGAACCTGATGCTAGCTATATTTTAATGCATACTGATTTTAGAAAGTTATGGACAACACAAACGAAGATAATAAATCACAATAGGTACCGTTTAAGCATGTGGGTAGTAGATGGCTACAAAGGTTTCAACTAAAACTAGCTTTGACCCATAGAAAAATGTCAAAACTTTAATATTAATTTGAAATTATTGTAGGGCAAAATCTGGTTTTGGTTAAATCGAGATTTAGTAAATTTTTTGCAAGTGAACCTAACCTACCTAGTCTTGCAGAATGCAGATTAAACTCCACGTTTTGCTTGAATCGAGATTTAGCAAATTTGCTGCAATTTGAACTAAGGTTAAACTTGGTTAGCCTCTATCCGGCTTCAAAATCTGCTCGGTATTCGAGATCATATAATGAAAAGAATTTGATAATCCAAAACATTTAGCTCTGGATATGAACAAGAATAATTTTGATTTGACCTAAAATCTTGAAAGAATTTTATCCAATGTGGTGGTGTAATAGTATTCAGGGATAAAGTTTCTACGTATTTTTTATACATCTGGGTTAATTTCCGTTCTTTTGAGATGTTGTTGCCATCTCGCAGGCAGTGAAATTATTTCGTAGAAAAGTTGTAACTTCTGTTTGATTAAAAAAACCTTTTATTACAGTAAATTTGATAGTCATCTTTTGATGTCAACCAAAGAGTACCTCATGTTTCAACTCTAGAATCAATATAAGTAGATATTCTAAGTAGTTTGTTCAGAGGAGATGGAAATATGTGCCAGCTCTAACTGCCCTTGAATTCCTAAAAGCTCCAGCTTCCAACAATTTGCAGAAAGCCAGACGTTAAACACAGTTGGGTCACAGTCATCCGACACTGAACAAACCGCCGCCGGCCGTCACCGCAGGCCTCGTCTGTTGACATGCTGTCACTTGTTACTTTTGACTAGTTGGCATGCTCTGACATTATTGATGTTTGTTTACCGCGCGACTTTGGTTTGAAGCCGGATACCAAATAAACATAATGATATATTCACGCCTAAGCCATCGTTTATAAATTTGGTATAGATATAGATAGGTAGATATTATTTTTTGAGAGTTCGAGGTAATTAATTTTTTGACACCCGTCCAATAACCGCCCGTTACGAGAATTGCTGAACTTTTACGACCGAACGGGTTAATTTTATGCATCAACGAGCTCCCATACCTATATTTATTTACCTTTGCCGAATTACAGCTTTCTAGTATTAATAAGCCAAAAACTCTTGAGATAAGCTGCGGACAGTCGGACATAGCGAAACCGATTTGAATTCAGAAACCTAAAAACTGAGAAGTTTATAGGTTTCCGAATTCAAGACCTCACTGCAAAAATTCGTAATCAAAAACCCTGAAATGGAGGTGCCACGATCTCGAATCTTTAGATATAGAGATGATCATATAATCTTATAAAAAGTTTAGCATATTTTTTGTTCGCACAAAACTAAACTTAAAAAGTCGTGCAAAAACAATTTTATAATAAAGAGTGAACCTTGTTTGGCAGATTTATGATATCACCATCAGCAAAGCCATCAGCGCCAACTCACGTCATCGCCTATTTTAAACCTGAGAATTGCTTAAAACGAGATCAAGTTAAGTAATTACATGACTTTTTATATCCACTAGCTATTCAGAATGGAGGCAACTTTTTTGAGTGTAAAACCGTTACCATTATACTCCATTTAAGGAGCATTTCTAACTTCCACGGCATTTAATAAATGTAAGACTTGAATTATAAAAAGCTAGTACCTACATAATTTGACACGACAACTGCCTTTCTTCCATGGTCCATGATTATCGTCATTTTTTATATAACTACATGCAGCATATAGCCGGTTTTAATTTAATGGGCACAATTATTCCACTAATCGTCCCTGTGCCTGGAGCAGCAAGCATCTGGTAGAGATCAAGCATAAAGGTTATTTTTCTAATTATTTTATTTATTCCAAAATTACGTGTCATGTCTCTTTCTGTTCCTGTGAATGGGTTGTGAGGCAATATACATAGTGAGTTTCAATCAGACTGAACATGTTTTTAATGATACTAGAGGTAGTTTTTGCTTGTAGTTTAAGTTCATTTGCATTATTGCATCTTCTATAAATCAACTTATTTTGCATAGTATGTCTTTCGAATGTCATCAGACGCTTTTTAAAAAAATATAATAAAACTGTGAAGGTCGTTGTGCCACGCCGGCGCCGGACGCATGTGAATTGTGATGAATATACAGAGTTCGATGCCTGCCGGATGTATGATTCGACTTGCCTCGGCGTTGTGTTTACAAATCTCACTCAGCAATGCTAAAATGGCCTAGAGTATAATAGCTTTAATAAAACGGATAATTGGGTTTTAATAGTCTTGCTTTAAAACCAGTACGATGGCCGACCTTCTTATACCCTTGTTGAATGTTTGCGAGTTACTTAACATGTAATTTTTGTGAGAACGTAAGGATTTTTTATAAGCATGTTTTGTGTGCTTTATGTAATCTTTAAAGTTACCATTTCAAGGCTATTATTACCCCTGCAATGTAGAAGCATGGACTTTCTGAACATGTTTGTAAAACTTGTGAAGGGTTTAATCATAAATGTTTTGTTCATGATTTCCTTCTCCTTTTTTAAATAAAAAAATGTTTTAATAATATTCTTCTGTTAAAGTCGC